GAAACATGATGTGCAGGCATAAACGGGAAGTCCACGGCTCGGAAACAACAACAACAACAACTTTCAGGGCCAAGCGGGACAAAACACATACATTAGAGAGGTTAAGTTTCACGTAAAAGTCTTACGTCCGTGAACTTTTACGTCAAAAAGTGAAAAAACTCACGTAAAATTTGACGTGTTTTACGTGAGTTGACTGTCCCGCACGTAAGTTCATGGCGTGAGTTTTTGGAAGTTTCGCTTGGTTATCCCCACCGAATTTGTGTGAGTTTCCGGAATTTTATCGAGATTTATCAAGTTTGTTGGAAGATTTGATGTTTGTGCGAACTAAACCCGAATCCTGCCAGTCAAAATTTCACGTCACGTCGCACGTGTAACTTAACCTCTAAAAATTACACGTAACGTGAGATTTGCACCGCGTTTTGAAAAAGGCCAAAAAAACGTGTAACTTAACCTCTCTAGTAGCATATTTTTTTTTTTTTTTTTTTTTACTATATTCACATAACCAGCTCGAAAAGAATAAGGAAAGACAATGGTACGGAGACTAGGACAAACGTATCACTTACAGTACTCTTATCCATGATCCACAGGAACTACTTCGTATCTACTAGTACTAGTACAATCATGCGCATGACAGCATCCTTGGCAAATTACATTTCCTGCATTCCTGGGATTACGTTGCACAGTCATGTAGGTTCTTTTTTCGACCAGACGGAAAACATGATGTGTACAGACGCCAGCACGAACAGTTCAGTGGCAAAACTCCACGGCATGCAGCAAGTAAAATGTATTTTACTCCTGACAAGCTTGTCTTGTGTACTCTAACATCATGGGAACTCATCAGAGGAGATGGCGCAAGGTGCATACCAGGGAGTGGTATAATGCCAAGAGCCCACAATCCCCCATGGACTCTTGATAATAATACTCCCTGGTGCATACACTCAACTAAGTCACATGCCGGTAATTATGTGACAAACTAAAAATAATAAAAACGGAATAGTGTAGAATAGACCACAAAATATTATAGTGCTTTGAATCCTGCCAGACATAACTAGCAGAAGTGCCAATTCAATCACAAGGAGAAAGCGAGGTAAACAAATAGGTTGCGCTATAAACTGCACCTCAATATTGCACTGGAGTGGTGATAGAGAAAGGGGGATGCGAGCTTCCTCCAAGTCAAAGAGGCATGTTGTGCCGTCGTAGTTCTAGCTTACCACGGAGGCTTATCATGCAAAGACAAGACTAGTGATGTCTAGTCAGATCAGTGATACCAAGAGTCGACACGACAAGAGGCTGGCGCTAACCCTGAATCAAACTGATTCAAGTCGAAGCCGAAGGATCTCTCAACCAGGGAGTAGTACAATACCTGCTACTCCCTGCTCTCAACCACGGTGTCGTCGTCGTCGTCATCTTCATCAATTTTCACAATGGTCCGATATCTGGATATGGCGGGGAACGCGACACGTCATGCGCCTGGGATCAGGATCTGTTTGAGTTTGTACGATTTCCTGGATCCCTGGCCTAGCCCTCGGCCCTCCCAGAACTTCTTCTTGCAGCTGCTCTTTGTCCAACCCATTCGCACTTTACTTACTTCCAGGTTTCTGGTTTCTCTTTTGCAGTCTCCTTGCATGCAATGCACCACAGCCGTACGGACACCTACGATGGTTCGTGTACTCACTGCTCTGTGTAGAACCACAAGTGCTGGTCATGTCCTTTCCTTTTGATAAGTTCGAGGATTGGACAGTTCCTCCATTTCGTTTATGCTTCGCTTTGAAAAAAAAGCAAACCTTGGGAAGTACCTGCTTTCAGCCTGGCTTCGTCCTGACTTGATCGGCCTTAGGCCTTAGATCCGTACCAGATACTTTGTGGACCTGCTAGTATTCACCATGCCGCCGCCGAGAGCGATGTTATATGACCGAGCAAGTTCCTCACCTTCCATCTGGAACAACGCGGCGGTCGCCGCAGCTCCTCGTCGGCAAAGCCAGCAAACGATGAAACGAACCGTGAGTTTGCTTCGTGATTCTGTAATAATTATGCTTATGCATGAAGGGGGGTTGCATGCTTGGGTCCAGCTGAAACTAATATGGGACTGACTTCGGAGGATCCTGTTAGACTCAGCTCAACATCCGTACAATTAAATTAGTTGACTCTGAGTATTTCTCAAAGCATGAGAATTCATGACTTGACAGAGTGAGACCACAAGAAAACCATCTGGCATGCAGTCGGATGTCCCTGACTGTTTCTCTCAGTGCTTTTACTTTTATTTAGTTAGTACAGTAGAATGCCGATTTATCCGAAAGTCAACTATCCGCATGATCAGTTGTCCGAATGCCAGTTTTCGTTGAATTGAAGAGACGAAAATGAGGTTTTTGCTCATTTTCCCCACCCGAAGCCCCATTCAAGCGGGGCACAAGATGTTTTGGAACAGATTGGAGTGACAATGTATCACCGTAGAGTCATTTTGAGGAGCCAGAGTGTGTCTAGTTTCTGTGGAACTGCCGAAGAGAATGAGATTGGGCTCTTTTTTTGAGCTTTTCAATTCTTCGTTATCGCTAGAGGCTTCTATCTTCTTCTACTCTTTGGGCATTCCTCGCCGTATGTCAACAGTTGGTGAGAGTCATGTTATGTCGTACTCCTGCACACCTCAAATAAAACCAAGCGCAAACACGCTGTTCCTGATCCATTTACAGTACAGTGTATGCAGATGATAGGAGTCAAACCCAACGGAAATCCGAATGTTGCAACTTTCAACTTTCCACACATTTCACCGCAACTCCTTTATCAACTCCTTCGCGTGCAGCCTGTGCTGTGCGGATGGCACTCATGGCTTTGCGCCGTCCTGTGCCGTCGTACGTTCACAACAGTCTGAACGTGCCCTAAGCCCACAGTCGGTGCAACTTGTGCTGAGGAAGTGGCCACATCGTGGGGGAACAGATCAGAAAGTTCCCTCCAGAAATGCAGTGAACTTCGTGAGTATGACCGTACAACGTTCATAGCTCAGAGTACACCTTGAAGTGCAACTTTACAGTTTTGGCTGTCTGCGGTTTCTGATTTCTGCTATACCAAAAAGAAGCTCTGTGATTTGAAAACTGAATTCGCTGGGCAGAGAGAATGCACGCAGCCTGCTCGTACTGCCACGCTATCTGGTCACTTCAAAATGCACCTATTACCTGCTCACCATGCAAGCTACAAGCAAGAGAAGTGCAAGATGAATGAAGGACTGCAGCATTGGTAGCGTCAAACCCAAACCGTCGGACGCAGCAACGCACAGGTGCCGGATGGAGGAGATCGTCATTCTCATACATGCACCTGGTGGTGTTTAGTTGGTCACATCTTCTGGATACCACAATCAACCCCTGCAGCTTTGCCAAATCAAAATGTGCGTCGTAAACGTTAGCGCAAGGTGGCTGGGCCAGCTATGTATCACACTTCCTGGTCACAGTGTCGCAGCAACACCTGCGGAAAGCTGGGCAGGGTTTGATTCCTGACTCTGGGAGAACAGCTGCCAGCCATAAGAACTGGAAAGTGAGGCTATATGTTCTTCGAATGATTACGATGGCATCCGTCTACTAACTAACTACAAATCAATGTACCTGTAGCCATTTCCCCATTCCGATAATTAAAATCCCAACACTGTGAAGTTCATCCACCGTCCGTAGAGCGCTCAATTTGCCGAAAGCAAAGAGCGGAATACACAGACAGAAGAAAGAGCAGTTTTTTTGTAACTCTGGGTTTCACGAACAGAATCGATCATCAGATGAAAATGTCTGTGTAATCCACCATGATATCAATCAAACCGGATCTACACGTTTCCTCTCCCCTCCCGTCTCTTCCACCTAGAACTGCTCATATCTCTCTCTCTCTCTCTCTCTCTCTCATATCTCATATCTCATATCTCTCTCATATCTCTCTCTCTCATATCTCTCTCATATCTCTCTCTCTCTCATATCTCTCATATCTCTCTCTCTCATATCTCTCATATCTCTCTCTCTCTCTCTCTCTCTCTCTCTCTCTCTCTCTCTCTCTCTCTCTCTCTCTCTCTCTCTCTCTCTCTCTCTCTCTCTCTCTCTCTCTCTCTCTCTCTCTCTCTCTCTCTCTCTCTCTCTCTCTCTCTCTCTCTCTCTCTCTCTCTCTCTCTCTCTCTCTCTCTCTCTCTCTCTCTCTCTCTCTCTCTCTCTCTCTCTCTCTCTCTCTCTCTCTCTCTCTCTCTCTCTCTCTCTCTCTCTCTCTCTCTCTCTCTCTCTCTCTCTCTCTCTCTCTCTCTCTCTCTCTCTCTCTCTCTCTCCTCTCTCTCTCAACTGACTCAATATTGATTTCTTCAATTGAAGTAACAGAATCCTCTGCCAGGCAATATCAACATGCAATCATCATAACACATCCCATCAGATACATATACTTGCAGATGGATACAGGTTTTTTCCTTTGCCATCAGCATCTTCCAGTTTTTACTTTCGTAAGTTTCGTTTACCTCCACTGAGTTCAGCAAACTGCCCAATGACCTAGCCCTTCCACCTTTGGAACTAAAAATGGTTTTTATAGAGCATAATCATAGGCTGGAGTTGCACACTCTGCACTGGTTTGTACTCTTTAGTTCAACCATCCATATTAGCAAGAGTACATGGGGGTCATGTACTCTTGATATTAGTCAGTTCTACTTCTGGACTTGTAGCTGTGATATTTCCATTCGCATACCGTATATGGCTACTATTATAACCTTTTATTTGTACGATCTACGACGAGGCGAACGGTGGATCGACTTTTTTTGATTCTGTGCGCGAATATCATGAATATGCGATCAGGATTCAGGTGCAGGCCTCGTAATCTCGATTTGTGCTATTTTGACGTCAAGGCGGCTCGGTGCGTACAGTTCGGTCTTGTTTTGGCAAGTACCGTACATCTAGTGTATCTGGCCTCGTGGCATGCACATGCGGCAAAAACTTTGAAACTCCAAGTCCGAGTCCTACTGATTCAACACACCACCGGCACCTGTCTGATTTTCATGCTTTCCTTTGAGCTTCTAGATTTCCCTGAAAAATGAGAATTTTCAAGACAATGTCGTTAGGTGTGGTGTGGAAAGAGTTTGCTGGGCTTTGAGCAGTCCCAATCGACGGCCATGGCCGAGCACCGTGGAGTTGCTGATCGTGTTGCTGAGTGGAACAGAATGATTTTCTCTGGCACGCCGACAGCTAGTCCGGCTCCTGCCAAGGGCAGGTCCCTAGATTTTGAACCACCCAGTGCCGGATCTGCAAGTCCTCAGGCTCAGGACAACAGTCAGAGAGATTTGGCCGAACCTCAGGATGAACAGCGAACTGGCAGCAAGAAACGGCAATCTGGGAGTATGTCCTTGCACGGAAAGGATCGCAAACATAAATCACCCATACCGTCACCTAAGGGACGAACGGAGTCAAGCAGGTCTAGATTTGCATCTCGATCATTCATGACCACACCACACGACTCGAAGCCATCCCGGCCTAGATACCAGCCCAATCCAAGCGCAGGCAAACCACTGACACAAGTACGTGCTTCTGTCTATCTCTTTCACCAGGCCAGTCCTGGTTTGAATCGTTTGTCGGATTCATTCCCCTTGAGTTCGTTGACCTTGAATATTTGGAGATTACTGTATTTCCGTCCTCCACATGCACCATCGCATCGATCACTTGTATTTGTGCCTGTGTACGTGTAAAAACTCTAGACCTCGTCGGGAGACAGGCTGACTACGCGGCGTACACATAAGCAGGTAAGAGCCTGTCCACGAAGACGAAGAGCTATGATTGTGCTGGTGGCTCATTTTGACGGGAATCTCGTGGAAGTGCAGGACTAGTGGTGACATAAAGTGGTAAACAGGCTGGACTCTTCAAACGCTGATTTGATCTCTTGAGATGTACTTGTGGTACATGTACTAGTAATTGATTGTACACGATCTCATTGCTGGCACCGGCAACCTACCCTAATACTATTACAAAATAGTAAAGCAGTGTAAGGGATGCTTGTGAGTCTCCATTCACTGACCATGTAAGGCATGGTGAATTTTAATTAATTTGTTCCAGATTTGATTGAGTTCTATCCAATGGCGAATGGAAAAAGAACGAGTGCGTTGTAACTAGGGCAACAATCTTCCCTCCTCTCTTCCATGCGCTCTCCGCCGACACGTCGCTACCCCCAGTAGCCATTACACACACCAAACATTCCAGACAACGAAGGGATTACAGGTACTTGTTACTGGTATTCCTTCTGGCAGCTGTTTAGCTTACCAACGGCGAAAGTTATAACTAACTTCAACAAATGCTTCAAAGATCAACGAAATGTACACAATACCCGTGTAAAGTTTAGCAGTAGTGCCCACGAGCCAATGCGTCTTACAATTCCTGGGGCCTGAAAATAGAAGGTGGGCATTCAAACTACGATTAAACGGGAGCACCAAGCTGTGAAGCACGTAGCAATTTGCAAGCAGCTGTACCGTGGAGCCTTGAACTATTTGTGCGTATTTCATTGGCCCCGCGGTCTTCTGCTGCACTCCGGTCTCACTGTACATGTACATTACCTTACATGATTCTACTGTGAAGTTTGATGCGTGCAATGTCTTCCTGTAAGCGAGAGTACAGTGTGCGTCAGTCAGTGTACATTTGGAGTGTGTGCACTGGCATGCGCGTATCTCTTGGTCGCTCTACTGCGATGCTGGGCCCACGTCTTGGCGGTGGGCTCTGCACGAACCGGGTCGGTGGAAGGTAGTGGAAACCTGATTCTGCAGATGCTCGAGCTCGAGTTCCGCGCTATTGGCTTTTATCTGCGTTTTCAGGGAATTTAGCGTAAAACCTGCAAACTCCGTGGAATGTAAACGAAGCGGTACACTGCGGTGAAAATTTACTGCAGAATTGTACATATCCATGGATGTTCTACGGTTCCACGAGTGTGTAGAAGTTGTATGTGTGCATGAGGATGTACACTAATGTTATACCAGTGGCTCCTTGCGTAATGACCGCTTTGTAAATTTCCACATATTTGCGGTGGCCTATTTTCGCTCGCATAATTAATGTTATGATTATGCGCATAGTTCTGGGGATTTGTCCGCGTTGTTCTGTGTGGAGAGAGACTGTGGTCCAAATGTAATCTACATCATGCATGTGTTTAGTGTTCCGTTGCGGTAGTGTTGTTTGTCTGCCTAGTGTTGTCCAGATGCCGAAAGGCAACGGATATGTACTAGTACTTGAAGTACACGGACAATGACTGTGCAGTGGTGTGATGTGTGTGGCTAGTCTGTCCTGTACGCTCACTTGCTCTGCACCAGAATAATAGCGTCGCCATGATGCATGTCCAGCTTAGGCATTTCACCGTATGTGCCGTTGGAGAACAGTGTCTTCGCCAGCTGATGGTGTTGCTTATGTGCGTGTGTGTGTGTGGGGGGGGGGGGGGGGGGGTGCAGTGATAAGCGTGGTTTAAACGAAACTGATAGACTTCAATGTCTAATTGTGATGGTCTGGTGGATGGTCTGATGTATGTGTGTTGGGGGGGGGGGGGGGGGGGGGGGGGGGAGGTAGGCAGTGATAAGCATGGTTTAAACCAAATAGAAGACTTCAGTGTGCAAGCGTGATGGTCTAGTGTGTGTGTGTGTGTGTGTGTGTGTGTTGGGGGGGGGGGGGGGTGCAGTGATAAGCATGGTTTAAACCAAATAGAAGACTTCAGTGTGCAAGCGTGATGGTCTGGTGTGTGTGTAGGGTTGGGGGGGGGGGGGGGGGGGGCAGTGCTAGTATATGCATGCTCCATTTCAGCGTCCGTGATTCTCTTCTACTTGTGTCCGCATGCACTCGCCACGTGAATTGTTTTAAATGCATTAATGTTGCGTGCCCCTGTCTCTCTGCCGTTCTGCAGGAAACCCTATTCTTTGGTGATGGCTTGTACGACTTGTCGACTGAGTACAATGAAGAAGTATCGCAGTTCAAAGAGAGCCTTGCCACGTAAGGATCAGTTTCCAGCAGCAGCATATCAAGGAGCTGAAGCTCTTCACCTGAATTGACGGCGTGTGTTGTATTCAAACCACCACCGTTTCTTTCTCCATCGTGCTTCCTTGTGTATCATGCATGAGTCCACGCTCTCATGATAAGCCGCGAGCGCTAAATCTCATTGCACGCTTGTCTGTTGGTAGTAGATATTGCATAGTTTGACTTGCTCTACTTCATCCCCATGTATCCACTGCTGAGACTGGATCGAAACGCTTTTAGAGACTATCTTGAGTTAACTTGGTGATGAATTGTGCAGCCCTGTTGCTATGTGTGATTGAATGTTCCCTCTCCAAAATACCTTTTTAAATACCCTCTGATTCTCTTGTGTCTGTATATATGTGTACGTGCGTGCGTGTGTGTGTGCACGCAATTGTGTTTGTGCATGTATGTGTCTGTGTATGTGCCTCTGAACGTGCATATCTCTCTCTCTCTCACTCACTCTCTCTCTCTCCAGGGTACGCCAGCAGTACAGCTGCTCCGATGCGTCTACAAATCCCGGCCATGCGTATAGTCCTGCGGTTGCTTGGATGCCCATCGGCAATTCGACTCTCAACCTTACAATCTCTGTTGCAACGCATCCACGTCCGCTGCGCATATCTGTTGATGGTTAGACTCATTGCATGTGTGGCACCACAATATGTTCTGTGCTGTTTGTCAAGTTTGCTTTAGCACATACGTCCAGCATGGTAGACATACTACGCACAGCCAACTCGGCATCACACTTGCTCCTGCCAGTGACATTTCTATGAATGCAGAAACCTGGGTGACGAGAAACCTGTCACGAGTGTTCCGTACGAAACCTTTGTTGGGTGTATTGTAATATCTGTCTGCAGCTTCTTGCACCGTATCCGACGTCCTGACGCAGATCGTCATGCAGGAGAACTGTGCGATTCCCGCCCCAGAGCAAAAACCCAGTCGCTCTGCCACACTCTGCATGCAACGTTCGAGTTCGGACGTACAGCCAGGGTCCGGTGAGTCCTGCTTTGTTCGTGCTGTCGGGTGCCATGTGTGCGTGTGGATGTAGCGGACGCTTGATCAAGGGGGAGAGAAGGCGGTGTGTTAGTGCTGGTTTTGTCCCCGCTGTAGAGCACTCATTGATCTGGTTACTTTAACTAAACACTTACGTATGTAGGGTAAAGTGAATGTCATTACTATAAAACTTGTAGTAGGACGTTGGTTCGGGTCACTGCGCCATGTTATATTCCACAAACTTGGATAGAATGTCCCAAAGCACATAAGGAAAGTGCCTTATGTACAGACTACATATTAGTGCTACAGACTGCATATTAGCGCTAGCTAGCTGAGCATGCCAATTGTATTAATAATGTGATGCAATTGATCCATGTACTCTGAAGTACATACGCTATCACACCAGTTTGTACACGGCACGGTTTTCTTTCTTTGACCACTTGATGGTCGGTCTGATCTTGTCACCTCTAACCGCTGCTTTTCGATTGTGTGAGTGTGCGTGTGTGTGTGTGTGTGTGTTCGTGTGTGTTTGTGTGTGTGTGTGTATGTGTGTGTATGTGTGTGTGTGTGTGTATGCGTGTGTCCATATCAGCTGCTTCAGTGGCAGTGGGAACCGTTTCCAGTGCTGGTGATGTCCCCGCTGCAGCAGGTGAGTTGGTGAGCGACCCAGGTCACCTCGCCGACAATAATAGGGAGGTTTAGTTCCCACGTAACGGAAACGCGTACGTGGGTGATCCACGTAAAGTGGATGAAGGGCATCCACGTTGCAATGTTGTGTTTAGTCACACAGAACAAACAAAAGCATGAAGCGAAAGGCCCGAACCTGGTAAAAGACGAAGCTACCCGGGCCTAAGAAGCTCATCCAATATTTTGATTTCGTGCTTCGGAAACTTCTTCAGCTGAGCACCCTCACAGCTCGCACAATGCGCTCCATTCTGATTTTCACCCACGTTCTGGCGGAACGTGGGTGAGCCTCCATACACGGTATGTCGTGAATCAGAAAACGTCTGTACGTGGGTCACTGAGTATCACGTGGTACACACACGTAAAGTACCCACGGATTACGTGGGACTAAACCTCCCTAATGTCATCTATCAACCCTTTACCGTCCGCACTCAATGTATACAGAGAATTGCATCGTCTAAATTTTTACCTTGAATTGGATGTGACTTTTGTTTCCCTTCGGCAATCATCATCATCTTGGGCACCCTGGAAAGCACGGAGGAGTTTCAGCGCTGGGCTTGCGCTCTCGATCGATCTCCATCCGCCATTTTACTCTTCTTGCTTGTATGAAGCTCAAGTTTTTGTAGCCACTCATGGGAGTCATAGTTCGAATTTGAAAGAGTGCATCCTTGCCAACAGCTGACGTGTTTAGGGAAAATCCCAGCCGTTGAGTCACACATCGCGCCCTGAGCGCCAATTGACCATGACGAAAGTAACTTGCAAACCGCTTGTCACATCGCGTCGGCAATTGTTCGAGACGACAGCTGGGAGTTTTCTCTTCGACCTACTTATTTCGTTTTCTCCAAAGACCAAGAATTGACCAAGTTAAGATACAGTCAGACCTCGCTTAACCGCACATATCTGTTTTCCACAAAAATATCCGGATAGGCGAGGGAACCGGATAACTGAACACACATACTGTATATGCATGTGGCATGTCAAAAGCAGTGGCATCGTACATACATACATGATACCTGTACATGTAGACGGGTCCTATGCAGTACAACTAGCGTGCACAGTATGTAAAACAAACGAGAAAAATGACAAGTGCATGCAACTGAGTGCTGTCCACATGCACCCAGCAGGTCAAGGACCTCATTTGCCTGTACAACTCCCTGATTCTAGTATACTGTATAGCTTCTGCAAGCCACATGCAACCGGATACGACGAAGCTTTTTGTGCACATTTTAACCAGTTTGTACACAAAATCATGCACCGGTATGCGGATCGCGAGGTCCGGTTATGTTGTATGCATAACATATGCTGCACATCGGTAACCAGCGATTTTCTTCCGGATGGCGAGGGATCCGGATAAACGAGGACCGGATAAGCGAGGTCTGACTGTAGTTTGAAAATTTGGAACAGCATAGCGATCATCGGTATGGTCGTTCAGTCGATTTACGTTTTGTTGAACAAAGCTGACACGTCTAATCTTGAATTCCTTTTTTCAAATTATAGGCCGAAAAACACGAACGTTCGTCCCTCCCTTATTCCTGTGCCATGTAAAAAGTACTAAAATATCATTCACTTTGCGCATCATGTTTTCGAAGTTGGACATTTGTTGTCCAATCCCTTAGACATGTACAGCGACTGGGTGTGAATAGAATCCCCGGGGCTCTACTCTTCAGAAGACGTATTGAGAGGAGAGCTTTTTTTTTCTTCAACTACAGTCAACTTCGCTTATAACGACACTCAGCGGGGCATCAGAACAGTGTCCTTATTCGCGAAGTGTCGTTATACCCGAAGTCTCATTTTATGGGCCACAACCAGCTAAAACATGTCTTAGAGTGAAAATTTTCAAATTTTGTTTTCCTCCAGAAAACAGTTCTTGGGACCTTACTTGACCTCTTGAAGGTGATACAGGGCAGAAAATTAGTCTACAAGTGCCCCAAACACCGCTTTCAAAATATGTACTTTGAAATACTGAAGTAGAAAATTACAGTTTTCGCACAGTCTGACACAAAGAGACAAACTATTACTTAGTGGCTTTTGTGGCGGAGCACAATATAACGGAACTAAAGATGTTGACACCGACTTGAGCATGTCGACGACATCAGTTCAAAGGCATGGCCCAAGTTCTTCCTGGAAAGCAATACGATGCTCTGGGCGGCGTTGCACTTGCATACTCTTTCGATTCTGGCAGTAACACTTTCGATCGTCGCCTGCGTTTCCGAGACTGCGTCAGACGCCTCATGAGAGCTGAACGCAAGTAACGTCGTAAGGCAGCCGGTTCGCCGCCTAAATGATTATGTACTAGCCCACAACTTGTGCCTCTTCGCTACTGGAGACGACGGGGACGATTCAGCTTCGCTGTCGACATCAACATCACTGAGATCCCAACAAATTGTCAGCGTCGCTCTGCAGACCCGCCGCCACGGACTTGCAGACACCTGAACAAACCTGGGCCATGCACAGCGATCGTCTGGCCCTGCGAGCTGCTCTAGTATCACTAGATGCCGACATTGTCAGTCTTTGCTCGCCAGCTACTTGAAGTAGACCGCCAAGCAAGTGTTTGAACAAAATTTGAGAAGATGATCGCCTCATCATGAATCATTTGAATGAAGTGCAGAGTGAACGCGCTCCAAAAAAACATTTTTTTCATTTCGTCATTTCCCCACTTTTTTACGAAACCCCAAAGACATGTTTTAGCTGATCGCGGCCCATATGTATTTCAGTTGGATGGGACTTTGTTCTGGGCATGGAAATTCTGTCGTTATTCGCGAATTGTCGTTATATCTGCAGTCCTTATTAGCGAAGTTGACTGTATTATATATAAGTTGTAATATTACAGGGTGCGACAGTGCTCTCGGCCGTTGAAGAAAATGTAGTGGTGGAGGTGATTCTGAATATAAGTTGTGTCATGTACTTCTTTCCGTGTTGGTGTTTCCCTATTGTAGCGGGTCCGAAGCGCAACAGCGCCGCGTCTATATTCTCGCATAACAGTAGATCGAAAACCCGCCCACTAAGCCTCAGTCCAGACACGAAGGCTCCGTTGCAGAGCAATGGCCGGCGGAACTCACCAATGGCGCGGACAACCAACGACCGGAACAATGCCACTGATTCTGCGCCGCCAACTGTCAACGACAAGGCAGTTACGACGAGCTATCACGTGACAACGGAGCGACTTCTCGGCCCGACGAAAAGCCTGGTCCTCAAGGTGGCCGGCCAGGCTGAGATTCTCAAGCAGTAAGGTTTTGTTTGGTGTACTAGCAGCAGTTGTCGTAGAGAAACAAGGTTATTTTTGTTTTGGCCCTATAATAACCCTATATGGAAGTTGTAGAACGTCAGTACCGTCGTTCAGTGTCGGGCAATGTTATCGCATGAGCTGATTGTTTAGTAACTGGTGGTGTTAGTGGACATTATAGTGTACCTTGTAGTTCCTTGATCCTTTTTACTTTTTATAAATAATCCTTGGCTCTCCATCCGAGTTCATTCCATATGGATGTTCTTCGCTATTGTGGTGAATGTGCATACCATGCGGGCCTGCCCTGAGCACAGTGGAGTGTGCTAAATCTTCTTTTTCACTCTTCTACTTGCAGTGATGTGAAGATTGGCCTTTACCAGTACGTCCATCATTGCCTGCGCTTCAACAGGCCTATTCACTTTGAGGTACTGGCCAAGCAGTCGTTGAACTCCCTGGAAAGAACGGTAAGTGGCTGTCAGTCACTGCTGGCGTTGGTGTATAGCCCTGCCTCATGTTCACCCTTCCCTGGGCTTGGGCCAGTTGGGGCCATCGTGTAACGACCATGTGTTTGTTTTGCCAAGGTGTTTGGGGTGCGTGGATAGATACAGGGGTTGCACAAATGTCTGGAAGTCTTGAGATGGTCTTGATTTTCATTTTTCAAGACCTTGAAAAGTTTGGGATTTTGATTTTTCTGCATCTGGTAGAAACTTAGAAGTGGCAACTCCGGCGGTATTAGTGATGAAGTAGCAGGAAGCGTGTGTTCCACGTAGGAACAACCAACTGATCTGGTACAGTTGTCTCATTTGGATTTTTTATTCGTTATAATGCGTGTGGACACATGCCCTCAGGTATCGTTACTGCAGTTTTATGTTGTCTCCGCAACATGTGTCGTGCAGTTCACTCTTTGGCTACTCTACAATTCTGTAGTGATATAGTTGTGCGTGCTTGTGTGTTTCTGTGTTCTGTGACATGCTCAGGCTGATGACGATGCGTACGATAGTAGGCCGCAGCGTTTCGCCAGCTTCATGCCAATCGCAGAAACCACATCTATTAGCAAGTGAGTGGCAATACTCTGTGAATATTTTTTTGACGGAATTGCAAATAGAAGCTGTGTTCCCTGGTTCGAGTCCTGGTGGTGACAGTCCATTGTTCTTCGGACTTCTTCATTTTTCAATAGCCTCAACTAATGAAACTGTGCTTTAGTCATTTTTATTCTGCATGCTCTATCTACCTATCTGTCATGCCCATGCTCACACATGATGTCAATGTTCATTTTGAACCACTGTCGGTGTTGTCACCTGTAAAGCGGACATTCTATCTCTTCTGTTGTTGTTGTTGTCGTTGTCGTTGTCGTTGTTGTTGTCGTCGTTGTTGTTGTTGTTGTTGTTGTTGTTGTTTAAAATCTTTATTCTCACGATAGCCAGTGGCCAATAAGAGATTGTTGTTGTTGTTGTTACTGCTCAGACGTGGTTTGGATGTATTGACAGAAACGTTCGGCAAGGAGTGCGATCGCTTGGTGAAATCTAGCCCAGTAAGTCGGATCTATCGTGCGTTTAAAAAAGTTTTTCATTCCTTCGCTCTTCATTTCTCCACTAAGTGCATAGAGAAGTTGATTGTGTCAGGAAATGTGCTCAGCAGATGCTTCGGGGCAATTTCATCTCCATGTACAATTTGTACCGGGCATTCTGTCATCAGATGGAAACAGTTTTAAGCGGGCACCCTATTTCTGTGCACAACATACATGTATCTTGTGCTTCTATTTGTGACATCGCTGTTTTTGGTAGAGTTCTATCGTTCTACTAGTGATGCAATGCCTCTTTTTATCTGTCTGTGTTCTGCCTTCTCCATCCAGAGTGACCTTGTGCAGAACTGTGATCGGGTCCTGCAGACTGCCAAGGCGTTCGTCGTTAGTCTCGCGTCCGTGGAGAGCTGTGCTCTGACCGAGAGTCTGACACTCCTGAAGTGCATCTGCAGCGTCTCGGCAAAGTCGAACGACATGGAGAAAGTGAAGAAGACGGTAACCGAAGTTCGCAATGTAGTGGCCGAGGAGGTGAAGACCTATTGTCAAGCGTTTGAACTCGGCGTGGACCCGCAGCTGGTCGACATCTCGTCGCCTTGCGTTTCGCTGCGCGATGTTGAGAAGGACTTCAAGCTCTCTGTCCACGTCTCCAGTGCTCATCGGTTACGTATGAAGTAAGCCACTGGTCTGCTCTTCTCTGCTGGTGTTGTCTCTCTAGTCTGCAGAGTGCATGTTTGCATTATGGCATACATACCATATTCACGCACATATAAGGGCACATACATTATTTGAATACAAGGGCACCTCCACATATAAGGGCATGAAAAACCCAAGGGCTAAGAGTGTATTTTGAAGACTCGAGTACTCATAATTGAAAGACATGCCCTTGTATCCGGAACATTGGTTTCCTACACTTTTTTTGTGGTGGATTGGAAAAATGCATTTTTTTCTCGTATATAAGGGCATGCGCTTGTATGTGGGTGAATATAGTCAGCCTGGCTTGATGATGATGATGCTAGATGATCATCATCCTACCAGCTGCGTTAGTGCTTTCTATATTTATTCAAACTTTGCGTCAGCTTGTTTGTTGACTTCGTGCGGAGGTCAACTCGTGGACGGGAGATTTTGCGTGCATTTTAGTTGATGTTGCTTTTGTTGCTGCCACTGCTTCTAATACTAGGGAGCCAGTTGGTTTGATGGTGTCCTTGGAACATGCGGGTCAGCTGTTGACGGCACCCATCAAGACTGAACTGGTCGCACCCAGCGACAAGCTCTTCCTGGATAGTGCTATTTGGAACACGTGGTACGTACTGCTATCGTATGCATGCGCACACCGCGCACCCACTGACACACGGACACACAGGCGCGTCCGCGCACCCACCCACACACGGACACACATGCGCGTTCACACACACACCACATTGGTCCAGATTTCATTATTTCTTTGCAGCCTATGGTTTTCTAGGGCTTCGCAAACTCGTTTTGGCCATTTACACGTTGCTTTATGCTCTCCAAACTCTCACACACGGTCTCTCTGCTGCAAGCGTCACTTCAGGTTCACCAACTTTCCTGGCTTGGCCTATAATGGGGGGGGGGGGGGGGGGGGGGGCAGTAAAGCTAACGGCAAATACCAGCCTGTACTTCAGAAGTAATTATTGTAAGTGTTGGGTGAAATGTTTTGAAAGACTGCTTGAATTCACACGTACTGGTGCCAGTAGTCTTGTCTTGCCGCCAGTCGGATCTAATGTGCAGTATCGACTTCTCATCTTATCAAGCGTGTGAGAAGACAATGCATAGGTAACATAGAAGACCTTCCGGGTAGAACATCTCTCTCCCTTCAACGGTGTATGTTGAAAGCTGGATATGCGTCTGGACTGACAGGTTCACAGTGCAGGTTTTGCTTCCATGGTTGCTTGATGCAGGTCTCCTTTCCTCTTTTTTTTGCTTTCTGTTGCTGGTGCATACATGTATGTGTACGTGTGTGTGTGTGTACGTGCGTGTGTGTGTGTGTGCCATCCGGCCATTGTGTGTGCAGGTTGGACTTCATACCGCTCGTCAATGTGCCGAGAGAAGCAATGGTTCGCTTCGTTCTTTTCAAGCAGCCGGACAAAGACACTGACTACGAGAAAGAACTGCCCGCGTCTCCTGTCCAGTCGAGTATCGGCGAGGGCGTGCACCCCATCGGCTGTATAGCCGTGCCGGTCTTTAACTTCAAGGGGTGAGTTGCCTTGTGGTGTTAGAGAATATTGCACAATATCATGTTTGATATGGTTCTCGGCGCAAGTTATCCACACTTTAGCGCTCATCGCATACTGTTACTTGTAACTCATCACGAACAGTGATACTGCTATCCATGTGGTTATTCAATAATTAATGTCACTAGGTCTGCCCTCTACACGAACCGGAGTGGCTTTCTTGCTGATCTTTGACTGGTATGGACCCATTGCGCAATGACGTAATTTGGACCGCAAACCACAGCCACCTGGGCATGGTCGTCTGGGGTTGTTGAACAGTGCATCCTTGATCCCAGCGTACTCACATGCATTGCTAATGTAATCCATGTTCGGCAATGTGCAATGGGTCCATTGTGTTTGATCTGGAAGAATTTTACTTACCGCTGTGCGTGTGTGTGTCTGTGTGTGTGTGCGCGCGTGTGTGTGGTGTGTGTGTGTATGTGTTTGTGTGTTTTTTCCTTGCCTGGGGTCTACCTGCAGACGCCTGGTGACGGGAAAGCAAATGCTGGGGCTATGGCCGTATCACCAATATCCGCCATACGGCTTTGTCTCCAGCAACATCATTGACAAGGAGAGCGTCATTATCCAGGTACAGTATTCGGAGACTATTCTCTATGATGCTGGTAACGGGTCTGGTTTGTCACTTCACACCGCTTCCAGGGGCTTCTTCTGTGACTACAGCCTCTTTCTTGAATACAGTACTGCCGGTCCCCGAAGAACTGGGGGTCAGCCTCCTAGCCTAGACCGTTCCTATTTTCATGTATTACAGTCTATGCAGAGTCGAGTCACCGTGTATACATTGGTATGCTGTGCTTGGTGAAATTCTGGCCTGGTCGTTCTTCGGCACTCCGTTCTTCGGCGCCCGGCAGTACTGTAGTGCCTAAACTGTGTTGTGCATGGCCGATTGCTTGGTTACTCTAATTTCAGAAATTTTCGGTGCTCAATGTTTTCGGTATGAGGGCAAAGGGCCAGGTTAGGTGAACAGAAATTTTAGGTACAGAGACGCAGTTCCCTATTGGATTATGTGTGTTAGTGTTTGTTCGGTGTATTGAAATTTTAGGTGTGAAACAGATGCACCGAAAGTGCCGAAAATAAAATTACACCGAGAATGTGTGGAATTACAGTAGTTCAGGACTGTGACGCTGCTGCTGCTGCTGGTGTAAATTTTACTGTTAGGTATGGCGAATGTTACACAAGATTTTGCGAAAAGAAAAACTACAAATTTCAAGCTCTTTACCACCATCGTCATCAATCGGGACTCAGAAATTCACCAATCAGTTTTCGGGCATACTCTTCAAGAGAAGTTACAAGCAACCAGAACCAATGAAAAAGAAAGAGAGAAAAGAACTTCGAATGACATAGTCGGCGAGAAGACAATAATTAAAAAAAAAGAAAAAAAGTTCAAGCCCAGCATATTCCACCACCAGCGGATCAATCAGGTGATGTTTTGTTATGTTGAGTTGATAATTATACTCTTACTCAGATCCTGTGTTTCCTCATCCTGTTTTCTGGCTGCAGTTCAAGATCGGTTTTCCTGGCATGGAGGTCTCATTCCCGCCACCGGACCCATTTGAAACGTGAGTGTACATAGCACATGCACGTATTGTTATTGTGTGTGTGTGTGTGCGTGTGTGTGTGTGTGTGTGTGTGTGCGTGTGTGTGTGCGTGTGTGTGTATGTATGTGCTTGACTGAGAACTATGAGGCGTGCATCCATTTCACCTGAGAAAAGCCAGGTTTCCTGGGTGCCACCTACAGTTTTCCAACCGTTGTCCTGTGCTTGTTTTGGTCCTTTGCTTCCCGACCCCAGGATGGAGTCGACTGAGAAGGAGAGGCCTAGCTCTCCGTTCAAGGACAGCGTTGAGCATGCAATACGTATGATCATGACGAAAGGAACAGCGGAAAGGTACAGCCGATTGCCATTTGGGGACATGTTGCAAACAAGGCCCTACCCAAAAAGTACCCCCTTTTAGATTCTTCACCTTTCACTCACTTCTTTTTGTGCCTGAGTCTAGATATTAGATCCCACTCGACGTAAGTAGCCTCATGCCATTAACTCTGGTAACGCCTCAATATGCTACATGCCCGGATCATAATGTGCAAAAGACACCGCATTGCATGCACTTCCTGACTGCCACCCATACGTGCCCGGCGGAATGCTAACCCTGAACGTTAGGGGCATCCGAATTTATCGCGATATCTGTGACGATTAGTTGATATAGGACGGATAATATGATACACTAGAGTCAAGAGACAATAGTTACTTCTACGTTGTGTTTTTAGTTCCAAACCATAATCCAAGAGCGTCCTAAAACGGTTACTGAATTCCAACTACCAGTGGAAAGACAAGTCCTTTTCTCCAAGGACAAACAGCAAAAGGCCCCAGCCAGCCAGAAAAGGATACGGGAAATCAAATGTGGAATACTACCGTACTGCGCAGTAGAGCGCAGAAGAACCGCGCGCGCGGGTGCGTGACATAAATGAAGTGTGAGCAGGATTAAAGTACGATTTATGCTACAGTTCAAGCTGACAGAACACGTGCAGTGCTACACCGTAGCCGTGTACCACGTGGAAGCAAACAGAAGTAGAGGAGACACGGGATAGCAGACATGAACTCAGGGTCAAACTGATAAGCGTGTAACGTGAATGCATGCAGTATATGGAGACCAGAGAAAGACACAGAGCTCAGTGCGTACCGAGTACTACACACTAAACTCGTACACTTGAATGTCACGACACTCCCAGCGGAAAGAGAAAAACAAAACAAAGGATGAAGTAGAGGAGCATGCCTTGCCGTAGCTGCTGTTGGATCATGTTGTCATATTTGATCTTGAGTTCCGGCTCGGCTGCTAGGCGCTTGGAGAGAGACCGGAAACGACCAAGCGCGAGACCATAGTTTTCGGGCAGTAGATGGGCATTAGATTTCCAGGGCCAACTGACCTCATACCTCTGACCGTCAAACGTTACAGTGGAGTTGAATTGCTGAATGGCTAGGTCGTTGTTCGTCAGATTGGCTGAATCCTGGATACCAATGCAGTCTTAGCTGTCTAAGTCCCACAGATCTGGGATGGTGCAGGAGTCGGGAGTCGCATCAGTCAGAGAGACGATAGCTGGCATGGCTGTGCTGCTTATCGGTGCAGCTGAGGGCTTGGAGTGACGTGTTCGGCCAGTCACCACAAAACCGACTGTGGTGGGCAGAAGCTGCAGTCCTGACGGAAGTCCTCTGGTGCTCCCCGCCATAAACTCCCAGAGGAAATCTGTACCGATCAAGACGTCTATCTGACGGTCAACTTCCTGCAGGTTGATAGTGTCCGCCAAGTTGTCTGTACCCAGTTCTTGGAGTGCCATGATATCCGCTGCTGGGATACCCTGCTGAGTGATAGTGTTTGTGATATGTGGCAACACGCTGGCTTCGATTTTTTTGGATGAGCCATCCTTCAATCGCAGACCAAGACCCACAACTCGGACCTTCCGTTGCGTCTTCCTTCCATAACCGAAGGTAGATAAAGAGAGCCACTCATAACGTGCCGCATCTGCTTGAATGGAGTCCGCCAACTATTACTTCTCTGTCAGATAAGAGCGGTGACTAGCAGAATCGAAGAGAACTGTCGCCATGACTGTGGGACCGTCTGCACTCTCAATCGGAACTCTCGCTGTTTGCAGGTAAACATCAACACTTGCGATAGACGACTGAAGTGCAGCAGTGGGCTGCGTTTGAGGGGCCGCTGTGTCAGCAGCTATGGCGATACTGGTTGATGCTGCACTGGCCGTTGTTGTGCTAGATGCTGGTACCTCGTCAGCCACAGGTTGATCAGCTACCAGGTTGGTACTGTTGCCAGATTTCTGTTGAGATTCAGGGCAGATCGTGACATGATGGTGACCCATGCGAGAACACACATTACACTTGCGGGTGGCCTTGCACTGAGTTGACCGGTGCCCTGTGCGCAAACACACAAAGCAATGCTTCTGTTCTATCAGTTCATCTTTCCGCTGTGCTACTGTTCCGTATTTCGTGCAGCTCTTGTCCAGGTGAGATCCGCCGCAGAATGCACATCCTCTCATACTGCTGGCATTCCAGTCACCATCAGACTTGTTCCTGCTCATGAACTTGCGTGCGCCCGTCACCAGTGCACCTGCAGAATAGCGAGTGGCATCTTCTGCTGTAGTGCCGCCTGTGTTCGTGCGGCGCAGAACGGTTTCCTGCATGATGACATAACGCTTCAGTGCTATTCTGAAGTCGTTCAGTTTCCACTGTGTCCCAGCATCTGCCAAGCCTCGCGATTCTTCGAGTTTGGTGGCAACAGTGATCGGCAGTTTACTCCAGAGCTTCTGGCATAGCAGTCGCTGCTCATTCAGTTGCTCACCCTGCGTCTCCAGTTGGCAAAGTATTGCCTCCATGTCGCTCTGTACATGCCTGATGTCGCTGAACGAGTCTCCAGCACGCGAGATGTCTTCTAGTCTACCGTATAGACTAGAGATTATGGCTTCTGTGCGACCAAACGTTTCGCACAGGATCTGCTTCACAGTGGTGTAGTTGGCGCCTGTCACCGAGATTCCCTCTATCGCCCTGGCTGCCGCACCAGAAAGCGTAGACTACACGTACGTCAACTTCGTGACATCTGCCATCCTCTGTAAGTCCACACTGGCGATGAAGCGGTCCCAGTAATCAGGCCATTCTAACACGTCACCACTAAAGTTCGGTGAGCTCAGCTTCGGCAGCTGCGCCTTTGGTTGCGAGCTGTGGTGCGTGTCACTTAGCGCACTTACTGCCGCTTGTGCCGCATACGCTGCTGCTTCACTCACTGCGCGGTGGAATGATGCGGAAGTGTTTAAACTGAGTTCAGGCATCGAGCAGTACCGATGCATATCTGCAACTGGCGTTGACTGGTCCCTCACCGACTGGATGGATGCTGCCGCTGAGGAGCAATCCAGTGACTGTGGCGGCGGTGGTAGTGGCGCTGTCGATGCCAGTGGGGTGAAGGCCGACACAGCCGGATTGAGGGAGAACTCAACGGGACGTGCCGGTTCCATCTGCGCAGCCGCGTCGACTACCGCCGACTTCCGGGAGCTGATCGACTGCGTTGTAGAATTTTGAGTACTACTACTGCATGTGCTGCTACTAGCGCTAGATGTACTGTGATTGAGCTCCTTGAGAACGGTGCACGCGTCTAAAATGCTAGTGTTGGAGTGGTCAAACTCAGCTTCCCAGTGTTCAAGCTCGTCCAATGCTTTCTCAGCATCTTCCATCTCGTCGTAACATTCATACCTTTCCCTGATCTTTTCGCAGATAGCGTTAGTCCTCTGAATTGCTACTTGGATCAGGTTCAAATCGTTCTCCACGCTTGAACAAATTATTTTTTTCTTTTTCCTTACCCAGCTCGTAATAAATTCTGTTGCGGATCCGGGTTACCTGCCCTTTGGCACTACGGCGCTGTAGCAGCAGCCGCTCTAGTGAAACCGTTGCGTTGTCTGACTCAGGTTTTACTTCCTTGTCGTCCGACATCATCGTCGGGTTGTGATTCGTCCAGTCGAATCAGCGTTCGTCAGGATCCGGATCCTGGTCACAGCACCATGTAACGATTAGTTGATATCGGACGGATAATATGATACACCAGAGAGTCAAGAGACAATAGTTACTTCTACGTTGTGTTTTTAGTTCCAAACCATAATCCAAGAGCGTCCTAAAACGGTTACTGAATTCCAACTACCAGTGGAAAGACAAGTCCTTTTCTCCAAGGACAAACCGCAAAAGGCCCCAGCCAGCCAGAAAAGGATACGGGAAATCAAATGGAATACTACCGTACTGCGCAGTAGAGCGCAGAAGAACCGCGCGCGCGGGTACGTGACATAAATGAAGTGTGCACAGGACTAAAGTACGATTTATGCTACAGTTCAAGCTGACGGAACACGTGCAGTGCTACACCGTAGCCGTGTACCACGTGGAAGCAAACAGAAGTAGAGGAGACACGGGATAGCAGACATGAACTCAGGGTCAAACTGATAAGTGTGTAACGTGAATGCATGCAGTATATGGAGACCAGAGAAAGACACAGAGCTCAGTGCGTACCGAGTACTACACACTAAACTCGTACACTTGTATGTCACGACAATATCTTCTACACGTAGCGAAAAAGTTTCATTTATGGGAGGGTGGGTCAAGGAGAGTTTCGTTTTGAAAAATATTGATCTACTTCTGCAGCAAGTGAAGGCAACACCAACCCGTGGCCCGATTCCTTGTTCCAGCCACCTCACCTATGGTGTGAACCCCATACTAAGTATGCTTAGCGCAATGCAAGCGTGTAGAGTTTTGAAGTTGTCCGCTACATGGTTCCTCGGCTGCAGGGATGTCGAGCTGCACGCGTGCAGAGACAATTTGTCTCGACGTCAACCATGGCCTTCACTAGGACTGATTGTCTGAAAGTGTTGGGATTAGGAGAGGGTGCATCTGCAGCAGACATCAAGCCGGCGTACTATAGCCTGTCCTTGCGGCTCCTTTCGGATACAAATCCTGGAGACAAGGAGGATGTGCATACTCGCTTTATGGCTCACTGGTAGTTAATGTTATCGTGGTCCATCGGGACACGGGCTGTGTTTTCTGGCAGGCAGTCGGACCTATAAATATGTGGTCTCGTGAATGGAGAAGAAGCGGGAAACGACATGGAAGCCGGGTGCAGCAAACGTGGACGACATTATGCGGAAAGCAAGAGGCCATTTGGAAGAACATTATCACGAACTAGTAAAGGGCCCAGCCACACTACCCCTGCCACCAGAAACTGCGGCACGCTTTCGGGTTGACTGTTCGGTATGGTGTTTGATCACCAACATCCGAGTTCATTTCCATGAATGAACGGTTTGTTGCTGCACCGTCACAACAAGCTAGCACAACCTGAAATCCTCTATTGTGCAGAGCGGAAACTCCCTGTCAGAACATTCAGTCGATGTGGCTTGCGGCTAACCCTTTAGAGCCTAAATTATTTCAGCAGATGCATGAAATTCACAAACTCACATTTTCATCTGACTGTACTTTCGATATCCTTTGGAGTATTCCAACAATCTCGGGCTCAATGGAAAGCTCTCTCCAAGACGAACACAGCCACACCCAGTTCGCAATTGATAGTCGTAGGAGTAACGCAGCAGCGCGATCTGAGCGCTCCAATGCCAGACCTGCGAGCGCGGTACTAAATTCTCAGCCATTTCAACAATATCGATCGCAGAACGGTCAATTTTTTTGCAGGAGAGAGCTTCAAAATGCAGCTTTAAAACGACGTATGCCAGTTGTGCATGGGTCGGCAGCGAGTCAGGGAAAATCCCTTGCTGGCGTTTCAAATTTACGCCGGCTCGAGCTGACTCGCCCACGCGAATTTCGTTCGAGTGTCATAACTCTGCGCCATGACCTCGGATCGTCTTCGGGTTTTTTGAGCCGACAGCTGAGGCTTTTCTGATACGATTAGACCTTTCGTTCGTTGAATGGACCCATTGCGCAATGACGTAAAAACACCCTTCACAGCCAAATATGGAATGCATGAGTAATGCTTGTGAGTATGCTGGGATCAGGAGTGCACTGTTCAACACTCCAGACGACCCCCCCCCCCCCTCAGGTGGCTGTGAAGGGTGTTTATGGTACAAATTACGTCATTGCGCAATGGGTCTATTCGAACAAGGATTGACTGAATGGCAAAAGTTTGAAGTCACCTCAGCATGCACTGTACAGTCAGGCGGATATATCCGCCCTATAGGCAATAGGGTTAACAGATCTCGTTAGAAAGTATGCACACGGGTAATGCAAGGAAGAAAACAATGACCGGACGTGGAATTAAAAGGCATGGGTTGCAATTGAATTCTGCAGCACATCGCATGGCTCATTAGGAAAGTTGGTGGACCCAATTAGTTCATCAGTCCGAGCGTCCCATATACGCCCTTCCTTTATCTTTACCTCGTCTAAGTATAGTCTGCCTGTGTGAGCCAGGTCCGCTTGCCCCTTTCCAGCGTCAATGAAGAGGTCGACCTTCACATTCCCCACTAGCACTGGCACTATCGGTACGAGTATAAGCACTACGTGTAGTCGAGCATGGAGCAGCCGTCTCGATCTGCTGATTTTCCTCATGCTCAGCCGCCACCGTACCGCTGCACTGTACGGGTACGTGTAAGGAGTCGCTGCCATTCTTGCACTTTGAATTCTTCCCAGGAGTGCAGCTGGTGCAAGGCCGGTTTGATGTCCTGCACTCACATTACGTGTAACAAGTGTGTGTGGCCTTTCCCTCCACACTGACAGCAGCTGACAGCCCCTTCGCTGCAGGCATTGGTAGTGGCCATGGAACCTACAGTTTTTCGCCGATCGACACCCGTTGCAGCATTATTGTATTGCGCTACATTGCAGTTGGGAAATCACCGGAAAGGAAGAGTTCTAAAAATTTAAACTCCACGTCACAGCCGCGAATATGTTTTTGCTTGCCAAAGTTTTCACATGTTCACTGAGCTTTCCTCTTGAAGAGTGTGTTGTTGACTGGCTGGTTGCGGTTGATGTGAAATCACGGATCAACCAGGCGTTAGGCCCTATGCTGACAGCGCAGTGGATGGCTGGAAGTATAGTGTGTGCATTCTAAGAATACACACACACACACACACTCACACACACACACACACACACACACACACACACACACACACACACACACACACACACACACACACACACACACACAAATGGCCTGGAAAAAGTCTGGAAAATATGTTTGATTTCTCTGTGCGACCCCTGGATTTCTTTAAATACTGTGGACAAACTAGTCAGCTAGCTGAACACTCGGCCTGCTTCTCTTTATCTTTGTGTGCATGCTTGCAGCCTGGGGGACGCGGAGAAGAAGTGGCTATGGAACCAGCGGTACCTGTGCTGGCGGCAGGTCTGCACCACGAGTCCGCAGAGCCTGGGCCTGTTCCTGTCGGCCGTGCCCGACTGGTCGCTGCACGAAGCCGGCCTGGCTCATGCGCTGGCCAGGAGCTGGCCGAGTATTGCGCCCACCGACGCCCTCGGTCTGCTGGACGGACAGTAAGTGTGCAGGGAATTCGAATTTCTTCGCCTCATTAGAGGGCATGATTTTGACGATGCGTTAAAAAAAACTAGTAAACTATTCTATGAAACTATGCTAGTAAACTAGAAACAATGATTAGGTAATACATTCTATATTGTGTGCCAAGAATGAAATGTAGTGCTACGGGTGGAAGACAAAGGGGCAAGACAATACATGTGACACTAAAGCTGAGCATAAAGCGGGTGAGACGATTAACGTAAAGTGAAGTGGGACCTGTGTAGTGAGACAAACAAGTGCACACCTCCGTTTGTACAAGCCTGACCTGTGCAAACAGAAGAAGCACGTGGTTGCGCTAAGATTGTTTCCGTAAGTTTGTGGTGTGCGCTTTTTTGGCTCACTTCACAGTTCCCACTTCACGTTTATTGTCTCGCCCCCTCTGAGCTTTAGTGTCACATTTATTGTCTCACCCATTTGCTTTCTACCTGTAGCACTTTATTTCGTTCTTGGCATACAGTACTGTCGGGCACCGAAGAACTGGGGGGTTAGCCTCCTAGCCTATGCCGTTCTTATTTCCATGTATTACAGCCTATGGGCAGTTGAGTCACCGTGTATACATTGGTATGCTAGGCGCTGACGAAATTCTAGCCTGGTCGTTCTTCGGCGCTCCGTTCTTCGGCGCCCGACAGTACTGTAAACTAGAAACGCTGATATGTTTGTGCGTACGTGTCTGTCTGTCTGTCTGTGTGTGTCTGCGTGTATGTGGAGCTGCTCTTCCTTTCCTTACTTTTTATTTTGCATCCTATGTGTTTCTCTTTCTTGGTGCATTTTGCTCCTTTTTCTATTTCAGTGTCTTTATCTGATGCCCAGCCTTTCCTTCGTTCACTTGTGTTACTTTAGACTTGCGGACTCCGTGATACGAGGCATTGCAGCGGACAAGTTGCGCGGCTGTCCGGATTATATGCTCTGTGATATTCTTCCCCAGCTGCTTCAGGTATGAGAGAGGCCAGTACATTGTACTCTAGTGACTGAGTGAGGTGTTGGAACATTGCATGCCGTATCGGCTCTCCTTTATTTATTTTTTCTATGGGAAGAGATTTGAAATGGGCATTGTGTGTGTGTGTGTGTGTGTGTGTGTGGGTGTGCGCGCGCTCTCACAGGCTGTCAAGTTTGATCAGGGACATTTGTCATCGCTTGTACTGATGCTGTTTCAGCGTGCGATAAGTAGTGTAACAGTAGCGCACCGACTGTACTGGTAAGTTTTAGTAATCTCTCTCTCTCTCTCTCTCTCTCTCTCTCTCTCTCTCTCTCTCTCTCTCTCTCTCTCTCTCTCTCTCTCTCTCTCTCTCTCTCTCTCTCTCTCTCTTGTTCACACGCACGCATCTACGACTAGGTGGTCTAAATTCCCATTGGACCGGGTTCTGTAAAGTGAGAAACTTTTGCTAGAGATTAAATTTCTCTATCTTCTCGACCATCACACATTCACGAATATAAATCGCCGCAACCTTCTGTACATTGATTGTAGACAGTACAAGGTCCAACTGAAGAAATACACTCGCAAAAGTTTCTCATCGTGAACCAATGAAAATGCAAAATTCGCCGCCATGAAAGTTTATCACTTTACAGTACACAGCGATGAAGTGCAAAGGAGTGTTTGAGTGTTTGTAGACTTGCACAGCACCGGAATTCACTTGGAAGCACCCATTTCATGCAGACAATGTGTGAAGATGAGATTACATTGCACTACCATTGTGCAAGTGGTCCAATGCGGTATGAATCTATCAGCTCACATGCTGCTGCCACTGTGGTGTCGATGGTGTTCTCAGGAATCTGCATGTGATGCGGACAGACAAGTACTTTGGCAAGCGGTTTGACCTACTGCACGCCGGCTTGCAGCTGCTTGTTGGCAGTGCACTTCGACAAGAACTAGACGGAGAGGTTCGTGTAAACTTGTGTGTGCGTTTCGGTGCTGCTGCTGTGGATGTGTGTGTGTGGGGGGGGGGGGGGGGGGGAGGAAGGGGAAGTTGAACGACACGTTATGCTCTTCACCTCTGTACATAACATGCGATCGCATCAGCATCACTTTCTGAGCTGACGCTACTATGTCTTTCCCAACGGACATGGCTTATGGAAATAGTATGGTTGAGTATATTTGGGAGCACGAAATCACTGAAAATCATTCTTCTCTTCACCGCTGCAGCCATAGTTTTGCAACGCATGTCTGTTGCCATTTGTTTGAACTACTCTGCACAACTGCATACTAGAATTCCAAGCAGCTAATGGCCGCCAGCATCCTAATCTTTCACTTTCTCGTTGTCTGTTTCTCTAGCTTCGCCTGATGGAGAAGCTCAACACGGTTGCCAAGGAGTTCAAACTCATACCGCCGGCAAGCAGAGCGGTACGTACTGACCTGGAGTCGCGTGTACTGTGCTACGGCCCTGCTTGAGTGAATTCCATGCCAAGTGTCCGTTTGCTGGTGCTCCATTGCGTTGAAATGTTGGCGTGTATAAGCACAGCCTCTGTTGTAAGCTCGCAGTAAAGTGGGCTGAAAGAATGGTGTTATATGCCGTGCTATGTTCAAGGTGGAAAGTAGAATGCCTTCGTTTTCTGGTCTCTCTCCTATTTCTTTCTATCATCCTCTTTCTCAATCTCTCTCTCTTTCTCTCTCTCTCTCTCTTTCTCTCAGTCTCTCTCTCTCTCTCTCTCTCTTTCTCTCTCTTCTCTCTCTCTCTCTCTCTCTCTCTCTCTCTCTCTCTCTCTCTCTCTCTCTCTCTCTCTCTCTCTCTCTCGCTCTCGCTCTCTTTCGTTCTTTCTTTCCTTGAGAGGAGAGGCCGTATTACTGCAACATGCTTATCTGTCCTTCCATTTTGCCGTTGATTGTTTACATGTGTTTGCAGGGTGTACTGCCTGGTGTGCTGGAGAAGGGCACTACGGATATTGACTGGCCTGTTCGACTTCCCCTTAGCCCCGGCATGGAAGTCTCCGGTCTCCGTATTGAGGTACGGTTCTGGACATGCATTCGCTGTTTGCAAGTCCTGTATTCGGACTTACCGGACCATCGCATCTGGCCGTGTACATGCCCATGTTATGTAGCCTATTACGGTACTGCCGGGCACCGAAGAACTGGGGGTCAGGGTCGTAGCCTAGGCTGTTCTTATTGTTCATGTGTTATGGTCTATGCACAGTTGCGTCGCAGGTGTATACATCGGTATGCTGTGCTTGCTCGAATCCTAGCCTGTTCCTTCTGCGGCGCTCGACAGTGTTGTATAGGTGTATGGGCATGGGTGTGCACACAAGTTATGTGTTGTGCATGCAGTGTACAGTGTACATGCATGCACCGGGGGCGGGAGGTGGGGGTATATGCCTGTCTGTGTCTACCTGCGATCCTGATGCTCGTGGTAAAAGCTTATTATAGTTTGTTCATCCTGACTATTTTTGGATAGCAGAACAGCTTAAAACCTGTACCACGCATGCGGTGTAGTCATGTTATTTGATTGATTTGTTGGATTTGTCTGTGTGCTTGTACTCGTAGAAATGCACCTATTTCTCCTCAAACGCGGCGCCGCTCAAGTTGACTTTCGCCAATGTCAACCCAAGCATGCCTGACATCAGTGTCATATACAAGGTCAGTGGCTAGGTGTGCATGGGCGGGAAATATGCACGCTGTCTTGCTGTGATGTGTGCGGTGTGTGAAGGGGAGTTTGGGTACTGTGGGTTGCCTGTGCCCTTGTGTTTGCAATGTATATGCTGTACGGGAGCCTGCAAGCGGGTATCAAAGACAGCATATTGTTTTGACCCTCACTCTGTCCGTCTCTCTCTCACTCACTCTCTCTCTCTCTCTCTCTCTCTCACACACACACACTCTCGAATATTTTTGTTTATCTGTGCTCTGTGCAGGTCGGAGATGACTTACGGCAAGATCAAATAGTGCTGCAGATGTTGCGGATCATGGACAACCTCTGGCAAGAGGATGGTTTAGACTTACGCATCATCACCTACCAGTGTCTAGTGTTCTCTGAGGACAGTGGCATGCTGGAAATTGTCGACTCCGTAAGTTACACCAGGCCGCGGTGGATACGTGTCGCTTCGCAGAGCACGGGGGTTTTGTATGTTCTGTGGCGCCAGATTTGAAATCCACCGTCTGTGTTGCTGGGTGTGAAACTATTTCTCTCCTATACCATGGTTGATTAGAGTCTCCTACAAGTTGCAATTTTAAATTTGGACTTCATGGAGAATTTTAAAGCATTAGGAAATTAGAGGCCACATGCCTCGTACTGCTCTTTTCTCTCCGAAACTCAACACTTGGCAGTAATAATAATACTAGGCGTGTTCTGTGAGTACCACCGGTAGTGGCTGAAGTATATCAGTAAGAGCATGGCCCTGGCATGTGTAGTACACGTATCAGTTTCTAAGTTTTTCTCTGGTTTGCTTGTTAGGCTGCGACAATGCGCGAGATTCAGACAATCGACGGTGTGACGGGATCCTTCAAGGACTCGGCTCTGCTCAGCTGGTTATCACATCACAATACGACCCCGAACGACCTGCGCCTGGTAAGTCCTTGATTAGACTGCGGTGCTGCGTGTGTTTAGAATTGTTGATCTCTGTCTGCTTGTGCCTTTCTCTGAATGCCTTTCTCACAATGCCTGCGATCGCCTTCATTCAAGATCTGTTTCTTTGAGTTTGTCTCCTCAGTGTTTGTCACATGTACTCCTGGTACCTCAGGCATGGTGGTGGCCTGGCACAAGCGAAACTTCCTAATAGGGTATTCACACGACAGGCAAATCCACGTGCACCGGAACGTTGCTATGGTATTTTACCTGTGAACGAGAAAAGTGGCTGAAAAGTGCAAGCGAGCTGGGGGCCCACTTTCACGATAATCGTGCACGAGTACATTTACACCAGAAAGCGCGAAACAAGACTCGATTTTTTACGCGGCTCTTTTCACCATGCTATTTTATTGAATGCATGTTTTGAAAATTTGAAATACTCATGGCAACTGGTAGGTGAATCATTCAAAAATGCGAACGTGCCTGTTGTTGAGTGCAGCCGTGTGAATCCACACAGTCACTTATCTGGTGAAATACTCCCTGTAAAACGTGCAAGTGCCTGTCGTGTGAATAGGCCATAAAGCTGGTTGTGTTTCTCAGCACAATTGTATAGCCGGTTGTAACACGGACGTGCGAACTTTTTTTTGTTTTTGTTTTGTTTTGGGTTTTTTTTACCTTTTTTACACACATGCCAGCCTTGTGTATATCTCCGTCCCCATTGTTCCTCATAAAAAAAATAAAAAAAATTTCACGGTTCGCGTGAGACTCGGCTGGAAGCCGAGTTTTCCGCATCCGCCGTGGGAACGCCACCACCCTCTAGGATCAAAGGCGCAGATGCAGCGCCTGAACGGTGGGAGGTGAGTAGATCAGACCCACCACCAAGTGGTCAAAGACCGAAATCCCATTAGCTGCAGCCAAGCAGGCATAGTGGGATGGTCTAAGACCATGATTGAGAAACAGAGGGTACCAGGTTCAAGTCCTGCTTGGAAGCGGAAGGATTTTTTCCAGCCGTGCTGCGACCCACAGTTAATTGGGAACTTGTGGCCTGGCACGAGGGTAACATGGATTGTTCCTCATATTGATAATGAAATAGAAATTGCTCAACCTTGGAACTCTCTTGACTGGAAACCCTTTAGGAGCAGTGTGACACATTCAGCATGATGCTTGTTCGATGCGTGAGATGTGCGGCACGAGCAGCGTGAGAAGCACTTGGATGACACTGCTGCTCTCCTGCTGTGTGGGTTTGTGTGCGTGTGTTGCATGCAGGCGGTGGAAAACTTTACGCGCTCGTGCGCCGGATTCTGCGTGGCAACGTACATCCTGGGTGTGTGTGATCGACACAACGACAATATCATGATTCGGCGTAGCGGTCATCTCTTCCACATCGACTTCAGCAAGTTCCTGGGGAATGCGCAGAAGTTTGGCTCCTTCAAGCGGTAAGCGAACAGGGATTTGAATTAAACGCTCGGCCTTACGAATTCCAAACCACGTGTCCCCTGGTTTGGAATTTGCAAGGTTGATTAATAGTTCAAAATATCCTGTAGTGAATGTGTGAATTTACTGGGCTCGAATAGAAAAGTAGCCCATTGGCAAGCCTTGAATATAATTGTTTGAGGTCTGCAAACCCTGCTTTTAGGTCTTGTTCGTATTTTTAAGGTAGTTTGAGCCATGTGTTGTCTTTCTCGTTGCCGTGTCTTTCCTGCTGTGCATAGTGACCGAACACCATTTGTGCTTACGCCGGACATGGCATATGTCATCAACAACGGCGAGCAGATCAGCCCCAACTTCCAGGAGTTTGTGGACATCTGTTGCCGCGCGTTCAACATCCTGCGCCACCACACCAGCCACCTGGCTAACATCCTGACGCTGATGCGAACGTCCGGCATGGAGGAGCTTGCACAGCCCGATGATGTCCAGTACGTGATCGACGCGCTCATGCCAGAGCTGACTGACATCGAGGCTACCACTGCGTTTACTCGGTAAGGCCTGGCAGCTTGCACTGATACTCTAAAACTGGTTTATATTTGCAACTTAGAAAGATAATCTGAAGTGTCCACGAATCTCAAGCTTGGAGGACCACCACATAAACTACCTGAACAAATCACTCAGTATAAACTTTAAAAAAATGTTTGCGATTTAGCGAGAGGTGCCGTATGGCACACTTTGAACTCCAAAACCAATCTCCAACTCTCTGTTTCTAAAACGCGCATTTTTCTTGTCGCGAACATTACCTGTAGTTCTTCTCCTTGGTATAAGATGAACGAACCGTTTTAGCAACCACCCTTGCCTTCCTTTTGTAGTTCACTCTGAGGCAGGATTTGAACACGTTTTCACTGCTTTGTCTTGGTGTAGCCATTGGTGTTGTTTTTGAAATAGCTCTAGAGGATGTGATTGTCCATGTGGTGTGTTACCCCGAATTGCAGAATGATCGAAGAGAGCCTGAAGAACTGGTTCACCAAGTTCAATTTCTTTATCCACAACCTTGGGCAGCTGAAATCATCGACGGCAGAGCTTGAGTCGGCAATTCTCTCCTTTTGCCCAAAGAACTTTGCGTAAGTGGCCATTTACAGGTATCAATATTTTTGGAAAAGATTTTGGGCAGCAAAAGAATGTCTCCCCAGCAGCCTAGCCCTCGTTGGCTACCCAGACTCGTGCACTCTCTTGATCAGTTTCCTGTGTCTTTAAAATGTAAAGTACCCAGTTACTTTGAAAGTATCCTCATTGCCATGTCCTCTCTTTCTACCGCCTCTCTCTCTCTCTCTCTCTCTCTTTCTCTCTCTCTCTCTCTCTCTCCTTCTTTCTTTCTATTGCAGTGTGGCAGACACTGGAGCTGTGGTGTCAGCCCAGATCCAGCGTTACAATCGCAAAGACGTTCCAGAGACTCACTACGTATGTGCTTTTTAACTACTCCTTTGGTTTTAGCAGTTGTGTATTCTGACATCACTGTCTATATATTGTTGCATTGGCACAGGTACATGATTAGATGTCAGCATCCCATCTATCGTGTAGCAATATCACTGAAAATGATGTCATCACCGTGCCTATTGCTAATTTTTACTCGTTTTGTGTGCGTGTCCAAACTAAAGCTGCCCGTAGATATTCCACTTTATAGTTGCTGCACTAGCCACTATGTCCGCTTGCATGTGTCACCGCTTTCCCATCACTCCATACTGCAATGTATATTGTACGGAGTTTGTAGAGGACGTGTGTTGTCATGCTTTGAGTCTCTCTACCCATGTGACCTTGTGATTTTTTTGGCCATGCATACATCAGCGCTTATTCACACTGTCCTTGAAATTCTTTTTGTTTTGATTCGCTCTTAGATCTATGCTATTGAGGTGGTATGGGATGACAGTTGCGACATCCCCGGTCCCAATAGCAAAGTGGTGTATCGTCGCTTCCGTGAGTTCTACGAGCTGCAGAGCAAGCTGCAGGAGCTGGTTGGGCCCAATTTTGAGCTGCCACAGCTGCCCGGAAAGCTGATCCTGCGGCGGTCCAACACGGTGGAGGTATGGTTATACCTGCGTGGGACATCATGTGTTTTCTTCCTGTATGTATATACTCCTTTGTGGGCGTTGGTGACTGCTGGTACGTGGTCCTTGCAGTATGTCCGTGTGTGGATAGATCACCGATCTTCAAGGCTTACTTGTGTGTATATGTGTGTGTGCGTGTGTTTGCGCCCGCCCGTACACACACACACACACACACACACACACACATGCGCATGAGTGCATGAACGCGCATGACATTTAGCCAAAAAATCGCATAACTTTGTGCTTGTGTTTGCATCTGAGGTATTAGATGTAGTTTTCTTCTTCTAACTTCGGGGTGCCGCGTCGGTGTTGCTCTGCTGAATGTCTTGCTTTGCTGTGCGCGGATCTACAGGTTGCTGCCAAGCGAATGGAGGCGCTCAATGTCTACATGATGAAGTTACTCTCGCTGAACCCATTTATCAGCCAGGTCAGTACCTAGCAGCACTTTGTGCCACACTGCTCTCCTGTGAACGCCTAGCTTCTAATGTCGGATGCCATGTCGGATGCCATGTTCACTTCTCCATTTCTAGTTTTGGAAATGAACTCATTTGGAATCATGACTTGATTACAGGCTTTCTGCAGATGAGCTTGGTTTCGACTAACATTCCTTGCAAGCATTTGGAAAGACTGGAGTAGAGCGCGCCGTGTAATCGCACCTTCTGCTCAACCCTGTCTCTCAATGTGTGTGCTCTGCCTTTCAGTCGGATCTCGTCGTGACCTTCTTCACGCACTTTGTGCGCGATGGTATCAACAGTGAAGCGGAGAAGTATGCCAGCAACAGTAAGTGACAGATTGCGTTTGGCCGGGTCTCAAAAGTCCGATAGTCGATGCTTTCGAAACGAAGAACTGGAATGCAAAAACTCGCTAAATCCATTTCATCACTTTTCGGATGATAACCCAAAAAGATTCTTTTCATGTGCGGTTTGTATCTAAATCATTTTCGCGTTCCCACTTTTAAAATGGTTCTAGTCAGATTTTGAATGTGAAAATTGTGTCCATTGGTGCCCTTTGACGTTTGATTACACTGAGCTGAATATCTGGTTTTCTCACAAATTTGGCGCTTAGCGTGTTTTGCATTCCCGCTCTTCAAATGCAGTGTTGTAGGAGAGTGCTAGGTCACATTCACTACGCCGTGTGCTATCTCCATGGCTTGTGTAGTGTGTGTGTGGTGTCGGCCGTGGCGCCTGAATGCACCCATACTGCTCCATGTGCCTCTCGCATACTGTAAAACACGTTATTTTCGGTGTGACTTTAATTTCCATGATTTCAGTAGAAAAACCAGACACCAAAGTTTGGATTACACCTAAAAAGCACTAGAGCATGCACGATGTGTGAAGGGAATGCTGGTCACCTAATTCTACATTGCACCTGAAAACTGGCAGGTACCTGCCAGCAGAATTTTAGTGCACCTAAAATTACATGTTTTTCAGTACTGTTTGGCTCTTGCATTCCAATGGAATGGTGGCTGATTCTGATGCTACATTGTATCCTGCTTCTCTTGTGCAGATCAAAGCCAGGTGTCCGGCTCTATCAAGCTGTCAATCACCTACAAGATGCGTGCGCAGAAACTCATCGTTGTGGTCGGCCATGGGAAGCAACTGGTGAGTCATGTTCTTCAATGCTCATCCCCTGTCTGTCACCCTTGTCCTGCTCTCTTTCTCCGTGTGTTCATCCATCTGTTTGCTTGTGTTGGTATATTGTCTTTCTCTGTGTCTCCACTTCTTCCAACTGTTTGCTTGTGTTTTGTATCTTTTTGCGGACACAGTCCTCATTTCTGATACAGTACAGTTTTTCAACCCATTGCTGGTTTCTAACCAAAATCGCGCTGCTTATTTATTATCTGGATAGCAGCTTCTGTGCAAGTTTGCTGTGACCCCGGCAGCTATGATAGATAGTATAAACTGTTTGTCTGTATACCTGTTTCGTTTTCCAGGCCAGGACCGTGAGCGGCACGTTACCAGATCCGTACGTCAAGCTGTACATGATTCCCGATCCGCTCAAGTCGTCGAAGAAGAAGACCCGCGTGATGAAGAACACGCAGCACCCGACCTTCAACGAGTCCGTGAGTACAGTCAACTAGACTACTGTAGTTCGCCGAATATAAGTCGACCCTTTACGACCTAAAAACGGAACTAAAAAGGGGGTAGTCGACTTACAATCGGGCCATTAAACTAAGTAATAATGAGGTCCCAAGTATGGAGCTTTGACTTATAAACGGGAAAATCGGTGATAGAATTATGTTCTCTAGTAGGCATGTGTGATTGTTTGATTGTCTGGCGGTGTTTAGTGCCCTGCCACCACCCAGGATGGCGGTGTTTAGTGCCCTGCCACCACCCAGGAAGGCGGTGTTTAGTGCCCTGCCACCACCCAGGAAGGCGGTGTTTAGTGCCCTGCCACCACCCAGGATGGCGGTGTTTAGTGCCCTGCCACCACCCAGTCTGGCGGTGTTTAGTGCCCTGCCACCACCCAGGATGGCGGTGTTTAGTGCCCTGCCACCACCCAGGATGGCGGTGTTTAGTGCCCTGCCACCACCCAGGAAGGGAGTGTTGTACATGGTACTCTTCCATGTCAACTGGGGAACCCCGTTTCTTCTTTGGGCCAGGTTCTACTGCAGCTCTGTGGTATATGGCAAGCATCCTTGCTGCCACGGAGCAGCGCGGTTCCACAATTTTGGAGCAAGTGGAATTCGAATCGAAATCATCGTTTTCAGGATGCTTCCGTAAAGCAATCTTTAATCTTTTGAAACTTTGTGAGTGAATTTTGAAATTTTGAAATTTTTCAGTGCAAGCCGCTAGTGCTGTGTGCCACAGTATCCCGTGACAAGTCTCGACTTTGATTCAAGCTAGCAGCACGAGCTGCAGCAGCAATCACTATAGTGATGGTGCCGCTTTACTCCGCGTATTAGGTGTTGTGGAGCCGCATTGGAACCCAACCCTTATGCACTGTGTGCCTGTGCCAATCTCAATGCACGTTCACTTGCTGCACACAACATCCAATGGTCCTGTAGCGAAGAAAATTTACTGCAGCCATCCCATCGGCTTGTACGTTACATGCGTGAGGATATGCCCAGCCTTTGCACTCGGTTTTGCAACTAATCATGTTGTGTTTCATTGTGTGGCTGTGTGTTCAATTTGCTCAGTTCTCCTTCGACCTGTCGTCGTTCTCGAAGGTCAGCTTACAGGATCGGCAGCTCCAGGTGACCGTGTGGCATCATGAGACATTATCGAAGCACTTCCTCGGATGCGTACACATTGATATGCGCAACATCCTGAAGCAGGCAACTGAAGAAACTGTGACAGAATGGCACAAACTGCAGCCAATGTTCTGTGAGTTTTTGAATTTGAAGTTAACCTATGAATTTTGGACAATCGTTAAATTTGCGACTCATTATAATTAGGGGTGAAACGAGTATCTATTTTGACCAATCGATCACTCGTTCATAATATTCGATCGAGTATCCGATTATTTCGAGTATTTTATCAAAATTCAAAAGCACTAGATTTGCGAGTTCTCGACCAATTCGGAAGAAATTATGTGTGAACATAGAACAAAAGTCGCCAATGTCTTGTACAGAGTGTAAAGTAACGATTTTCATCAGTACTTTTATATCTCAGAACGTTACTTGCCGTGGTGATCGCATCGTCCAAGTCTTAAAATACTGACTCAAATCCATGCATAACGCATGCATACCAGTGGACCAGCGGTACAACAAATGTTTTTGAAAAATACAATGCCAATACTAAAAAAAAAAAAAAAAAAAAAAAAAAAAAAAAAAAAAACGATCGAGTTCATAATTTCGAATACTCGCTCGTTTGAAACTTTCGAACGAATACTCGAATATTCGAACTAATCGTTTCACCCCTACTCTCTATCTATCTCTCTCTATCTATCTATCTCTATCTTGAAAGACTTGTTTTTTTAGACTGTTTACCTGGGGCATGAAATAGCTCAATGCTGGGTTCTTTCAGTTCACCTGTACAGCATTTGTTTAGTGTGCTCGTCTTTGTTGTGTATCCATCACCATATAGTGAAATTGACGCCGTTGTGTATCCGTCACCAGTGTTCACTGCGTAGTGAAGTGGACTTTGTTGTATGTTTGTTCTCCAATCTTCCCTGCAGCCTAATGCCTAGCTGCATATAATGGTCCTGTTGATAACCGCTATCCAGCACTAGGTGTTGATAACCGCTGTCCAGCACCGTATATACGTGTTGATAACCGCTATCTAGCGCTGTTGCCATTGCTATCAGCCTTTCATTGTCATTGTTCAAATTCCCGCGTGCTTTTCTGTATTTGCTCAAGGGCGAACGTTAACCCCATCGCCTGGTCTCTCTCTCTCTCCTCTCTCTCTCTCTCTCTCTCTCTCTCTCTCTCTCTCTCTCTCTCTCTCGGTCTGCCTCTACTCGCCTCCCTCCCTGCTGACAAACAACATATGTGTACAAATATCACCACACTGCTGTGGTTTGTTTTTTAATGCACACAGAGGCTCTCTAGCTACTGTGGCCATGCTAACGGAAATCTCTCTCTCTCTCTCTCTCTCTCTCTCTCTCTCTCTCTCTCTCTCTCTCTCTCTCTCTCTCTCTCTCTCTCTCTCTCTCTCTCTCTCCGTGCGTTCTCTACTTAGTATTTACCTAATATTTTCCTTTCTCTCTGTAATGCCTTGTTTTGCTGGTGTTGATTGTGCATATAGAGCACACTTTTGCTCAGCTCTGTACATTGTACATAGGAAGTAGCTGGCGGGAGGCTTGTGCAGCAGGCCAGTGATTACACCCCTGCTTTAATAACCCTTATTTTCTATACAGATTCCTTATCGTTTTACTTTTATGGTTCACCCAATGTTCTATCGACGGGCATTTTCACTAGATTCGCGATACCGTCATTTTGCTGCACACGTTCTTAGATGCTTTCTTGATTCTCAAATTTATATGATCATAAATATTTTCTGGGAGCACAGAGAATTTACGGCTGCCCTCTAGCTCTAGCTCTTATTTATATCAGCGGTGCTCGAATGCACGTGCCACGTGGTAATTATTTACGGATTTCCCTTAGTCACGGCTGCGTCTTGTCTTTGGATTGATGTTTGTATGTATACGCACAATCATGGACATGTACCCGTATCATTTACTGGGCTGAAATGCCATGTGTGCACCTTCACATTCCAGAGTGCATTCGTTCATGTCGATGTTATTCATACTATTATTATTATTTGAATGATTCTCCAGAGGATGCTGGGAGTTTTGTATGCCGTTGAAAAAGGAAGGAGTATGAACAAGGATATGTGGCTTGGATTTGTGCTAGTGGGTGTAGAGTGTGCATGTGGGCAATTGCACCCTCTTACATGAGTCATCCGTCAACGTCAGATCAGTCACTCGCAGGGCGGGGGGGGGGGGGGGGAGTAAAGTCCCAAGCGAATCATTCTATCATACGCGTATTTCGCCAAATTTTTGGGCCTGGCCCATCATATCAGGGCAAAAGGGATGTTTCCACCCTGATGACGGCGAAAATTGGGTTGAATATCGCAGTGAAGAGACCATTGTTGGCGTTTGAGGAGTAACGTTTCAAACTATAACTAACTTTATAATAGTGGCTTCGTTTAAAAAATATTGAGTAAAATTATGTCAGGCTCAGTGACTACATTTTCAGTGCTTGTTTAGTTGTTGGTGCACAATTATTGTTTCTGGTCAGTTTCGTGATCATTGCCCGGCAATGTCATTGGAATCAACTGTTACTTTATCAAGAGGACAACTCAACTGACCAGCCAAGGCAGATGGTGGGTGGCGATAGTTCTTCAGCGTGTTCATCTTGCTTTGGGCCAATCATAAATTTGGTGTTTTGTGATACCGGTAGGACCCGGGACTCCGGAACACGGTGAATGATTCCATGAATACAATGAGTGTGTTTTCTGCCTCTCCATTCACCATGTTCAACCTGTCGTACACGAAACTAGCGTGCATTCTTCTGAGGAATCATGAAACGAAAAATGGGGACTGGAACACACATGTCACACTCGATGAGTGAGTCAAGTCCAGTGCGGGAAGCCGCGAAGCGAGTGTTTTACATCGGCTGCACAGCTACCCCGTGTATGTGATTCGGACGATCCGGTGCATGCTGAGTGCACAGACTCGACTGCGTCTTGATGCAGGTGAGACACGAGATGACTCCATCCACTCTATCGGCGTATCGCCACCACACTCCCACAGTCCATTATCCGTGTGCAGACACTGACGCACTCAAGTCATGTCTTGGCGCGAGACATACATGTATGATGTAGCCAAGACAGCTGATAGTATGTCAAGTGTTCTCCCCTACCAGACTGCAACGGACTGCATGCAGTGAGTGCATTGTAGACGTCAGCCTTCACTCATCATGTGCGAGTACCACTAGTGCACTGCGCGCTGCATGCAGTGACTAGAAAATGCATTGGATTGTTTTATCTGAATATCTCCCCCTTTCATCTGGACAGTTCTCGATTTCTGGCGGAGGTGTTTGTTTTGCCCTGCGCTCTTGACTGGCAAGCGCCACGCTTGTTGCTTCGAACGACGTCTCTGCTCCTCCGAGTTAGCGGACCCAAGCGAGTCGGTGACCGGCTGGCCGGCTAAGTGTGTGTGTGTGTGTGCGTTCCCCCGAACCCATGAGCTCGAATGGGTAGAGAAGCGGAGCTTTTCCAGGCCGCTCGCTACGGAAATGTATCCGTTATCGAGCGTCTCCTATCGAGCAAGAACAAGGGCGGCTCAGTCAAGTCCATAGCCATAGCTAATGTGCGACAGGGGTAAGTGTGCGTGCTGTCTTTCTCGCTCTCTCTATAGTTTGGGTCCTCTGTATCTCTCTCTCCCCCATTCGTTCTGCTTTTCTGTTATTTTTTTGTGTGGCCTGAGTCATTCCTCCTGCGACGGTGTCCTGTCGTGTTATGTGTGCTATGTGTGTAAATGGCGAACTTGGCAAAGAATGTTTGGCGTTGTCTTTCCGTGGTACTTCCAAGCTGAGCCAACCAAGTGTGGTGGTAATACCCCGCCATTAGCATACCGCTTTAGTAAAAAAACATTTTTTAAATTAGTTCCCCCATGGCCCACAGGGCCTACAGCTGTGTCAATGACAATGGTCGACTCGTTTACCCCATTTATCTTGCTTGTCATCTTCATCGATACGGTAATGATAAGCTCGGAGTAGAGAACTATTGGCCTTGTCTAGTTTCTGGGCTTTTTTTCAGAACAGCTGTCAATTTGCTAATGCCCTCATTTCGTAGCGGGTGCGTAGCAAATCAATAATATCATACACTGTAGTTGAAATTAGGCCTTCAGGTCGTGGTCGTTTTGCATTCTGGACTTATTATTATTTTGAGACACCATTCTGTCCGGAATCCGCTCCCGTCGATGCTTGCGACCAGATTGAACGGGACAGGCAGCTTCGCATGGCCGTCTATCTCCGTTTCATCTGCATGATCTACACGAATGTATGTGATCGTCGCCTGTCTTATAACTACTGCATGAGTGTGTTCGCCAACTGTTGCGCCGTGTAGCAGGATCAGGATAGCAGTGTGCTTCTACTGGCCATGCGAAAGATGGGCTTGCTTGGACCTAGAACTAACTTACTTGAACTAGTAGAAGCTTGAAGGTTTGCTGTAGTAGTATCCAGGTATCGGTGCCTGTCTAGATCTACCAGCGAATATACAGACTACAGACAGTACTGTACTAACATTTTTTTTTAGTAACGAGTTACATGTACTGATATCTGAGCGTCGAACAGGACACGACCAGGAGAGTTGTCTGTCCACCACACCGCCTCGCGTGCGGACACCAGGAAGGTCTTTGCTTCCTCTCCGAAACGCCCAACACTGCGGAGGCAGTAAAGCTTCTGTCGATTTTCCAGGGGTAGTCTGCTGGGCTTGGCCCAGGAAACGTCAGATTCGAAATCAGCTGTTTCACCGGAAGACGTCGCGTGCGCTAGCAAGTCTGGTAACAAAATTTTTACTTGGCAGGTGCACTCAGACAGAGTCTCAGTACCGTTGTACTACAGTAGACTACACGCCAGGACTCAGGAGATCCATATCACCGCATGTGCGCTGTTCGCTGGACCTCACTGCTCAGCATGCAGGGAACATACCAGTGACACTGTTTACATGGCTATGGCCTAGAATAGGTACTAGTACTGTAATAAGTCACTAAAAAGTAAAAACCCTTGTGTGGAGCAGATGTGGAGCAATGAGAACATGCGGGAGGGGGAATGTTGTCACAATAGCACAAGTACATGTAACCTGTTTTCTCATTTTGTCCCCACCTGCGCGGGCCTCTTGATCAGAGGACGAAAGTGATCAGTTACTAGTTCTACTAAACTAAGGCCAGGAGTTTACACTCTGCTGGTGGTGTGTGAATGAACCCCAGCTATCAGGATCATTAGTAAAACAGCGAAATCCCGCGTTGTATTATGCGTATGTCCCGTTAACAGTTGGTACTTATTGTTCAATGAAGAAGCAATATGAAATTTAGCCACTGGCACAGCTGCTCACTTAGAAAGTCTTTGAAAGCTCCGCACTTGCCGATCCATACGCACGAGTAGGTTTCAAAGTACACCTGTATGACTGTACAACTTTAAAACAGGCATGCTGATGTCTTCCCATGATTGAGCTATGTTGTGAATTATTTAGATGTCCTTGCCTATTTATTAGGTTGCCAACAATCACTTGAGATCTGATTGCGGCCTGCTGATAGCCTGTTTTCCCAGTTGTAATTGTGGTGTATATTATGGATAACCCCTCAGTCACGGTGGCTGGGACTCTCCACACTGTACTAACAATTAGGCATGGTCATGAGGAGGGAGAAGGGGGAGGGGTAGTGTCGGGGAAGGCTTGGTATCAGATTTTAGTATTTTTTTGCCTCGCTCACTTTGACTGGAAATCAGTTTGACATAAATTTTCCTGACTATTTCAGGCCAGCAGAAGTATGGCACACCTGCTTTCCAATACAACTAGATTCCAATATGGTTATAGTTGATCAGTTTCCAGGTAGTAGAATGCCTCTGTTTTTACGGTTTAGACACAGTGTAACGTTTTACAGGCTTTGAGCATTCTGACTGATTCTGACCTAACATTGCTGTTCAAGTGTGATCACTCATTGTACAGTACATGTGCATGCTAGGTCTTGTTTGCTTCAGACCATGGCTGAGGATTTCACCTAGGTTTGGGGAATTCACAAGCCGGTTGTTGACTTCAAGCTGATGCGGGCTTCACTGATGCTGTGACATTCTGATGCCTGATCTACACAACCGTCACATATTGCACCGTGCAGTCTATTAGAACTGGCTTGTTTTTGGCAAGCAAATAAAAACAAGTTGTGTTAGTCTAACACGTGATGGTGTTGTATTGTTTGCTTGTTTGCACGCAGCTTCAAGCGGCAACTGAATCCCAACTGCCAGGATGAGTCCGGAAGCACTCCTATACACATCGCAGCTCTTCATGGACACAAGTATGTCAGCAGCATGATACACTTATATCCTTGGCAATAAAGGTCATGCAATGACACCTTGACTTAAGATGCATTGTACGGAGTGGCGGAATTGTGGCCAAGTGATGATTTTCACGCTCATCGAAGCGCTTTGTTGCGTATCACGCTGATCACACCACCTTGCACATCCCACCTCTAGTGCACAACTGTAGGATATGCTGCGCTTCGATATGTGTGAGAATCAGCACAGTTTGCTCCCGTTAATCTACCCACTCCTGCTTACACATCGGTATCGCCTATACGTTGTCTAAAAGTCATTGTGTTTGTCAGTTTCTTCTTTTGCCTGTATCCACCTGAAGACTCGGATTGCTGTGGAAGTGCTTGTGGAAATTTGGAATTGTTGATTGTAAAGAACCTGAAGCTTGTTTAATGGCTTAGTCTGATTTCAAGTTTGTCTCCAGAAACAATTATACTGTGTGTACACTTTCAAGGGGAGGGTACGGAGATACGAGATGTAGTAGCTTTCAGGCTCTCATAAATCTGTGTTCTTGTTTCCTACAGGGATGCCGTTACTCTCTTACTGAAGCGCAATGCCTCGACTCACATCCCAGACGCTCGAGGTATGTACCATGTGAACAGCTGATCCTGCATGCGCCTACACATACTAAATTATCTGTAACGTTGTCGGTGACATAGTTGGCCTCGGTAACTTCTGAGTTTCATACATGGAGCATGGGGCCGTGCAATAATGCAGTGCAAGTGGCCATTGGCGGATATACAACGGGTGCGCGAGGGCTACTGGCACGAGAAACACTGGTTAATAGGTCTCTATTCATTGATTTATGAGTCCCTGCATATTTGAGCTTGTATGCGCTGGAGACACGTTTGGGAATGGTGTAACAGACAGCACGGTCATGGGTCATTGTGTAGGTTATTCCTTGGGGACGTGACGCATCGTACCATCGATTTCTATTGAGGAGTCAGATATGCTGTGTGTGGCAGGTCATGCGTGTAATAATATCCCAACTACAACTACCATGGTAGTGAGCCTCAATCATACACTTTGAAGTATGTGACTTTCCATACGACCAGGCAATACCCTCTGGGCACTTCAGCTGCAGGTCAGATGACACGCTAACTGTTTGCACACGGCCCCTTTTCTTTCTCCCCTATTTCATAATCTGCCGCCTTTTTCACATTGGCCGCCCTCAGGAAACTTTCCGTTGCATCTGTCTGCCTGGAATGGTCACCAGGAGGTGTGCAACATCTTGCTGCACAGCGGTCCATCCAAGGCGAACATCAACGAAGTGGTAAGGAGTGGAGCTGTGCCTCATTTGAGTATAGTGTGTGCTGTGATAGCACATGTATACCATTCTATTTGATATACCAGTAAACTCCCGTTAGCCTAAAACTGTAGGCTGTAACTGTAGCTTTGGATTTACTTGCATTTTCTATTCATCGATTTATGATGTTTTTTTGCCCGTACAAGAGGCATGACACAAATATACTGTAGCAAGTATCCCACGCATAATTTGCTTTTACTGTGTGCCGCAGGGAACTTTGCACACGCTGGAAATCCCTCGTAGCACTAGACTTCTTCAGGTTGATCCCTGCATGGCAGCGTGTATGGTGGCGAAGGCAGCAGATTTCACTGTCAGCATTCTAGGATGCTGTAGGCACTAGGAATGTCACAAAATCTGTCTGACAACTTCTGGAATATATTGGGATCAGTTGTGACCTTTCTGGATGGGTGCCCTTAGCTGTACCTTTCTTTGAGATGTACATGTAGGCAGTTCAAGACTAATACATGTATCTTTAGTACCAGCCCCTACTAACTCACAAGCTGCACTCAATACTCCTGCCCCACCCTAGGTAAACAGGATGGATTCCATTGTTGACCTACTGGTGAAATGGAGCAGATAGGAGTCTCCCCGCTGGATCTGTGGTGCTCCCCAATTGTGTTGATCTGCACAGTCCTGCCCCCTAGTCACAGTTTCAATGACACGCAGGCAATCAGTGTAGGTGCTGTCAAGGATTTACCTTGGAAAGCCCCTATATGGTAGCAGCTGCTTCAAGGTCTAATTTTTTTGGTGTAGCAGCTTCTAGCCCGAGGCTGACTAAAGCGAGTAAAGGTTTTCAGCATGACACCTCAGTTGCTGCATTTTGCACTGCTACACTATGCACCGACAGTTGAGCGGCCGTACTCAATGAAATCCAGCCCTACACGTGCTGCATGGGCGTATACTCTGCTCCAGTATGTGCATGTATTTTCAGTGGTAGAACTGGGAGACGTCTCATGCTAGTTACAGCACGGGGCCGGATTTTATTGAGCGGAACCCCAATTCGCCTAGCCTTCTTGGAAAATGTCTGCCTGCTCCCACGTTACCCAATGCTGCATCAATCGTTGGTACCGTATTTCCCCGATTGTACTTGAAGTTGCAACCTATTTCAGACCTGAGCCAATTGTTTTTAAATACATTCACATAAGTAGTAAATCACACTCGATTGTAGTCGCACCCCTTTCTTTGCTCTTGAAGTTTAGTGTAAAAAGGTGTGACTTGCATTTCAGGAAATACGGTATGTGACGTGAATGTGATCTGATTGATGTACTGATTCATTCATGGCACTACTGCTGCTGTTCTGCAGAACTCCCTGGAAGAAACTGCAGTCTTGCTTGCTTCGCAGAATGGTCATTCGGGAGTCATCAAGCTACTTGTCGAGGTAAGCTGGAGCGGCCCATGAAGCTGGCTGCAAGACTGCAGTAATGGTGACAAATCCAGGCACCTAGCAACTCTCTTGTGATAGATAACCGTCGGACATGTGTTGTTGAATGCAGTGAGGGAACTGTATGCATCACCTTCCAAGCTTTGATATTCCTATCTCGTGTTGCTACAGTGTCAAGCCAACACTCTGATTTGCAACATCCGCTTCGAGTCCTGCCTCGATCTTGCATCGCAATACGGACACTTGGAGGTGGTAAGCCGTGACTTGCCTGTTCACTTGCCTGGTCGCTTACAGTGTAGTGTGATGTCAACTGGTTAGTATTGAACTTTCTATTGTAGCTCGGTAGCTTGACAGCACCACGGGTAAAACCAAGCTGATAAGCATGCAGTGCTGCTCATCCGGTTCATCGGACACAACTCAACAGTTCACCTTCATTTCAGAGAATTCGAACCAAGAGGACACTCCCGACAGTTTGGGAGAGATCAGCTAAATTTGGCACTGACTATATTTCCCAAATGACAGTAGTAGTGAGTTATTAATAACAGTGAGAGGCGACTTGTAGTTGTTTTGTTTCTTCTCCTGGCTTTGCTCTCTGCCACATCAGGTGAAGATACTGTGCCGCAATGCCAAGCTTGTGCGCGTTGGCCACCCGGACTCCACGGCCATTCATCTTGCTGCTCGCAACGGCCATTCGGCGGTCGTGCAGCATCTTCTTGCCTGCAATGTGGACGTGAACACGACTGTAAGTGAAGCAACAAACACGTTGATTTGTTCCTGCTTTTCCGCAAGTTTGGCTTTCCATGTGTTGGCAGGTCTGGCGCCCATGCTGGGCATCATTTTACAGGATAATAGCACATGTAGCGACTCGTTAAAGAAGTGGAGCTTCCCTCTTGTACATGCACAGTGAAACTTCAGTATAACATACTTTGAAGTACCTCCAAGGGACGTAAAAACTTGTACTTTATAGCCGAGGTACTGTATACCCAAGGTGAAAAGACTGGAAAAGACACACATGGTCCAAAAAGTACTTTTTATCCTACGAAAAGAGAAAATGTATGTTATATCCAGGGAACTTTATAGTGAAGTTTCACTGCACTGTCTGAGTTGGACTGAGATAACCGTCTGTAGGGTACCCACAGTGGATAATCTGGTGTTCTCTTGTTGCCGGTCCGTTGTGCCTTGCAGACTACTCAAGGCACAGCATTGCACGAGGCCGCTCTCTTTAGCCGTGTGGAGGTGGTCAAACTGCTGCTTGGCTCAGGTCAGTGGTGGTGGTGACAGTGGTGGTGGTGGCAGTGGTGGTGGTGGTGGCAGTGGTGGTGGTGACAGTGGTGGTGGTGGCAGTGGTGGTGGTGGTGGCAGTGGTGGTGGTGGTGGCAGTGGTGGTGGTGGTGGCAGAGAATAGACTACTTCCTCCGCGTCATCGAAATTGTCGCAGTTTGACTTTTGACATAAAACGGGGTATTTACTCACCAGCACTCGTGATACAGGCAAGGAATCGGACATAGGCGATAGTCATCAGTATAGGGTGACGGCAAAGTTCTAATTTCTGAAATTGGAAGCTGAAATATTTGAACTCGACGCAATTTCTTCGCTGATGTCTAGGCCTCCGCGGAATATGCTCGTATTTTTACCGATAATTCTTTTGAGCATTGCTCAAAATTTCGACCGATTATTCCCGTAATTCCACCAATAATTCTCAAAATATTTCTTTTTTTCTTCCCTTTTATTCAGATACCGTACCGCGTACGGGTTTTTTGCCACTTGTACCGGCAAAAAAATCACGGTTCGCGTGAAACTCGGGGGGCGTACGTTTTTGATCTACAGGTTTGGGTAGAAACTACTTCGTACGGTAGAGGTGTTCGTTTTTTGAAAAAAAATTCTACTCAAAAGGGTAGATTCTACTTTCCTCTACCGGCTCTACCGGGAAAAAGTTGGTAGAATCCGGTAGAAGTTGGTAGAGCTACGGGATTTCCAGCAAGATCAAGGATTTGTACACAACTCCATAAAAAAAAGAAACATTTCACGTACACATCGTGTAAACTACTAGATCTGGTAGAACAGCGTTTGTACACTTGCCTCTACCATCTACCTCTATCGGTAGAGTGACTCTACTCTACTCTACCAGGTAGCTAAAAACGAACGCAGCCTCGGCTGGAAGCTTTTTTTCTTCTTTCTTTTTTGAAATACCGGGCGATCAACTTCAGGATGTGAGCTTTTTGGTACAAATCAGGGTGTTATAAATGGAAAAAAATTGAAAAAAGGGGGCCATTGCTCAAATTTTACCGATTATTCCACAAAAATTGCCAATAATTCCCGTTTTAAAAATCACACCGATTAATTCCCGAAATTATGCCGGCACATTCCGCGGAGGCCTACTGATGTCGCTGCGACGGTAATTTCGACTCGCTGAGATCAGTTAGGCGTTGCAGCCTGCACATTTCTCGTGCCTATGGCCATTCACTCAAGCCTCATCACTGTTTTACCTTAGCTGGGGTGAGAATGACTTCGTGGAACAAGTGGCAGCGCTTGGAGAAACATCGAGGGGTCAGCAAACTAAATGCATGCAACAGCGATAAAATTTGTCGCTCTGGCTGAGACACTCAGTACATGATTGTACCTGCAAGAGCCGTGTAGACTCTACACGTAGTGCTAGTGATGCACGCACAGGTGCCGTACCAGTGATCTTGAAAAAGAGGTCGCGCTGGACGTGATAGTACACTTACCTGCACGAGCTGTGACCACACAGCTAAAATAAATGGGCATGCCACGGCTAAAAAAAGTTCATTTCAAGATCGAGGTGATTCCGCCGACGGTAATAAACCGACCTCGCAACGATCGTGTATTCATACTTCGTTGGTGGTGAAGTAGAAATCATCCAGAGCTAGCAGACGACAAGCATAGCAGCTCTTGTCCTGTGGAGAAAGTCAAAGCGTTTGAGATGAGGCGCGACCAACTTTCAACCTTCCTTGATATATTTCGGAACGATATTTTTGCGTCCATTGACATCAGCGACGACGAGGACTTCATCTCGGCGTGAAAACTCTCAGTCCAACTGTCCTGGAACGTTACTCTACTCTTCAGACTATCATACTGTGTTATAATTTTTGAATGGTTTAGCTTATGGAGTTGTCAGTAACAAGTGACAAGTCACTAGTCAAACTGCGAAAATTTCGATGACGCGGAGGAAGTACATGTAGCTGGAATGGTCTTCCCTACCTTGTTGTTGGGAAGAACCTCCCGTTTGGATTTGTGAAATAAAAATTATAAAACCACCATCATTATCATCATGCTGCAAAGCCCTGATCGGTTCATTCTGTTCAGGAGATGAGGGAGCATGCATCACTAGTCGTTGGCATTTTGAGTGTGGCAAAATTCAGCTCCCAATACAAGTTCGAGATTGAATGCTTTGCCCGTACACAGTCCTGTGAAGCTGCAGGAAAACATGGCAATGCTACATGAATAGAACACAAGCTTACAGCCAGACATTTTCAATCTTTGTGGGCTGCGCGTATACAGTTGTGTGTATTTTTAAGGGTAGCATGTTAAGCACATCCACGTTGAATTTAGCTGACATCTACAACTTTGCACTGTGTGGCTAGTAGTGTGACGGTGTGCGGAATGCGTAGTTTGGGGTGGTTGAAAGAGTAAAGACTGTGTTGCTTCCAAAATGTCAGCGTTTCGAGATGTTTCGAGATTTATGTATGCGTGTGTTTTGCTGGATAACCTGCTCAATGTGCTGCCTTGTTAGGTGTTGATCCCACTCTGAAGAATGAGAAGGGCCTGACAGCGTTCGACTTGGTCAATCGACATCACAGCAGTCAAAGCAACTCTGAGATACGCTTTCTCTTGGAGGGTAAGCCGACCATTAACAACCTACCTGCTACATACATACATGTATCTCCACTGCCTTATGAAAACGTCTTCCTGAATGGTAGCCTGGCAGATGACCTTGTTCAGATTTCATTACATAAATTAATTTAAGTGTGTTGAACCAGACTATCCACTGCACCACAGGGAAACAGTTACCGGTAACCCATTTTTTTTCCATTTTCCAAAGTTGCCTTGCCACACAAAATGCAACGTACGGTGTCTTCGCCCCCGTGTCCCCGACTTCACTCCGCACAATCAAGTCTTTATGATCAGTGACTACATGCATTTTCATATGGGCTGAAAAAAACACAAAAATCGGAAAATGAGTAGGGTGGCACTTTTTCACAGGGGGGGGGGGGGGGTGCAAACAGAGTAGGGCGGTGGGGAGGGGGGGGGGGGGTAGGGGGTGCTGCCCCTCCCCCCCCCCTACCCCCTTGGCTGGAACCCTGGTACTACTGTACTTCTTCTGTGTGGAATATCCTATCACGTGCACCGGTGTGTGTGTGTGTGTGTTTGTACGTTTGTGTATGCATGTGTCTGGTTTTTGGTGTCGACGTGCAGCGGATCTCCAGAAGATGGACTTGGCGGTCGCCGTTAAAGATCACAAGCCCCGACGTGGCACCCCAGGATGTTTGTCGTTTGACGAAGGTACAACAGTAGCAGAGACAGCTAACCTCTCGGGCTTTCTAGTGTTCAGTGCTGGTGCAAACTTGGTTACTCCATTCAATGGCTTTGTACTATGACACCCACATGGCTGTTATAGACAAACTTACAGGGAAACATCATTATAGTATTCCTCCAGGGGACGTAACGTCTGTGCTTTTGAGCTAAAGTACTGTATATCTGAGATCAAGTGATAGTACAGTGCAGGGTCCTGGGAAATATTAGGAGTTTATGTACATCTTAAAGTTTATTTTGTTCACTGTTAACCTCTGTACTTCCATCCTGTTAGCCTGGTCTATGTCGTGGAGATTGTCACCGCAGTATTTCCCACCATAATGTCATACCGGCTTGTTGTTGGTGCAGGCGATCGCATTCAGGTCATTCGCAGGCTGGACAGCTCCACATGGATTGGCATGTGCGAGGGCAGACGGGGGAAATTCCCGGCCAAGCTAGTTCAGATCACAGGTAAGCATCAAGTACAGAGCACATGTGAATAATGAGACTTGCTCACTGCTGCATAGGTGACGGTAGTTTTCACAGGACTGTCTTGATTTCAGCACTCTCATCCTTTGTTTTACCCATACTCTGCAAGCACACGTAACTCAGTGGCGTTCATACAAAGTCGTTCTCTGTGTGTGTGTGTCCTATGCTATCCTATGCTGCCTGACTCACCCTGTACTCCCACCACTCGCCAGAAACTGAGTTTGAGGTGAGTAGATACCGTATAACATGTTCAGGTGTAATCTAAATTGAGGTGTCCGGTTTCTCTACCGAGATTACTGGAAATATAGCCCTTCAAAAATAATTTGTTATACGGTAGGTCAGCATGTCGGCTTATCCAAAACGGTTTTGAACATGGTCCGTGCATGCACGTGTCTTTTAATCTCCGTTAAGGCCGTCCGTGGTCCTTGTTCCGTTTGTCAGTATAAACGTGTTCTGATGTCATTCTATAGCAACAGAATTGCTGCACTGGTTGATGGCTTTGGGGGATTTGCTTTCTGATCTGCATAATATGTGACTCGATTTAGCTTTCCAATGCCTACACTGTTAATTAAAGCATATCTCAGGATGACGGTTGAGACACCACTGCACTATGCACTGCAAGAAAACGAGACTTATACTTGAAGTACAATCTCCTGGTACTAAGACCCAGACTTGGGCTACTGGTATCTTGATCACATTTGCTTAGTCTAAGTCAACGATGTGTGGTGTCGGCTCTGTTCAACCTTAGGCAAACCTCAGCACCTCTCCCAGGATCAGCGCACTGTCGCTGGAGATTCGCAGCAGCCATGCCCGGCCACGAGGATCATCCCTAGTCGTTCCCAGACCACGAAGTGGTAAGGGATGCAGCCGATCGCTGTCAATACCACAGTCTGTCTATGCTGTCGCTTGTTTCTGTGTCATGTAGTGTCAACTGGAGATCTCTCATGTTGCAGTTCACTGTGAAAGGCCATCCAGCTCTGTCAATACATGCGAACATATGGGTGTGTGTGTGAGTGCGGGCGGGCGTGTGCGTGTGCATGTGCATGTGTGTGTGTGTGTGTGTGAGTGAGTGCGGGCGTGTGTGTGTGTGCGTGTGTGTGCGTGTGCGTGTGTGTGTGCGTGTATGTGTGTGTGTAGATATGAACGTGAATATGTGTGTGTGTGCATGTTTGTGTGTACGTGTGCATGCGGGCACATACACATACACATACCGGTACATTGTACACAAATACATCATATAATTATGGATGCGTGCGTGTGTGCGTGTGTGATCGTGCTCAATGTGCATAAATGGGTGCCGTATTGCAGGCACAAGTTCATCGTTATCTCATTCATCGCTTGATGTGAATCAAGCCACACCTAACCTGGCTGCTTCAGATGTCAAACGCTCGGAGCCTCCACCTGCACCGCCAATGCCGAATGCTTTGCTACGTGAAATCGAAGCCCTACGGTAGGATTTGTTGGATGATATCATTCCTACGATGTGTGCACGCTGGCTTGCTGCTTCTCAGTGTTATCGGTGACTAGAACAATGGGATTGAAGTCGGAAGAGGACGCTTATACATGATGTGCTTGCTCCACCACTGCGCACTACCCGTTATGCAGACTCTCTATTCACTATAGAGTTCCATTGAGACATTGATTGTGAATACCTCTAGACAGCTGTTCAGCTCCTTGAGAACTTCTCTTCAGACGAGGTAGAAGATTGAATGAACGACGCAGTGCACGCCTGGTAACCATTGCCTTTGTGGGTCTATGGTATATGTGGGGTTTCATGTGGTCTCGTTTGTTCTTTCTTCTACTGCCAGTGACATGCCATTCCCGGTGAAGCAAAGCCCTGCAAAACCCAAGCGTAAGAACTTCTCAGTTCCGAAATCCAAGGTGAGCTGGGTGGTTAGCCGGGAGGCGTTGCATCTGGGGAGGTAATGCAGGCCGGGGAGTGTGAAGTACTCGTAATGTAGGCTTCGCTCCCAGGCTGCCCGTTCCTGTCGCCCTTGGGGCAGGGCCGGATAATTTTTAACGCATGATCGCATATGGTGTGGCTGATGCGGCCCGTGTTTAGGGTCAGGTCATGGCCGTTATAGCGGTTGTGTGCTGCGTGTACCGTGCACCATGAAGACCTTCCAAAGTTGGAGTCGAAGTGCCCAATGGTGGGTGCTATGATCTCACGTCATCTCCCTAGACGCTATTCCCTGGCTTGAAAAAACAATGTTAGCACCTGAAATGACTCAGTCGTTACCCGGTTAGTTAGCTGCCATGTATCTCAGCAGACTGCTGTGCAATTCTAGCTTTGCCTAAACTAGGCTGTTAGGTACTAGTAGTCGGTAGTGAAACGATGTTTGATGCCCTGTATTTGTACAACACTGAGATCATGGCTTGTGGTTCTTCTCCTTGGTAACATCTTGCACAGCCGGGTGTGGAATTGACAATAGTCTGGCTTGTCCTGCACGTGTCTTGTCCCTGGACCTGTGTGTGTGTGTGTGTGTGTGTCCGTGTGTCTGTTTGTCTATTTGTCTGTATGTTTTGTGTGTCTCCGGGAATAGATTCCCGTCAGCCGCGTACAATCCTTTCCAGTCCTGTCCTCCTCGGGCACGCCGGCTGTCAACGGAGCAGCAGTACCCAGTAGTATGCCGGTGGGAGCAGCCGCAAGTCACCTAAGTGGCCGAGGCATTGCTTCTGGAATCCTAGTGGAGAATGGGAGCATAGCAACCGGTGGTGATGGCTCACCGGATTTGCGCAGATCCCATGTGCCTGCCTTGCTTCCATCAGACACTAGCGTGGTGCAGGCATCGTCCAGTTCCAGCACAGCTCTGGCAGCTAATGGCCACGTGGTAAGTAGAACTCACAGAACTCCTCCAAGCAGAACGGGTTCTGAACGCTCGCAGCAAGCTCCCTCCGCTGCTACTGGCGACTCTGAGAGGCAGACGACTCTGTATGCGATGGCGAAAGATGTAATGCCTGCCAGGACAACTGCTCCGGCTAGCAGCGGAGAAGCTACTCCGAGGAGCACACTGCCATCAACGGCGGTATCCTACGACCGAAACTCCGTGCTGTACGCCACAGCTGAAGGCTTCGCACTGCCCAAGGACATCGAGACCAAGCCCAGAGCTACATCGTCTCCTCGAGACATCAAGCGCTGGCCCGAGCGCGTATCGGTCAAATCCAGGAAGACGTCGACACCGGCAGACATGGGTAGCTCTGTACGCGACCCCTCTACAGCATCATCATCCTCATCCTCCTCCGCGCGGCCACTGAGCACACAGCAAAACCGTGTGCCCCTGGTGGAATCCCTGTACGCTGCTGTTGTGCTACCGACACCTGACACACAGCACGGGCCGCGCATTATCAGCGAGCCCACACGCAAGATCTCGGCGCCTGTACAAATACAATCGCCACGCGGCTCGGCGAGAAAGACCAGCGCGGCAGCGGTGGACACTGGCAATCAGTATGCATGTGCCACCGCTCCCACTCTGGCCTTTCTGTCGGGTGGTACGTCGCCGAAAGACAGACCTCAAGACCCGACCGGCTCGCCGCTATCGAAATCCCCCAACTGGCCGACTTCGCCGCCTCCCAACACTGCAGCGCCACCCAAGCCAAGCCCGTCAATGCTTACCTCACCCCCGGCCACCAGCAAAAGCAGCAGTAGTACTGTGGCTGGTGGGAGTAGTAATGCTGCTACCAATCAGGTACAAGCAACAAGGAACGTCGAGAGCCTGTACTGCGAAGCCAGGGCACCGGGTCTGGACATGCACTCGCCGCCAGCTCTCAATTCCAACTCCGACGCCAAATCAGAGGAGGTCACGCCTGAAAAGGACGGCAAGCCAGTCCCTAGGGAATCCGTCTCAACTCTGACTCCTTCTGACGATGAACACTTAACCGTCGGCATGCCATACCGGTCTCTCTACGATAGTGACTTCTCCGATCTCCCGGAGAGCGCAAAGCGAGTGAGTGCGAGTTCGGAGAGTGGGAAACACGTGAGTGATTGTTCCGCGACATCACCTTATGGACTGGCTACGGTGAATGAAGGCTCGCTTAGAGTTGGTGGTGAAGAGGATGGCGAGGGCAATGGGTATTCCCTTGGTACAGTTCAGCACACCCGCCTTCTCTCACCAACCAACCCGGCATACGAAGCAGTGCTCGTGGACAATGATGTCAGCGTCCTTACCAGCAGTATGGAGAGGGTAAGTTGTTGTCTTGTGTGTGTGTGTGGGGGGGGGGGGGGGGGTTATAGGTTGTGTGTGGCAGGGGGGGGGGGGGGGGTAGAAGATTATGTGTGTAGAAGGGGGCTTGGAAGGTTGTGTGTATATGGGGGGGGGGGGGGGGGGAGGAGAGGTTGGAAGGTTGTGTGTGTGTGGCAGGGGATAGTGGAAAGCTGATATGCAAGGTCTGACAAGTGCAGCTGTGTGCAAAGGCCACGCGGTGCTGCTGCGAGATACTTCATCCAGTGTGGAGGACACAAGAGTCTGAGCCTGTCACAAAGGGAAGTGAATGTTACCAGGCTGCTGTTGTTGCTTCTGATGCTGTTGTTGTTGCTACTGTTGTTGCTGCTACTGCTGCTGCTATTGTTGCTATTGTTGCTATTGTTGCCGGCAATGCCCTCAGGAAACCGACTCCGGCAGCATTCAATCGTATAGCTATGTGGATATTGTTGGAGAGGGTGCGGACAAGAGAATATCAGGTAAAGAAATCGAATTAGAAATAGGAGCAAACAGTATTATTTTGGTTTTTGCTTTGAGAAACGAGATTGCGTGGCCATGTGACTTTGGTATGTGTGTGACATGGTGTGTATTTCCTGGATGTGCATGGCAACTGGAAGAGCGGAACAGGGTTGTAAACAACCAGACTATGGTCGTAATCAGCTCTACACTATATTCCAGGCCCAACCACGATATTAGCCATGATAACCGTAGTGCGGCTGCGAGCTGATTCTTGACCTCTGTGAGCTAGTCATACTGTTGCTTATACAGTCAACTTTGCTAATAACAACTGCGGATATAACGACAATTCGCGAATAACGACAGACTTTCCATGCCCAGAGCAAAGTCCATTCTACCTGTATGCATACCGTATGTCAGCGCCTTTAAAGCCATGGCCTTATATTCGAAACACCGCTGCTTTCCTAGGTATTTTAGATGCAAAATGACTCGCCCACTACGCCATGCCATAAAAGTCCACACAGAAATTTCAGTCTAAATCTACTTGTTCACCCTTTATTCTGGGCTGTAAGTTTGTTAGCATAGTACTTATTTCTTCATTTTTGAAAATATTCTTCAAATGTTATTTCATTTATGAAGCCCATGGCTTTATAATCGAATATAGCGCCATGGGTTTAAAGGTGCGGACATACGGTATAATGAGACTTCGGGTATAAGGACACTTTGCGAATAACGACACTTTTCTGATGCCCGGCCGAGTGTGGTTATACGCAAAGCTGACTGTAGATAAGTGTGCATCTCTTTACCGTGCCATTTCTTTCTTTACTGCAGCAGCTGTCAACTCCCCCGACAAGCAGCCACCGTCTGCGTTGGACCTGCGTCCGCTCAGCACAATAGCTACTGCCAAGCGCGCCTCGTCTCTTCCGCCAGCTCTGACAACTCAGCCTGAGCCGCCGTCGCAAGCCTATGGTGTCCTGTCGTCGGAGGTGCCGCCGGTGTCCGCGCCCAGCCCAGTCGCCCGCGGTCTGAAAACCAGAGCGTCTGCACCGGCATTCACCTCCCTGGCAACTACATCTACCAACAAGCCGGTAGAGGCAGCACAAGTATACCATGGTGCCGCCAACTCCAAGCTGCCAGCGCCCGGTCTGCACTATGCAGTCCCCGCAAGCCCAGCGAGGAAAAGCTCCGACACGGCACCGAGTGCTGGTGGAGGTGAGGTGACGGATGAGGATACGCACTTCAGTCGTGTTCAGCAGTCGGCAGAAGAGCAGCTGGCAGCCATGCTGAATGACCTGGAGATCCTGCAGCCGCGCCGATCCCAGCGTGCCGACTCCAAGGCTACTTCAGTGTCATCCGATTCACTGGAGACCTCCAGCAGAGCTGTGGATGTGTCCTCTGCAATGGCCAATGTCGACGTTCCTACAGCCGTGGATCACTCCACGCCATTAGCATCACCTGTTGGGAAAACACAGCCGCTGCCAAAGAATGAGGAAGAGCAACGGCATTCACTCACCAGACCTGACGACGACGTTGAAGTCGTCCTTGCCGATTTGTCCGGACTGGCTCTTGGAGGTTCACTGCCTCGTCGGCGCACTGCAGGAAGCATAGATGAGGACGCCGACGAATGGGAAAAGGTAGTTAGCATGACGTATATGCATTATTCGCATGAGGGTGTAGGTTAACACCAAAGAACAGCACGCTCTGGTTGAACTATTTTTCAATTAACGCAACAGCTCTGGACTGAATTATATTCAGTCAAGATTGAGCTAGTAAACGCCGGATATCGCCACTGAGACTTTAGCCTAACTGCCTGAATTCCATGAAGTCAGCCGAATGTTTCCCGCGACAATTCTCCCAGAAAGATCACACGTGGAAATTCTTCAGCTGCCGGTAGTGTGAGGCATGCTAAAGCAGAGCATGCTGCCAGAAAGGAAGACAGACCTGTCAGAAATATTGGATAGTTTTCCTTCCTATCTAGCTGAAGACATGTCAGTAGAAAAAGGCTAATGGCAGTCCATTTGTCCTAAACTGGCGCACTAACTTTTTGGCGTCTCCCACATAGTTGTAGATGGTGTGAAAACACTGAACAGTACACCCTGCTTTGTGTGACCCGTGCAATTATTCCTTGCCACATTTGAGGGCGTGAAAGTCCAAGGAAAGAAAATTAGAAAATCAGCCAGGTTTTGCAAAATTCGGGAGGGCATCCCATGGCAAATGTATGTATAAGCAGATCCCAAACCCAGATTTATCTAAAGTGTGTTTTGAACCTCAATCCAGCCAAACTGACCGGGCTTTCAGAAGCAAGCATGACTTATTTTGTATGAATGGACTATAGTAACTGTTTCCTTTCTTGCCTACCCTGTGTAGATCATGGCTATGTGTAAAGAGACGACTTCAGAGAAGCCTGCTGACGCCGCAGCCTCTGCTGCTGCTGCGCAGTTGTCAACCTCACCACGTCAAGCAGGTTAGTTCTGTAGTTTGCAATCATACAACCTGCCTGCCTGCCTGCCCGCCTGCCCGCCTGCCCGCCTGCCTGCCTGCCTGCCTGCCTGCCTGCCTGCCTGCCTGCCTGCCTGCCTGCCTGCCTTGTCTTGTATTGGTTGTTGCAGGTTCTGCTGCCGGGGGCACTGGAAAACCAAAGCCTTGCTTCCTAGGTTCTGCCGGGGGCACTGGAAAACCAAAGCCTTACTTCCTAGGTTCTGCCGGGGGCACTGGAAAACCAAAGCCTTGCTTCCTAGGTTCTGCCGGGGGCACTGGAAAACCAAAGCCTTGCTTCCTAGGTTCTGCCGGGGGCACTGGAAAACCAAAGCCTTGCTTCCTAGGTTCTGCCGGGGGCACTGGAAAACCAAAGCCTTACTTCCTAGGTTCTGCCGGGGGCACTGGAAAACCAAAGCCTTACTTCCTAGGTTCTGCCGGGGGCACTGGAAAACCAAAGCCTTGCTTCCTAGGTTCTGCCGGGGGCACTGGAAAACCAAAGCCTTACTTCCTAGGTTCTGCCGGGGGCACTGGAAAACCAAAGCCTTACTTCCTAGGTTCTGCCGGGGGCACTGGAAAACCAAAGCCTTGCTTCCTAGTCCCATCACTGATGCATAGGAAACACTCGAATTGTTTTTGACCCTAGGCAACTGCTTTCCAGTGTTTACAATTTTAGGAGCCCCTGCTGGAAGTACAATACCCATAGGAACTTGGCAGGATCAGCGTAAATCGAGTGGGTCCCATGAATGGATATTGCGCTGTCAACCACTACGTGTACTGTGTTGAGCACAGAGGACCCCTGACCGTGAGTGAACAGCCATTACTTAAATATGTATAGCCCTAACTAAACTATTGGTAGTTGGCTACCAGTATGTAGAAGGCAAGTAACCACACTGTTGAAGGCCTTTCAGGTTTGGAGGAAGCCTACAAAGATGAGCAGGTAGGGAATTCCAGCTAACTATCAATAGCTCTATCCAGAAATGAGTGATAAGCCACATGTGACGAATATGGAAGGCCAATGATGATTACACATGTCGAGACAGCATAGTGGTATGCTGACTTATGACATAATGTGTAAGTTGTATTGTCTGTGTAAATGTGTGTGTGCGTGTGTGCATGTGTGCGTGCGTGCGTGTGTCTGTGTGCGTGAGTGCAAGCGGGCGGGCGAGTGATCGGGTGTGTATGCATGTGAGTGTATGAAAATGATGCGTGGCCGTGCTGTGTATGTACATGTATGTGGTGTCCTGTACTGTGCCACTTTGATCCGAAAAAGGAGCAACAAATGTGAGTCAGTGGTTAGCACAGTATCATCTACACAACTATGCATCCCTGCTGATACAGAATGGCTTTGATCATCTGGACTACTTGGTAAGCATAATCTGTGCTCCCAGCCGTGCTCACCTCTGCCTCTGCCTTCCCCACTCTCTCTCTCTCTCTCTCTCTCTCTCTCTCTCTCTCTCTCTTTTCTTTCTTTCTCTTGTGCTGGTATGGTGCACAGTGAGCTCTGCGTTCCTTTGCTCAGACAAGCAGGCTGATTACAAAATTCTCGGATTGTGATACGTACATCTTGCTGCTTGAGTTGTTTTGGTTATCTGCCTTTGTCTATACATGTGTTCGAACATTAACCCTAGAACTACCATAGGCATCATAATTATGATGCATTTGCAAATTTCAAAATTTGATTCCTGTGATATGGGCGGTTAGAATCCCCCAAATTTTGTGTAGTTCCAGGAACTACTCTGCTACTTAATGTTTGATCAGAAAGATGGTCTTCTTGAGCACGACGGCGAACGGAATAATTTTTTTGCGATGAGTCGCGACACCACTTCTCCTTTCGCTCGTAAATGTACTTATCACAACAGTCAAAGAATGACCAACTGGCTGTGGAAAATCCAGCAAGTTGGCGAAGCGGCAGCCACTTCCAGGGTTATGGACTGAAATGTAGAGTTTGCAGGATGGGCATGTCAAGCAGATGCACTTCTATTTTTTCCGGAAATTGACGAGAGGTCGCCCTTTCGCTGCGCGTTATCCCAGCTGCTTGTCTCCAAGGTAGTGCACCTATAATTAGTTCTTCCTTTTAAGAGGTAACCTTTACCCCAAGGACTTCCGTTTCCACACATTTTGCCAAAAAATAATACCAAGCAGATATGTTTAGGTCCGGTGGAGTCATATGGTGCATCCGATAATTCTAGAGTATTTGAAATTTTGGTAGTTCTAGGGTTAAATCATTTCCACACACAAGAGAGATTGGAAGCTTTGTCACAACTCTGAGTTTCACGTATTACTACGATCATCAGGCATTTTAAATCATTTATGAATGAATGTGGTGTTGTGAATTTGCAGAAAGAGGAGATCATGTCCGACAACGACCTTCTCCAGATTGGTATTGTGTCAGACGAAGATCGCAGGTATGCCATTCTTCAGCCAAATCACAATATTTGTGCTTTCGGTTTTATTTCTGACATTAGTGACCACAAAAGTACATACACGTATGTGGGCCCATTATTAGTTGACTCCTCGTGTGGCGGCGTGTTATGCAGTGAATTTGTAGCATTACCGTATTTCCCCGATTATAAGTCACACTCAATTATAAGTCGCACCCCCATTTTCAGGTTTAATCCATATTGATTTGATAATATTATATTGACTTCAGTAGTACGTCATGCTCTATTGTAAGCCGCACCCCCTTTTTTACCCTTGGGTTTTAGTGTACAAAGGTGCGAGTTATATTCGGGGAAATACGGTACTGTAGCAAGACCTGATGATGCATGTACAGTAGGTATCGGTTATAGCGTGGGTGTTTGAAAAACGACATTTGATTCTTATTGCCGATATTTCTTACACACGATAAATCACGTGTGACATATCATATGCACGTGTGACATAATACATGTTTGGCATGTGGACACGTACAATCATGTACAATGTAGGTCTACACAATCATGATACACACGGATCTGACTCGCGGTCGTGCTAAGCGACTGCGGAGCAGCAGAGAAGTCGGAACAAAGAGTCCGACTGGACAGAAAAAGTGATTCTCCAATGCTCAGTTGGACATAACTCTCTTTTTGTGTTGAATATTATTGTATTGAGCATGCACAGAGCACAGATGTTATTACTACAGGCGATACACTTTGCACTAATCTGGCATATTTTGCTACACAAAATCCATTCTTAGGGCCGATATATTCTACTATGCGATAATACTGCTTGTAAGAATAAATTTACACATAAAATAGGTGTTATGATTATGAAAAAATGAGTGTTCATTCTTGTAGGCAGTATATTCTTGTATACGACCACACTATAACCGATACGCACTGTACATGGGTTGTCCTTGTGTCGTGTTGCAGTGATCTACTAGCCTGTGCCAGCATGTTAGCAGATAGAGCAGAGGAGCCAGCACCCGACAGTGTTCTGGAGTGGCTGGCGCAGATTGGCTTGTTGCGTTACTACCCCGAGCTGGTGGACGTTCCCGAGCTCAAGTCTAAAGAGTCCGTCTGCCTGTGGTCGGACGACCAATGGACAAAGGTATGTTGTGTTTGTGTGGGCAGATATATCGTGGACTAATGACCTGCTGTTCAGTAACCATCCTGCCTGTACGCATTCTTCTTCGGCATTGCATGCGTTGAAGGGGCAGGCTTGTCCTGGTCTCGGCGAGCACCTGCATTCAAAGACGACCTGATGATGTTGGTCAGGTGTTTTGACTTTGCCTGCTCAGGCACACAGCCGCGGGGTGGGCCCGGTTGGAGGTGTTTTTAGCCCCTGCCGAGTTGTCTTCATGACTGGGTTTACTCTGTGTGTGTGTGTGGTGTGCTCAGGTTGGGATCACTAAGATCGGACATCGGCGTCGATTGCTGGCGCATTCCAATGACATCAATGTCTTCTCCATCAACCACCGGGCCATGGTGAGTGCCCTGCCACCAACCCATGTACACTGTGCACTGAGACACTGCACCTACCGGTGTACTTTCCGGAGTAAAAGCCACATTCAGATATTTTGTCACGAATACCATGCCTCTACCCTCTTTACCACTGTTAATTTGATCATCGGAGTATAAGTGCGGCTTACACTCCGGGGAATACGGTACATTGATATGATTCTACCAGTGTGCTATAGGCTGTTAGCAGCTGGCACAGGAATTGGATGTGTGGCTGGTAGATTTGATCCCTAGTCACTGCGCATGCCACGGTTCCTGCAGCTGAGGACTTTGTAGGATACACAATGGCTGCAAGTGTAAATCTGGAGATACTGACACACACACACACACACACACACACACACACACACACACACACACACACACACACACACACACACACATACAGTGGATGACTGAGAATGTAAATCTGCAAGCGTGCCTTAGAGACTTGTGCTGCGGCTAAGCTGGCAGTGGCACCATATTCTACACTGTTGAGGGAGTGCTGGATATAGCCCTGGTCTGCTGATCATGATGGATACTGTGACGTGAAGTGGTGTGTGCCGCATGTGTGCGGTGCGTTCCTTGTCGGACAGGGTTTTCTTGTCACTGCCTGCTTACCAATCAATTCTCTTTGCATGACAGTTGACTGAATGTTGTATCACGGCAGCTCTGCCAGTGTGACGTGCTGATGAGCCAAGTGTTGTCAACTTTTAAATCAACGCCTGGCCCATCATTGATTCTGCAAGCTTGATCGAAAGCTTGCAGAATCTCGTATCCAAGCACCCGGTTTGAAAACCTGATATAGACTGTCATTTATGAAGGTTGAGACTAAAAGCATTATATCTGATGTACCTTGGCCCTGTTAGCCCTGTTAGACTTAGCTGTCTATATGTGCATATTTGTTTGTCTGTTTGATTCCATTACAGGATGCCCTCAAGCCCAGGAATTCACAGGGCTCCATCAGACTGTCGAAAGCGCACTCCTCATCCTCGTCGTCGGAGGTAGAGCCATCGCGTAAGAACTCCTTGTCCAGTGCATCCCAGGACAATGGTACGATAACCAGTGGAGCAAGCAACAGGTCGTCTGGCCGACGGCCTTCGGCGCCCACTGATAGAAAGCAGATACCTGAAGAAACAATCGCGGACCCGACGGAAGGCCGCATTTCAACCGCACCGGCACAGCGCAGCACACCCATACCATTACCCCGCAGTATGAGTTCTTCGGCGATGCTGAAGTTAGGTGTGGCCAAGCCTCCTGCCACGACCGCATCAACAAGTACAGGCCACGTGGCCACCAAGACACCATTACGCAAACATCAGAGCTCTCCTAAACTCACAACAGTTACAGCGACCCCACCGGTGATACCACCCAAAAAATCCGAATCGGCACACGCGTTGAAAGTTACCCGAACACCTTTGCAGAAAGGCACTGTTTCTCCTTCAACGTCCGTGTCTTCGGGAAAGAGTTCTCCCAACGTGGAATCCACCTCAACTTCTCAACTAAAGAAAACCGAACCCGACCGAGAGGAGGCAAAGTCGTCGAGAAAACCTAGGCCTGAGGCATCGCGTTCAAAGTCCCGTGCCCAGCTTGAGGCGTCAGCACCTAGCGATGCTCGCCGGGAGAGCAGTGCTGCCCTGAGATCGCTGGGCATCGACGGTGAGCGTTTGGACACGGTGCACGGGACATGGCATCGAATGAAGAAGGAACTCTCCGAGAGCGCGATGGAGTATGAAATGAAGGTGAGAGCGGAGTGAGTTTTCCGGCGCACAGCTCCAGAATGATATTGCAGACTATGTGAATGCGTTTTTATGCATGCTATGCATGTGTTGGCTGTCTGGACCTACATAATGTGTCCGTGTGTGCACGTGTACATCTATATGTGTGTTGTTTTATACAGTACCTTGGCAGCATGATCGTCTTGCAATTCGAAGGCTCCAAGACCACTGAGATGGCATGCAAGCGTATGCGGGTTAGTAGCGGTGCAATGGCAATGTGTACTCTGCTAGTCTCATCTGCAGGGGAACGGTTTCCTCCAGTATGGGACATGGTTCCATACGCATGCACAAATGTACACATGCATGCATGAACGTGCTCACTCGCGAATATGCATGCACATACACGCATACGCAGACACACATGCACATGCACACACGCACGCACGCATCGTCAGGCGAAATAGCACGTCATCGTACATTTGAGATCAGCGGGAAGAAGATGACGATGTCCACTAATTTAGTATCTGTGCACACGAATCTGCTGTGTGTGTGACTCTGTGTGTCAGCTATGATATCATCTTCTGTGGTTCCATGCCTAGTATGTACGTCTGAACCATCCTGCAAAGTTTGAATGACGTAGGTTGAGCGATCGCTCCGCGAAATATACTTTTTGAAATTCTCTTCATAGTATATCTTCCACCATTGAAATTTCGAATTTCTTCAAAAAAAGTGCTGAGAGGGGTGGCTTGCAACCTCGATATGGCTTGTTCCAGGCATGCTTTGGAGCCATCTTCTGTTGAAGTAGTGGCGGGGATCTGCCCTGCAACTGCTACAACAAAAAATGATTCGATCTGAGAAAGGGTGAGACCGCGAATCTCGGTTGAATATTGAGTATTTCAAGCCTTTTCACGACGAAGATGGAGTTCTTTTTGGAGATGGACGTCGCGGCAAAGGACATGGTGTCCGACGTCTGGCGTCTGGTGAAGCCAGGGATCATTTGTCCAGTCAGGTCGGCAGCCTAACCATCGGTAAGCTTGTGTTTGGATCCCGTTCTGCTCGATGTGGTAGATCACAAACAATTTGATATCGCACAAATACATCTCAGCATCGTGCGTACGGTATTTTATATTCAGAAAATCCCAAAGTGTCTCTGTGTGGCCGTCCTATGCCACGAGAAACTCCAATCAGGCTCCTATGTCCTCTGCCTTCATGATTGAATGTCCACTTCGTTTGAACAACGAACACAACAATCGAGGACGGCTTTGCAATGAAAAATACAGCTATACTCGAGCTGAAAAAAGAAGAAAAAAACGTGCTCAGGATGAGACTCGAGTACACGCATACTCTCCCAGCAGGTGAAACGCAAATTTTTGTGAAAAATGCGTGACGCCGACTGACCAGTAATTTCGCCTGACGGCACGCACGCACACCCACCCACACACACACACATCCACAAACACACACTCAGTTGATATCCGTTTAAAAACTGAACACATTTTCTTGCCCCCAATGCAGCAATCCACCGCACAGCTGTTCAAGATTCCACGGATCATCCTCCGCGTTAACAACAAATCAGTTGCCTTTCTGGATAGTGTCACTAAGGTAAGCCTACATTGTTTACTCTATCCCAGCTGTTGACGTGCGCTGTGCAATCTTGTTGATAAGAAGGAAAGGAACGTCTTTCCAATGTGCCCAAGGTTGTGCCTGCAGTGCTGGGTGTGTGTGGAATGTTGCTGCATTGCACAGGGAAGATCTAGTGAAGCCGTTCCACCTCCACCCGATTGATACAGGGGCGTAGCACTGACGTTGGCCCTGGTGGTCCGGCTGGATGGGGGGGGGGGGGGGGGTGTCCTGCGGGAAAATTTTTGAAAGTAGGATGCAAAACCCTGCATTATGGATACTGTTGGCATTGTGTTAAAAAAAAAAGTGGTCCAGCCAAAGCCGGACCGGCCGGACCGGCTGCTACGCCCCCTGTGATGAGCAGGCCGACAGCTGCTGCTTATCTGTTTATCTACGAGGGAAGAGCTAACCGGCTTTAGTTTGATTCAAGAACGGTCCCACCCATACCTTGTGAAACTAAAAATCTGATATTGTGTATTAGAGAAAGAAGGAAAGGATGCATTGAAGCCGGTTATGCCAAAGGTTGTTTCTGCAGCCCTGGGTGTATGGAATATTGCTACAGGGAGGAGGAACCAACCTTAATTTGGATTCAAGCAGCCCAAAGCTTTGTCCCCCGCTTGTCCTATCATACCATACTGTGGTGGTCGCCGTTTGGCGAGAATATGCTTATTAGCAAGGACACAGAAATCATGACAGAATGACCGATGTTGTCCTAACCCGTGTGCATTGTAGCGTGGCCGAGTGGTCTAAGGCGCTGGATTTAGGCTCCAGTCTCTCCGGAGGCGTGGGTTCGAATCCCACCGCTGCCAAAAGTCATCTTTTTTTCTTTTCTTTTCTTCTTTTTGCGCAGAACGTACTTCAGGAGCATGACATCACATGTGTGCTGTACGTCAGTCAAGATCCAGTAGAGCTGAGTGTGTTTGGTTATGTGACTCAGGATCACACTACCGCCAAGCACATTTGCCATGTGTTCAGGTGCTTTGATTCGGTGAGTCAGTGCCGCAAATGAACGGTGCGCGCGGAGAAGGAGGAGGGGGGGGGGGGGGATAGTTTTCCGTATCACTTTATGTACGTCGCTAGATACGTGTTGTGCATGGGGCATAGGGAATCCATTTGAAGTCTCTGATGCCCAGAGCGACTGTATGTATTATGGGTTGAAATATCCTCAGCCACACCAAGAGTACATGAAAACCAGAGTGTGCAGCGCGGATGGGTTGCTGTCCCGGCGGAATTCCGTGATTACTGTAAAAGCAGAAATTTTCGGTGGTGTAATATTTTCGGTATTCTCCAAAATCGGCGGTTCGGTGGAGGGAAATTTTCGGTAAACCCGCTTTCCAGGTACTAGTACTATACCGACATTTTTGGTAAAAATTTCGTCACCGAAGTTACCGAAAATAAAACACCACCGAAAATTTCTGCTTTTACAGTACATCATTTTTAGTGATGTAGTGCGTACAGGCAGGATTCAAGCAGGTCTCTTTCTGCACAACTGCAGCTCAGTTGTACGCACTACGCCATTTCCCGCCTCAGATCTGCGCCAAATATGATGTAATCACGGAATTCCGCCGTGACAGACACCCATAGTTTTCATCTACTCTTGGTCACACCTACCGACTGGTGACATTCCTTCAGGGATGACATGATGTTCCTGGCGCGGCAAGTCAGATCGTCTTGTAAGAAAAGAAAAAAGAAGAAAAAAATTCGACGGGTTTGCGTACCGGGCAGGTCCCTGGGCAAGAACCAACTTTCCGCTTCCGTGGGACGCCACCACCCCATGATCAGGCGTCAGATGCGGCAGGCATGCGTAACCGTTGTCCGGGAAAGCTCTGATTGTGGGCAGAAGTGGCTACTCCAACGTATGGGTCTCCCGAGCCGGGCAATGCTGACAATGCCTGCATGGTCTTCTTTCAGCTCGGTCCGGTGGTGCTGATCGTCCAGCTGTTCTCTGTGTTCGCATCACTGGATTGGAATTTGTTGTGTATATTGTAACCGGCCAGTCGCCTACTTGTGTCTGTAGCTGGGAGCATACGGGTCATGCATGCCTGTTCTTTGCAAGTATAAAAGCTATCCGTGTTTTCGTGTTATGTGATGGATGTGCTGTGGGTGCTTGTGTCTGTCCTGCACATGTATGCCATTAGGCCATGGCGGATGAGATAGTGCTGACGTTCGGTCACGTATTCCAGGTGAGCCAGGCATGCTGCTGCTGATGCTGCTGATTCTTCTGATGTACCACCCGACAATGCTGCTTACTAGTACTGCATACCTTTAGGCAGTACCCATACTAGTGTAACGGGAAACACACACATGCACACACATGTGCGCGCGCGCGCGCACACACACACGTGCGCACACACACACACACGCACGCGCACGCACACACACACACACACACACACACACCATTAGAATCTTAATAATAATATTCAGTGACTGAAGCAAACAACTATTGATTTTAGCGAGAGGATTGTTGAAGATTTCCCTGCTAATATTACCCATATCCGACAGTTGATAGCGTTCTTTCTATTGGGCGGCGGCTACATTTGTGCACAGATTGCATTTGAGAATATGAAGGAACTGCGCCGGCCGTCCTGCACCAGCTGTGGCACTCGCGGCTCGAAGTGTGTCTGCCCTGAGCAGCAGGCAAGCAGCGGGCAATCGCCGGACATTGCTTCCAACGGCCGCAATGCCTCGCCAACAGCCGGCAAGAAGAAGCCACCGCCCAAGCCAACACGTGGTACCCGCAGTGTTGGTGGGAGCTACATGGACCGACCCAGCTATATGGATCGGCCATCGCTCGGCGCCTCGTCTGCAAGCATGGCTAGTGAAGACGTAAGTCGTTTGCAACTATCACGGTATCAGTGTAGTGCCGTGCTGCCGGTAGCATGTGAAGCTACTGTCAGAATGCACGGTGCTGTCACATCAAATCCCTCCTGTGGCATGATTGCGGGGTGAAGCAGGCGGGAGGGGGTCTTCACAGTGCTGGACAGTTTCGACGCTCACGCAGGGCCAGTCATTCCTCACTCGGACAGTGAGGGTGCAAGTCCGGTTACGCTTTGGTATGCATCTCGCAGCATGGCAACCTCTCAGCAGATGTTTTAAATTCAATCTGCCCGTGTCCTGTAGTACGAGGTGAATTGCTATTTCTGGACATTGTACATTTCTGGACATTTCGAGTGAAATAATTTTCCGTCGCGTGTAGAGTCAAGTCACTCGAGTTTATGAAGTTTTTTCTTGTTGTAGTTGACAGCTGGGCTGTTGTAGTTTCTCCTCGTGTCGGTGCCTTGTTGATTGCCTTTGCTTGTGCGGAATTTCAACGAGTTTTGTGGTACGATGTTGCGCGAGAATTTTGAATTTTGAGTAAAATAAGAAGTAATGGACGAATCGTTGGCTTCCCCATAGGCCATGTGCACTCCACTTCAGACACTGTACAGTCTTGGAACTGGTGGCTGGAAGTGTGAAGAGGTCAACTGCAGTCCACCAATAGAAAAACAAACAAAATGGAGCAGTATAGGATGCTGACGCTATTTTATCTTCATGTCCAGAATTCCATACACTGAAATTTAGGCCAAAAAATTCACCTGTCAAAAACGTCCTGCTATCAAGTCTCTGGGATCACACGTCACTTATTTGGAAAGATGAAGGATTAGGCCATACAATAGATACAAAAAGATATGAAAAATGTAAAACACACAGCCAGTGGGGCTCTATTTTTTTTATGTCCAGAAATTGCTGTTCACCTCGTAGTAGCACACTTGCACTGGCACTGGCACGCTGCAGTGCTTGCATCGGCACTGGCATGCTGCAGTGCTTGCAGCATGCCAGTCATCAGCATGACCATGCCAGATTTCTGACTGAATTTTTTTGTTTCGTAAAAATTATCGATAATGCCCGATGTCCCCTAACTTGCGGTGCATGCTCGCAGGACCAGTTGGCGTACGCTGTTGCACCAAGCTATGGTGTAAGCGCAATGCGTCAGTTCTGTCTTCTGCGTGTCCGTATGTGTACAGTCATCCATGTCGTCCATGCTGGCCTTTTCACCGCCCAATCGCGGAATGCTAGAGCAAGACACAACCTCACTCAACTCCTCTCAGAGTAAGGCCTCGATTAATACTAGTGCACATTTAAAGGGGAAGTTAAGGCAAAAATCAAAATTTCACCAGTTATAGTCTTCGAGGTGCTGAGTCGAATGGTCGTGGTCCGAGGAAGCTGAGACGCTCCCTTCCTACTTGAATCCCAATCGAACTCGCGCACTTCCACCGAAACTGGGTGACTGCGCCCTACTACAGTCCATTCATAAAAAGATGGGCTCTGGCTCTGGCTCTGGCGAGCTCCCGTATTTGGCGGTTTTTCGTGATTTCATCGTACACAGTGCAGTGCTGCGAACTTTGAAATTTGAAAAAGGGTCCAAAAAGGGTGCCTGAACTGGGGTTCGAACCGCAGAATGCACTGTTGCCAGGCGGGGTCAAACGGCCTGGATTTTGATGGTTTTCCCAATTCTGTGCTTTTGGGGCAAAACCTGGCCGAAATCCTATTCTTGCTATGGCTTGCTTTTTGGACAAAAAAACTTTAGAAACATAATTGGAAGAGGATTCCATAGGGGATTGCCAAAAAAAATTCTAAAAAAACTCAAAGTTTGACCCATTTATGGCCAAAAGCTAGAAGTTCATTTTTTTCTGAATGGACTGTAGATGGGGATTTGTATGCAAAATGTCACTAAAGGCGCCATTTCGTTCTTATAAAAGCACAGATGACCGCGATTGGCCCATATATTGTAGTCTTTTGGACGCTGAGTCGACTGGTTTTGGTCCGAAAAGTCTGCGAAGCAGCGTTCCTCCTTTATTCCCAATCGAACATGGTTGAACAAGCGGTCACGTGCTCCTGCGTACACCAGTCACCTGGTCACCGTGCCTGCAGGGTACAACTTGCTAGCCTGTTTGACCTTTTTTGGGTGCAGTCCTGTCACTCGAGTTGAACCTTGGTGTGAAAGTTGTCGCCTGCTGGCGTGGTGACCAGGTGATTTCGGCACCCAGGAGCACGTGACCGCTTGTTCAACCATGTTCGATTGGGAATAGAGGAGGAACGCTGCATCGCAGCCTTTTCGGACCAAAACCAGTCGACTCAGCGTCCAAAAGACTACAACATATGGGCCAATCGCGGTCATCCGTGTTTTTATAAGAACGAAATGGCGCTTTTAGTGACATTTTGCATACAAATCCCCATCTAGTAGGGCGCAGACACCCAGTTTCGGTGGAAGAGCGCGAGTTCGATTGGGATTCAAGTAGGAAGGGAGCGTCTCAGCTTTCTCGGACCAAGACCATTCGACTCAGCACCCCGAAGACTAAAACTGGTGAAATTTTGATTTTTGCCTTAACTTCCCGTTTAATAAAATAAATATGAGCCGCAATCAGCGAAAACGACCCTTAGAGGTTTCGTAATTTTTTCGAGAAAAAGGTCGATATGTGACGTGAAAGTATTTTTGGTCATGTTGCGAACAGCGATCGCGAGTCGAGTTCTTCTTGCTTGAACTTGAAGTAAGTTGAAGTGGTGTCGAGTGTCGATTCAAGTGTTCTTTGGTCTTTTCGTGATGGCTGCAGACGCCAGAGCTGCTCGCAGAGCACGGCGATCATTGTGCACAGCTCGAGTCTGGTCAGGGGTAGATGATGTAGTAGCTGCTCAGCTTCAGAGCGATGATGAAACATTTTTCGGCTCCGACGTCGATGTCGACAGTGCGGCGGAATCGGAGCCGTCATCGCCTGCTGCGAAGCGGCTCAAGGTCGCTGACGACTGGTCAGAGTCAGAAGACGAAGAGTCGTCCCCTGACATATCATCCGAGTCAGAGGCTAGTGATGGCAGCGACGTCTTGTCGTCGGCAGGGGAGGAGGAAACTGAAGATGAGATCGTGGAGCGACTCCACGCTGGATGCAGCTGCAAAGATGCTAATCATTTCTCTGCGATCGATACAGCGGACGTCAAGCAGATTCGAAACCAATTTCGAGGCGCTTCGCGAAAAGACAAGGACACATTTATCCTTGGTGTCTTGTCTGGCGGTATTTTCCTGGATGATCAACCCCCTGCTCAAGATTCTGAAGCAGCACGTGAGCGGACTAAGTTTCGCTACCTGGTGTTTGGTCACACTGTGTGTCGAGATGTGTTTGCATACGTGTACAAGATTGGTTCAACGCGTCTCAAGCGCCTCCAGAGACTGTCTGGCCAGAAACAATGTTTCCCCAATCCTCATGGTAACATTGGTGGAATGCCATGGAATGAATGCAGTGCTGTGGCGCGTAACAGAGTCGTGGAGTTTGTTCGCAACTACGCTGCTGTGTATGGCTTGCCTATGCCTGCTGCACCCAGGGGCAGAGCGAACAATGCTCCAACCTACCTGCCAGCCAGTGAGTCGTTTGTAAGTGTGCACCTTGAGTATTGCAATGCGCAGGATGATGAGGAGCATGTCAGTTTCTCCACCTTCAGGAGGATTTGGAAGAAACACCACCCTGATATTAAATTTATGAAACCACGGGAAGATGTCTGTGCACGCTGTGAGCAGTTTCGCAACAAGCTGCGTCATTCATTGTCTGAGCGGGACAAGAAGCAACTCACTGAAGAGTGGCTGACCCATATCAATCTTGCCAAATCCGAGCGAGAGCACTACAATAGCTCCATTGCCAAAGGAAAAGACGACCCAACGGTACTGACACACATTACCTTTGATTTCTCTGAGAATTTTGTTCTGCCGCAACATAGCCGTCAACCTGGACCTGTATATTTCAAAGTCCTCTTCCGTGTCAACGATTTTGGTATCATAAATGAAGCTGTTCCGGAACAAGTGCACCATCTATTCCATGAAGGTCAGACGATAGGGCCAAACAACACAAAGAGCCATGGCCCAAACAGTGTGATTTCTATGCTACATGCTTACCTTCAGTCGCACTCACATGCCAAAGCGTTGCATGGCCATTGCGACAACTGCTGTGGACAGAATAAAAACAAATCAGTAATGGCCTATTTGTGTTGGAGGGTGTTGGCGGGACTAGAAGACGACATCCGGCTGTCATTCATGATTGTCGGCCACACTCGGTGCTCAGTCGACGGCGGCTTCGGTTTGGCAAAGAAAAAGTATAGATCAGCCGACTGTGACTCGCCAGCACAACTGGTATCAACCATAGAAGCATCAGCAGTCCAAAATAAGGTGGAGCTCTTTTCGTGGGAGTGGAGAGACTGGGATACGTTTCTGAGCCAGAAATTCAAGAAAATCATCGGGATTACGAAGTTCCAGCATTTCCACTTCTCAAAGGCCCACCCAGGAGTCGTGAAGATGAAGGCCAGTGCAGAGGGAGAGGAGGTTTCTTTGCCACTTCTAAAGGGTGAGGATACAGCTGTGGATGCAACCGACCTCCCAGACGTGCTTGCAGCTGGCGGTTTGTCAGAAGAACGCCGGAAGTATCTTCTCGACAATGTTCTTGAATTTTGCCGTCCCGAAAATAGGGAAGCTTTCAAGGCCGCTCTTGGATAATATCAGTCTGAAGCGCTCTTCAGCTAATATGTGTCACTCTACCTACGTACTGCACTTTTTCAAAAGTATTCAAGCTGCCCACACACCTTAGAATGTTGAATATTCATTGTCCATATACATCATATACATACAATGGACCAATTTCAAGTACATCGTGCATATCTGTGCAGTAAACCTGGTTTAGATCGGAATATTTGACTTTTTTCTGGCTCAGGGCCTTCAGTAGGTATGTCTCAACAAATTTCTGACAAAAAACGAATTTTGAAAATTTTGACCCTAAGGGCTGGTTTCGCTGATTGAGGCCCATATATAAAAAATAAATAAATGTAGAAAAGAAAAGGACATAATTATGGATACGAGTTAAGAGTAACTCTCCATCACTGTAACTGGATACTATATACAGTCAGAAAGTGCAATAACTAGGCACAAAGTTGACAGAGTACTGAGACATTCGACGTCCTGACACCTAGCTACATCTCCGTAGCACTAACCGACAGCCGGTTCAAGGTTATGAAAAGACCAAAGAGGGGAAGGCAAGCACAACGAAAACGAGCAAAAGCTACAGTCCCAACGGAACAAAGAATGTCGATTGTTACTGGACGATGACGAGACCAGTACGATATTTGACAAAGCAGTCTAACTACAATTCGAAGCAGCAAAGCAGCTAACCACCCAACTTGGGTGGGTCATAAATATCAAAGATAAGTAAAGAAAGGGGGAAGCTTTGTCGGTTAGCGCTACGGAAATGTGTTGAAGCTAGGTGTCAGAACGTCGAATGTCTCAGTACTCTGTCAGTTTTGTGCCTAGTTATTGCACTTTCTGACTGTATAATTATAGTATCCAGTTACAGTTTTTTTTATTGTATTTTATTATTTTACTTGGGCATTCCCAACAGACCCAGGTCTTCTTACGGGGTGCCCAAGATGAATGAAATCATTAAGTTCCTGGCGAAATGAATTGGGGATATGATTTGTGCGAAGGGATTCGGGAAGCGCATTAAAGCGGTCAGCACCAAGGAATGAAATAGATCTGTATCCAGCTTGAGCTTGCACAATGGGTAAGGAAAGGGAATAATTGACTTGGCCGCGGGTTACTCTATCTGTGTGAGCGCAGTCACGGCGAAGGGAGAACATATCAGAGAGGAGTGAACTGCAGATATTGTGGATGCAACGGAACACGAAGAATATGGACTTAGTATGATATATTTTGTCTAAGCTAATTATGTGGTATCGCTCGAGCAAGTATGATGTTCGCGTGAATGTGTCATGCTCAAATATGCATCTAAGTGCTCTCTTACTTATGCGTAGCAGCTGATCCCTCACATTGTCAGCGAGGCAGTGGACGTAGGCATTGCTGGCGTACTCGAGCTTGCTCTGGACTACTGACAAGTAGAACTGCCTTCTGGCCTGGACAGCTTGGTTCCTCCTTCCACGTTGAAAAGCACCTAGTTTCTTTCCGATGTCTTCCCTGAGGGAGTTAGCGTGGGCACTGAAACTTAAAGTTGAATCGAGAGTACAGTGATGGAGAGTTACTCTTAACTTGTATCCATATGTCCTTTTCTTTTCTACATTTATTTATGGCTCAACATCCGAGTTTCAAAAAATAAATAATTAATTAATTAATTAATTAATTAATAGTGCACATGTAGGAAAGCCTACGGCACTGCACCAGCAGCCGTTTGCAAAACGTTTTGTTTCCCCGTGAATTCCACTCTGCTGCCACCATCACAGTATTTTGCTTCCCTCTTAGTCATGGCTCTTATACCAGCGCGTGTGTGTGTGTGCTTAGGTTCATGCTGGTCGACACTGTCAAAAATACATCAATAATTATTAACCAAAGCTCCGCATCTGGTTGCGAAAGCAGAATTTGTCAACCATTGGAGTTGCGATCCGCACACTGTGTCGCTGCAGCCAGTGCATGATATCAGAATTTTAGTATTTACAGCATTGCGGCATTGATTATGACGTAAATGACGCAATTACGCCGTCCTGCACACGTATGTGGAGTGGCGCATTCTGGTTCTTGTAGTCTTGGTGCTATTCTTAGTGTGCCAGTTGTCAACTTGTAATGGAACGGCAAGCATGCACGAGCGTATGGTCGGTTAAAAAAAATTATTTCTCCCACATCGTCCTGTGGCCAATGTTAGCATTGTCACTGTTGTTGCTGTTGCTAGATGATCTTCTTTGGCACACTGTTCAGTCCACTTTCGGTGACACCTGAGCAGATGTTGTCCAAGACAAACTGCCGCCGCTGCCGCGTGTCCCCCACACAACAGCATTCACGGCTTCACATCACCGGCTCGTGTTACTGGCAACCAGCCAGCGACCAATCAGACGTGACGATCTCTTTAGTTACACGTTTGCATGCTGCATAGCTTTCCATTTTGTTTCCTTTGATTTAGCCTTGATCCAGAAATCTTGAGTATATCGCAAGTATGAGCCACAATTTCTATCAACACATTTTCTCCCCCTTGGTGGATATTTATAATGATGCTGGAACTTAGCATCACTCTTCCCTCCTGTTCTGGTGTACAATTAGCCACTGAACAACTTTTTCTTTTAATTACAGTTTTTAGACTCACAATCAACTGGGCAAAAAAATTCAGAAGCAGGTTGGTGTGCGAGCGCCGATTTCGCTTCATATTTAAACTTCTAGTTGCTGACAATTAAGCCACCATCTTGCGACAACATTTTCATCATGGCATCGAGCGTGTACAGTAAGATCGGACGCCGAAGAACGCAGGGGCTCAGGGCGCAGCCTAGCAGTGTATCGTTCAGATTTTAATCGTTTCGTTTTTATTCCGCGATCATGCGATGTGATCATAAAGCAGTACAAATGTTCTTAGATCTGCAAATCTAGCGGTTCTGTGCCATTTACCAGAGTTCTTCGGCGAAGTGTTCTACGGCGCCCGATCATACTGTAATGCGAAAGCTGTTGTTTCTGCTTGAGGAAGGAGAAACAAGCGGAAAATTCTACCGAAGAAGAAAATCTAAAAATTTTCTTTAGCACTCATCAGGAGAACATGTAAAAAGTTTAAGAACGAGAGAGCTTGGAAGCTCAGGGCCCTTCGCTATGCTTTTTGCCTTGATGACCTAGGCAAAAAAAGTTATAAATTTTTCATTTCTCCTATTTTTTTTTCAAGACATAACCTGGGATTCGAACCTGCACTATCGCTCTGCATGCATCCCCCGATACACTTCGCACACATACCAATTCTTCCAAGTAAGTTGCTTCACGTTATGATCTTGCATTTGAAAACCCTATTTGAATATCGTGGCCAGGTGTTTGTGGCCAGCCCTAGCCGTCTCTGATGGTACGGTACGGGATAGATACGGTCGAGGGTAATGCGACACCGTCTACCACCTTGATGACCTAGGGAAAAAAAGCATAGGGATGTTATACATTTTTCAATTCTCCTATTTTTTTATAAGGCATAACCTGGGATTCGAACCTACTTGCATTCCCCAACACACTTCGCATTCATACTCATTCTTCCAAGTTCCTTCACGTTATGGTCTTGCATTTAGCCCTATTTCAATATTGTGGCCAGCTGTTTGTGGCCAGCTGTGTTTGATGGTACGGTACGGTACGGGACAGATACGGGATAGCGCCGGGCGTAACACAAACAAATACCAAACGAGAGAGCTTGGAAGCTCAGGGCCCTACGCTATGCGTTTTGCCTTGATGACCTAGACAAAAAAAGCATAGGGATGTTATAAATTCTTAAAAAATTCCTTTTTTTAAGAGACATAACCTGGGATTTGAACCCGCACTATCGCGCGCCCTGCATGCATCCCCCGATACACTTCGTATACATACTAATTCTTCAAAGTTGCTTCACGTTATGATCTTGCATTTGAAAGCCCTATTTGAATATGCATTGTGGCCAGCCGTCTTTGATGGAACGGTACGGGATAGGTACGATCGAGGGTAATACGACACCGTCTACCGCCTTGATGACGGCAAAAAAAGCATAGGGATGTTATAAATATTCAATTCTCCTATTTTTTTTTCAGGCATATCCTAGGATTCGAACCCGCACTATCGCCCCACATGCATTCCCCCATACACTTAGCATTCATACCCATTCTTCCAAGTTGCTTCACGTTATGATCTTGCGTTTGAAAGCCCTATTTGAATATTGCGGCCAGCTGTATGTGGCCAGCTGTGTTTGATGGTACGGTACGGGACAGATATGGGATAGCGCCAGGCGTGACACAAACAAACACACAAATACCAAATTAAAGCTGTGTGGACCCTGGCTAGCGCCAGACGTTACTGAAGTAACGTCTTCTACATAGCTACGGGAATTAAAGCTGTGTGGACCCTGGCTAGCGCCAGGGTCTGCATAGCTACGGGAATAAAAGGCAGAATGTTCCCCAGATTCATCAGGAGAACATGTAAAAAGAATAAAAGGCATAATGTTCCCCAGATTAAAGGGATCGGAAGGTATACTGGCACAAACTGAAAGGTCTAATTGGGAAATAGGACAGATGGAGATAAAGCAGGGCTGCAGAGTTGTATAACAGCGAGTAGGACAGATGTGAATGTGAATGGGGGGGGGGGGGGGTAGTAGGACAGATGACAGATGTTAGTTAAAACTGGGAGTATTCTGAAGATATGGAAAAGAGAAAAAGTGTGAAGATTGAACACCCAAGATAGAATGGATTGCGCTGGGTCTAATGATATCGCTTCAAGACACAAGGCTGGGGGGCTAGGCTAGGTGCAGCGCCAGCACAGAACAGTAAATCTACACTGCAGTAACAGGGTAGACTACTAGCATGGTAGGATGAAAAGGCGGTCGACCAATCATTTCATGATCAGTTTTATCACACACCAGATTTTGTGTTAAATTTCATGATTGGATGCGGGGGAGGGGGGGGGGGGGGATTATGACACATAAAGAGTTCATGGGGGAGGGGGCTACGACACACAAAGTCAAAGAGTTCATGGGGGAGGGGACTACGACACACAAAGAGTTCGTGCTCAGCTTGTTCCTATTCTCTACAGCGGCACTGATGCTCAGAAGTAATAGTATGAATGTTCTACACAATATCACCAACTGGCAATGCAACTGGCAATGCAACTGGCAATGAAACTAGCCCTGCCGCGTGCACTTGACTACCGATACAATTGTCCTCTGCTCTATACCCACCACCACACATGAACCTTAAGCCTTGTCTACTGGTTAGCGTATCTGCTCTAGAACTGTTTTTAAAAAGAAGGTCAGCATGTTCGGTTTCATTTTGACGAGGGACCTGCGCTCACGACACGCAGCATGTTAGGTCATATTATGGCGAGCAACCTCCTGCTGCGCACACCACGTCTACATGAAGATCCGGTGGTAGGGGGATTTCTTGGACACTTTACCCGCGCAGAAGGGGCATATACCGGGTTTCCTCTTGATGGCGCTGGCTATACATGGTTCGCAGAACAGATGTCCACAGATTAGGGTCATGATTGACACTCCAGTCCTTTTGATCTGCACGCACGCGCACACATACGCACACACACACACACACACACACACACACACACACACACACACACACACACACACGGCACACACACACAGGAGAACGGTCGAGTTTAGTATCATTATTGGCACGCCAGAAGTCGACTGGAACAAGTGTCGTATCGGGATCGGCAGCTGACGGTTTCTCCCGACTACGGCAGCGACACATGCTGGGTGCACTTACCTCTACTTGAAGTACCATCTACCTCTATCGGTAGAGTGACTACTCTACTCTACCAGGTAGCTAAAAAAACGAACGCGGCCTAAGTCCCACGGCAACAAAGAATTCTTTGTTGCCGTGGGACTTAGCTTGTGCACATTTTCGCTGCGCTCACCTTCCCCTCTTCGCTCCTACGTAACCATGAACCTTCCAAGTTGGAAGGCTGTTGGTTTGTGCACTGGAGGTGTGTTAGAGCTAGGCTCAGTAGCCTGTCAGTTGTGTGCCCTATTATCGCACTTTCTGACTATTTATCATCTTGATACAGTCGTGGATAGTTGCGGCATAACTCGTTCTCATGTGTTTTCTTCTCTCTCTTTTTTCATTTTTTTTTTTTTTACGAATATTCGGTATATTCGTTTCACCACTATTAAAGGGGCGTTCGTTTTTGATCTACAGGTTTGGGTAGAAACTACTTCTTTCGGTAGAGGTGTTCGTTTTTGAAGACAAAAAATCTACTCAAAAGGGTAGATTCTACTTTCCTCTACCGGCTCTACCGGGAAAAAGTTGGTAGAATCCGGTAGAATTGGTAGAGCTACAGGATTTCCAGCAAGATACACAACTCCATCCAAAAAAGGAACATTTCACGTACACATCGTGTAAACTACTAAATCCGGTAGAACAGCGTTCGTATACTTGCCTCTACCATCTACCTCTATCGGTAGAGTGACAGACTCTACTCTACTTTACCAGGTAGCTAAAAACGAACGCAGCCTAATAAATCACCACTATTAAGGTCAATAAATACTAGTAGACTCCCTCTAATTCGAATACGGTATAATTCGAACATTCCGTGTAATTCGAACTTTTTCGTTGTACTGATCTTCTGCAAGTCACTTCAAGTCAAAATCGAATGCATAATTCGAAGTACGAAAAGTGCGCCGGTTGGATAATTCGAACCCAGTCTTCGTACAGAAAAGCTGTTTACAGTACATTGGCTATGTCCTTTGAACGCTTATTTCGAAGTGAGATTGATTGCTGTCCTTGTAATTCGAAGTTCATTCTTTTCTCCTTCTCTAGCCAAGAGTAGCTCAAAAATCGATCGATGGTCCGCTGCAGGATCGACTATAGCGTTCAAGAAACCCACCTTCTCTCGAAATTTCTTTCAAGCCCGTGCGAGGCAAATTGCAAAGGTTTGATTGAAAACGATGTCTTCCAGGTGGCTGACTCTCTCCGCGGATCTCGATGGCCTTTCTTGCCGCGCCAGCTCGTGCACAGAGATGTTGGCGCACAACAACACTACTGTCGTAAATATTGTCTATGCCTATGCTCCACTTCCCTTCTTCAGAACGACGTGCTGCTGTCCGACGGCCTTTCATGACGCGGATTAGGCAGCGCAGTTCTTTTCCGTTGAAATTGTTTCAGGAAAGCTGCAGTGACTGACAACTTCTTCACTAGAAAATGAAGATGTCAAAATGGTTTTGTGTCGATCCAGTGGTTTGATGATCCGTTGTACACGACCGGTACGACCACCTATTGTCCTTGCACCTATGTTTCGTTGATGCAAATAAAAATGTGCAAAAAATACTCAGCATGCGATTTCAAGCATTTTGACATACATATCAGTGCATGGGTCTGCATTTGGATAATTAGAAGTTCTGGATAATTCGAAGTTAGGGCCTGGCAATTTGAGGTTCGAATTATAGGGAGTCTACCTGTATTAATAAAAGACTCCTTTTAGAGAAAAGTGCAGTGGCTTTTATTGAGTCAAAGCAAATCCATTTGAATTCGATACTGTTGATGGTGTGATCACAAATTAGCATGGGTATATTGGACAATAGGGACGTGTGATGTCATCCGTGTTGACGAAAGAATATCCGTTCATTCGTTCCGTAAGCCAAAGAATATTCGGCTACTGGGTTTTAATATTCATTTCACCACTATATTTTATAAACAGTATTAATTTTATTGGCCTTTGAGCCAATAAAATACTGTTTATAAAATACCACTAAGGAGCCGTCCAAGATTACCAACAGTATTTTCAAAACGAAAAGTTCTGGTTTGGGGTGGGTGGATTCGAAGGAGTTTCGTTTTGAAAATAATTTTTGAATGCAGATGGAGAATGCCCAGTTACTTCTGGGTGTCAAAAATTGACATCAATACTTTATTTAAACAGTTTCCTCTGAAACAAAAATGCGATAATACTCATAAAAAGGACACACTTCAGGCTCATCACAAACATCTTGAAAGTTTTTGTCTTCACAAGTATACTTTCAAGCCTTCTCGTCAGGTGAAATACAGGCAAGGGAAAAGGAACAGGAACAGTGGATTAAATACACTAAGAAGGTGGTAAAAAAGCGCAAAAAAGAAGATAGCTAAAGTAAACAGCGAAAATTGCAATAATGACACAAAGGTGCTAAACCTCGTTAGTTACATGTATGTCCAGTGGTTGTCTCTTGTTGTCGAAATACATGTCACGCTTATTGAGTTCTCGCACTTGCACCTTTGTGTCATTATTGCAATTTTCGCTGTTTACTTTAGCTATCTTCTTTTTTGCGCTGTTTTACCACCTTCTTACTGTATTTAATCCACTGTTCCTGTTCCTTTTCCCTTGCCTGTATTTCACCTGACGAGAAGGCTTGAAAGTATACTTGTGAAGACAAAAACTTTCAAGATGTTTGTAATGAGCCTGAAGTGTGTCCTTTTTATGAGTATAATACAGTCTGTATCGGCTATAGCGTACCCTTTTGATTTCCGTGATATTATCACTATATCCGATGCATCACTATATGCGATACGATCGATTTTTATTTTTTTATTTCGATCGACACATGAAAGGCAAGGAAATACTTCCAGCATGGCGTTTCGACAAATGAGCATGCTGCATAGTTGACAGTACCCGCATTTCCATAACAAATTCTGTTAGGTGCATGTACATGTATCACTATAAAAATAAGCAACGTGAAGAAAGTAAAAAATAGGGCCTTTGATATTATTGCTACATGCATTTTATAGTTATCACTATAGCCGATAATAATATAGTGTGTTATGCATGTTTTGATTCTTTGCTGCCATCATAATATCCGATATATCATTACATCCGATAATATTGGTTATAGTGATATTTTTACTGGATAAAATACGTTTTGCTTTTGATATTTCGTACCAATATCACTGTAGCCGATATATTCTTTTATCCGGTCACTCTATAGCCGATACAGACTGTACTTTATTTCTTAAAGGATTGGGAGAACTTCAAATTCAAAAGACCAGTCGGGGAAGTGAACTGCCTGAAAAAAATGGAGTGAAAAACTTGTCAGCGCCTTCTAGGTTCAGCCTGGTCCCATAGCTCAGTGGTTAGAGCATTGCTCATGACAAGCAAGGTCCCGGGTTCGAGTCCTGGTGGGTCTGGCGTTTTTTTTCTCTCTTTTCAGGCAGTTCACTTCCCCGACTGATCCTTTCAATATTTCATTGGAATTCGTTTTACCTGCAGAAAAGGTAGGTGGGTGGGTAGGTGCTGAAAAACACTAAAACTTTTCGTTTTGCAAAAACTATTGGTCACCCTGGACCCTAAGGCCAATATTTACGAAATACTTCTGTCTAGAGAAAGTACAGGTCAACATATGTATAAATGTAGCAGCCATAGGATTTATTAGAATTTACATATGAGTTATAAACCCTGGCGCTTCGCCTTGCTTATGCCTGTTTACACTAGTTTGTAAATGCATTAAATCCTTCGGCTCTACTCTCTACATTTATACATATACAAGTCATGTAGATAGGATTGAGGGGATTGGGAAATTTTCAAATTCAAGGATCAGTCGGAGAAGGCAGCTCACAACACGTGCCACAGAGAGAGACAGACAGAGAGAGAGACAGACAGAGAGACAGACAGACAGAGAGACAGACAGAGAGAGAGACAGACAGACAGACAGACAGACAGACAGACAGACAGACAGACAGAGAGAGAGAGAGAGAGAGAGAGAGAGAGAGAGAGAGAGAGAGAGAGAGAGAGAGAGAGAGAGAGAGACAGACAGAGAGACACACACACACACACACGCACACATACACACACAAGGCAGCGTCCGTGAACACTCACATCTGTCAGTTCTTCGAGACAGATAGAACAACTGGTCGCATCCGACGATGCTGCGCTACCTTGCGCTTGTGGTGCTACCGGGGACGTGTCCCGCTCTGGTACCGATGCTTGCTCAGGCTCAGGCTCTAGTGGAACAGCATTAACGTCATGGGAAGCTGCATTGTGCTCCGCAGAAGAACTACTTACGGATGATACAACTTCAGGATGCAAGCTATGGAGCGGCACCACTGGGTCAAGGTGATATGGCGGCTGCTGCTGCTGCTGCTGCTGCTGTTGCCGCCACTGCTGTTGCTGCTGCTGTTGGTGATGTTGCATGCGTGGTTCTGAGTCGACTGCTTCCACAGGATGATGAAGTCTGTTTGACTGGTAAGACAGGACAGGTCTAGTGGTGGAGGAGGCGGAATACTGTTGCTGTAGCTGATGCAGTTGCTGGAGAGAGTGCGACTGCGAGTGGTCCCGGGGCTGTGAAATTGATTGCTGCGGGTTTGAACTGCCCTGCAACACCTCTGGCAAGTCTGGAATTCGGGAGTTCAGTCGCTGATATTGGCCGCTGAAGAGCCTGCCTGGAGCCAGGGGACTCCCCCGGCGACTGACATTGCTTGTGGCATTCATAGGAGAAGCCCCCGATGCCAAGCCCAGATGCAAACCCATCGGGCTTGCTGCAGATGCAGCCTGGGCCGGCTGGCTGAACAAAGAACGGTTTGCAGCAGCAGCAGCAGTGACAGCCAGATCATTGCCACCAAATGCGCCTTGCATGAGTTGATTGTGTGATGCCTGGCTGGGTGAAGTAGCAACAGGTTGCCCTAGCTGATTGTGCCTGGCATCCGGATGTGTGAGCTGTGCAATAGGAGAAGAGTTGAGGTGTTGTGGTGCATGGCTGCGGGATCCACCCAGAGAAGAACCTGAAAGTGACGACCGCAGCAAAGGAGGAGGAGGGGCAGTTAAATCCATGCCCGGATGGGCACGTGAAGCATTGCTGGGGCCAGTTAAACCCATGTCCAGATGGGCACGTGAAGCATTGCTGGGGCTGGATGCTGAAAACTGACCGCAAGGCACCAGTGAGTAGTCATCTAGTTGGAGTCCACCTTGTTGTTGTTGTTGTTGCTGTTGTTGTTGTTGTTGCTGTTGTTGTTGTTGTTGTTGCTGTTGTTGTTGTTGTTGCTGTTGCTGTTGTTGTTGTTGTTGCTGTTGTTGTGGTTGTTGCTGATCCCTCACCTGCATATCTTGTCGCATCTTCAGCAGCCGCTGCTCGGAATGTTCCCGCTGCTGCTGCCCTGAAAATTCCGCCTGCAGATACTGCAGCAGCTGCTGCTCTTGCTGCTCCACTTGTGCACAGAGTACTGATAAAGTAGCTGGACGTAATAGATGAGAAGACGCAGAAATGCACCTGGTAGCATTAGAAGCAGTGCTGGCAGCAGTAGGGCCAGTGGCAGCAACATCAGACGAAGACAGGTCTTGCGTATAGTCAAGCACAGGACTGGGAGCCTGCGACAACGACGGCACAGCCGAGCGTTGTCGTGCAAACCCCGCCGACACTGGGCCTGGTTCATCCACAGCCACGCCTTCAAACACGTGCTGTGGAGCACGCATCTCTTGTTGTTGTTGTTGTTGCTGTGTCGAACCAGTATTCTCACGATGGCCTGTGGCCAATAAGGGATGGTGTTGTTGTTGTTGCTGCTGCTGCTGTTGATGATGATGGTGTACAGATGTAGGGATTGGGAAGTCGAAGTTGAATGCTTGACCAATATCCGGCCCGGTCATACTGCTCGTTGCCACCACAGGAGAGCTTTCTTCCGGACGCCGTCGTGCTTTTGCAGCTCCCGCTTTCCTCCTGCAGGTGGACATGAAGCATGACCATACACAGCACACAGAATCACTCAATCTGCGGACACAACTGCTTCGTCCTTCGTGGACTCATCAGCACAGCAAAGAAGAAATTGAGGCCGAGCCTGATAGCAGTGAAAAATCAATAACTTTTCCAAAGCCAGATTTAAACCAGGCCCAAACGTACCTTGCCAGAGTGCTCAAACTGACAAGTCAGTGAGCTCTGCCTAACGCAAACAGCAAGCAGCACATAAAACCATATAGGTCATGCAGGCAATTATCAGCTGATTACCTGGACTACTGTAAAAATCATAATTTCGTAGCGAAGCCCGGAAGTCTGATGAACAAAGTGGCGTTTGCAGCGAAGAGACCGTGGTTGAGTGTTTGAATTGAGGATAATTATTACGTGCACAAGTGGCTGCAATAGATTTGGCGAGTATTTAAAAATGAATGTGTCAAAGTGCTAAATCTAATGTAGACAGAAGTCGATACTAATACTTTCCTCTCATAGTTCGGTGAGCACGAATGGTATTAAATCATTAACTGTTGTACACGTTAACCGGTCCATTTTTAGGAAAAGGTTAATGTTGCACCTCGTTAGAATGATGGCTTTCACAGCATTTCATGTATAGAGTTCAGTCACTTCAGTGCTCTAGTACGAGTATGGCGCGAGGTCTGAGCAGCCCCCCACCACAGAACCATAATTATACCGGTACTGTACACGCAGAAAAGTTCGACGGGAATTTAATTTCGTCATTTTTCGTCCAAAGAATTTTCAGACTGAATTTAAAGCAGGACTAAATGTCGATTCTTCTAGTCTTACACTACGTTTCAACATCCATAGAAGAAAAATTCCACCCGACAAACTGTTTTCCTTTGGAACTGGACGAAATTATTCAACGATTAAATTTTCTGCTTCTGCAGTAACTGCTACTCCAGTCCACACGCGACCTCTGTCGGCTTTCCGAACAGGTGCCGGAACGGCTACTGTATAACATGTTATTGTAGGTAGGGGTGAAACGGGTGATCCGGGTACCCGTCTGTTTAGCTGCTGATCCGTTAGCAAACGAGTACACGTTAGTCGTGTACGACAGTACGGTACGGTGCTGGCTTGCACAGCCGTACATCGCACAGTTCGATGTACAGTTTGAGCGCGTTGTTCTTGATCGATCTTGCTACATGTGACCGTTTTGCATGTAGCGCAGTGCATGCAGTGCTTGTCACTCGTACTTGCATGTCATCCTGGCGCCAAATCCGGAAGGTACTAGTAACTGCCGTCTCTAAAAATAGTTTCCAACCGCTGCTGGAACTGTACCGTCGAGACTCACCCCGGAAAGATTCGTTGTGGGAAATACTCTTCAGTGTTGCCTGTTGGAGCAAGTTTTGAACAAGTCGAGCCGTCTCCTTGTGTGTTTGTAATTGAAGTTTGAACTGAAGTGCTTAGGTTGTCTTTGCGATGTCAAACTCTGTGACTCTGTCCCAAGCTCCTTCGAGCGCATCCACTCCGTTCAGTCGCCAGGCACGTTCCGCAGTGTGGAAATTCTTCACTCGCGATGTCGAGGGCCATCAAGCGAAGTGTCTATTTGTAGGTGCATTAAAATGTCGGTGCCAGGGACCTGCCAGTTTTCAGGTGTAATGTAGAATTAGGTGACCAGCGTTCCCTTCACATACAGTGCATATTCTAGTGCCTTTTAGGTAGAATCTAAATTTAGGTGCCTGGCTTCTCTACCGAAATCACCGAAATTAAATTTACACCAAAATAGACGTGTTATACAGTATTAGCTGCAGCAACGTGCAATATCCAGTGGCCGTGGGTCACACCGCTTACTTGCAATTACCGTAAGACATGTAAATAGAACAAGGAAGTAAATCTAACGTTTTAACGAGTGACATTTTTCGTTATAATACGTTCTGTTGAGGCTGCAAGGCCTGATATGTGTTATGTGCGGATAAGCCTGAAGACTGCAAGATCATTGACGTACTAGTATCTTCTCGTTAACCTATGAATTTTGGACTATCGTTAAATTTGCGACTCGTTATAATTAGGGGTGAAACGAGTATCTATTTTGACCAATCGATCACTCATTCATAATATTCGATCAAGTCTCCGATTATTTCGAGTATTTTATCAAAACTCAAAAGCGCTAGATTTGTGAGTTCTCGACCAATTCGGAAGAAATTATCTGTGAACATAAAACAAAAGTCCCCAACGTCTTGTACAGAGTGTAAAGTAACGATTTTCATCAGTACTTTCATATCTCAGAGCGTTAACTAACGTTACTTGCCGTGGTGATTAAGGGTGTGCGGATAATGCTCGAAAAGGTGGCAGATTCTGCTTGAAAAGCAGTGAAATTGGCAGAACCATACAAACCTTATGGCGGGCAATTCCTCGAATTCTGCTCCATTTCTTTATCCACATACCAAACATGCATGAAACTTACCAGAAAAAGTACCGAATTCTGCCAATTTTTCTGGCGGCATTATCCGCATATGCCTACAAAAGATAATAGTGGTGATCGCATAGTCCAAGCCATAAAATACTGACTCAAAGGCATGCATACCAGTGGACGAGCAGTACAGTCGTCCCTCTCTAATCCGGCACCTTTTGCTACGGCGTTTTCTGCTGGATTGACGAGGGTGCTGGATTAAGAAATCCTGCCCTCTGACCCGGCCCTACCCAATTGCATGCATGTACTAGTATCTGCGTACGTCAAAACGCAGGGTTTTTCCGTGTCGACCCAAGTATTTGGTGCACGGCTTTATATTCTCAATTGTTCTCCGGGAATATACACAGTGATAAAGTGATAAAGTAAAACAGAGAACATGTTCACATGTACTCTTGCACACACACGCACACACACACACCTGAAAATTGGCAGGACACCACCCCTTGCTAAAATAAGAAAGTATGGTTGACTGCCGTTGTCTCCTGGACAACATTGACCAGACTGGCCTAGCCTGGCCTGGCAAGGAGTGCACCTGTACGGTACGCGATTTACGACTGCCGGATTATGAAATCAAACTACGTGCAGTTTGAGCGATTCGTTTTAAAAAGTCACTGCCGGAGGCGGAATTCAAGTGCCGGATTAAGATGTAGGAATTGAACGAAAAAAATCGGTTTCGTCAGAAAGTGCGCCGGTTGGCAAGGGTTCCGGATAAACAAGTGCCGGATTAGAGAGGGACGACTGTACAACCGGAGTTTTTTGAAAATACAATGCCAATACTAAAAAAATTGAATTAAAAAAAAACGATCGGGTGCAAAATTTCGAATACTCGCTCGTTTGAAATTTTCGAACGAATACTCGAATATTCGAACTAATCGTTTCACCCCTAGTTATAGTAGCATGGTTGCCTTACAGTAGCGTTACCTGCGTAGAAATCTGATGGACTAGATTACAAGTGGTAGGGTGTACCGCCGAAAAGTGCCATGCGCGCAGACAGACATTTCGCAAATGCCCACTCTGCCCACTAGCGAACTGCAGCATGTCGGGGGGGGGGGGAGAGAGAGAGAGAGAGAGAGAGAGAGAGAGAGAGAGAGAGAGAGAGAGAGAGAGAGAGAGAGAGAGAGAGAGAGAGAGAGAGAGAGAGAGAGAGAGAGAGAGAGAGAGAGAGAGAGAGAGAGAATGGCGTTCCTACAAGTTTAAAAAGACTCACACAAAGTCCATCACAGGTAGATCGTCGATGTCGCTGCTCTCAGGTGACGGGTCATCAACGGCAATAGTCTTCTGGTCGCCTGCAGAAGAGAGAGAGCAAAGAGAACACAGGAAACACACAGTCACTCACACTGACATCTACTGTTACAGGAAAACTCCAATGAACTCACTTGTCGATACCATAAGGCGACATATAAAAGCATGATCCATATAAAAGCATGACCCGTATAGAAGCATGATGCATATAGAAGCATGACCCGTATAGAAGTACGGCTCGAATAGAAGCCGATTTTTCAAAACACGCCGTGACACAGAAGCAGGATTTGAATAGAAGCCGTCTACAGTGCATACGTGACAAACACGCATCCACATACATGTACACACATGTACACACATACGCACACACACATAGACGTGCACGCATACATGCACACACGCAAGCACCCACGCATGCACGCACACACACACGCACACGCTTGAAGCAGGGAATAACGTTCTGCTTCAAAACCTACTCAAACTGGAGTCTGCCACGTGTTCCAATCGCTTTCTCTTCAATGGTCGAGCAGCAAGTGTTGGGCTCTACGAGCAAGAAAAAACCCCAGCTCACACACCTTAACCTGATGCTGGTCACGCAACACACATCCGTCAAAGACAAAATAGCACTATCTTCCTAACAAACTCCTTCTGTTTACAAAGCTCAGGCTGTAGCTTGGCAACGCAAACAGCCTCTAGCACAGAGTAGTACGTTTCATCACAATTTTCTTCCGCCAATAGGTATAAACTGACATCGTCGTGCTTCGTGTGTGTGTGTGTATGTGTGTGTGTGTGTGTGTATGTGTGTGCGTGCGTGTGTATGTGTGTGTGTGTGTGTATGTGTGTGTGTGTGTGCGTGCGTACTAATCAATCAGAAACGTGACCTGGAGTGCTGGGCACACACATGTACATGACTGTACATACGGTGATATCAATGACGTCGTCGCCTACTACAACAGGTGAGGACGGCGACTCCAAATCATCAAGCGCCACAACATCCGGTGAAGTGTCTATATGTACCGAAGAGACGGTGAGGTCCACCACTAGAACAGGAACACACACACACACACACACACACACACACTTGTACTTGCTCACTGCCATAACAGGTCACGTGGGTCTCCCCGGGAAAGGGGAGAGAGACTGAAAAGGAATCTTGGAAAGATGACTAAATTGGCCATTGAACCGCCCAACGGCCAACACCCCCTGAACTCCCCAAACTAGGGTGGACTTGAAATGATCCCACTTATGGGCTCACCACACCTCAGTAAGTGGGTGAGGACAAGGTGCAGAAAAAGGATTGACGGCATCAGGGTATCCGTACGGGGATCCAACTGCAGTTACCCCTGCCCCCAGTGAAGGTAATACCGTAAAATCCCGCCAGAGCGCCCGTCTCTCCCATCCGCCCCTCCCTGACTTCTTGTCAGGGACGTGATTGATTGTATCCTCGTATGACTCTGTCGCAGTCTGTGATGCCGTACTGTACTGCAGACGCGTGCTCGACCCCGTTGGAAATGTACGCAACAGTGCCCACCCTCTTGACCAGGGATCGCACAAACCCTGCGTTTTGTCGGGTCTGTACGACTCCTGGCTCTTGACCTTTGGTCGGTGTACGAGATGCACGAACAGTTTTCGTAGGGTGAGTACGTTTTCATGTAGCACTGAATGCGGCAAGTAGGACTCGCCCATGCGCCCCTCCCCACCTGAAGCGTCGAGGAGGTAGGGGCGCTCTGGCGGAATTTTACGGTACTTGTTACTAGTGTGCATGTGGGTGGCTAAATCAGAGTGGATCTGATATAAGCTTCACTAGCACCATTGATGACACAAGAGTTAATCTAGCCAGAAGCAGTCCATGGTTAACAGGTAACACAGACACAGACACACACACACACACACACACACACACACACACACACACGTCAATGTACAGGTCGAGTCCGGATAATATGAATCCGGATAAATAACCCGTTTAAAACTATTAATAAATATCCTGCAGTCCCTGCCGAAATGTGATCTAGCAATCACTGTCTACAAGGTTGATGTCACATGCATGCAAGCATCTACAACTACCTTCTCTCAAATGGTAACACATCAGGTCCTTGCCAGGTCACCAAAGCAGCCGGATCGAACACAACCGCCTATATGGCACGAGAACTGTATGTTATTTTGAAAGCTGCAGGCCCATCCGTCACTATCACTAATGCCGAGGTTCTGCAAAACGAAAATGCGTACAGAATTTCGCTCTACGTCATACTTCGCACGAACTTCCGGAACTTTGGATGGGAAACTTGCAGGGGACGCGAAATGAACTTTCGTGAGAGGTTTCGCGAGATCGGCTCAACAGCTTCACCACATACGTGCACTTGGGTGCGTGCAAACTACGAAAACGTGCAGAACACAAAGTGTGTGCGATAATTCAAACAGATCTTCGCAAGGCCCGTTGCGAAAGTTCTTGCGAATTTTCGTTTTGCAGAAACCCTCTATTAACAAATATGCACGGCTTGTAAATTCTGTAGGTTTCGACGATCACAAGTATTACACGCATCACAGGTATCACAATAACCAATCTACTCATGATAGCCACTACACTGTCTACAGCTGTAAATCCCAGAGACTGTGGACACTGCGGCCGCCTTATTACTTGGACTTGGATTTTGTTTGTGTTATTAGTGAAAAGCAAAGATAGCCGGTACACCGCCTGACGGCCTTTACACACAGCCTTACGCACAGCCTTTACAATGTCGTAATGATGTTGTAATGATGTCGTAATGATGTCGTAATAATGGGGAACACAGCATTCATAAAAAAATGATGACATTCACTATCTTCTAGAATCATCAATATCCGAGACCTTCGCTGACGGGATCATCAGGATCAAAGCAGCTGTCTGAAGGAATTCAATATCTAGCGAGATCTGACAATGCCATCATGCGTGCTGTAACAATGCACCAAGGTTGACTGGAGAGCACGTTGGCCGTGTTTGACATTTTCACAAATTTTGAAAAATACTCACGGTTCGCGTCCGTAGGAACGCCACCACACTCTATGGTTCAAGGCACAGATGCAGCTCCTAAAGCGGTGGGAGATGAGTAGATCAAACCCAGTCAAAGACCGATAATCCTATCCGCTGCATCCACAAACTTTGAATCACGAGCACGTACCTTGTGACGTGGAAGTATTGGAATCGGCGTCGATACACGTAGGTGTCACAGAGCGTACAGAGGTCACCTCAATGACGTCGGAATCACTACACGCACTGTTACAGTCTGATGTTGTTACTGCTGCGGTGGCATTGGTGGGGGCGGTCGCTGGTGGTGTGTCCGGGAACATTTCTTCAATAGATGAAGGCGAAAACGATAGCAGGTAATCTCCTTTTAGAGCAGTAACATCGCGCTGCGTCGGTTCTCCTCCTTCCCTCAGTGTGTCCAAATCAGTGGGCCGTTGTAACAATGGTGGGTCACTGTGCAGACGTGGCTCTTGCACGGCGCTGGAAGCACACCCTTCCGCAGGCACGCCGTTCGGTGGAAAGGAGTTGAGTTGTTCATCAAACCTAGCAAAGGCCTGTGTGTCAGAAGCGCCAGTCGCAATGCTCCTGCAATGTACACCCCACATACGCACACGTACACACACACGTACACACACACAAGTACACACCTTTGACCTTTGACCTTTGACGCCCATCGCCGGAGGCGATGATAGCAATGCTACGGCAGAAGCCATAGCAACTTGTGCTGGGATTGCACCATTCAACAGCTTGCAAGGCTGAAGAATTGACCGTCACTATTCAGCCTGGTCTACACCATACAGCTATTTGAAGTGACTTTTTCTGGCCAGTGAATCCCTATTTTTGGTCTTTTTTCTTTTTTCTTTTTTTTCTTCTTTTTTTTCCCACACACAAGTACACACACACACACGTACACACACACGTACACACACACACACACATACACACACACACACACACGTACACACACACACGTACACACACACACACATACACACACACATACACACACACATACACACACACATACACACACACACACGCACACACACACACACACACACACACACACACACACACATACACACACACACACACACACACGTACACACACACACGTACACACACACACACACACACACACACACACATACACACACACACATACACACACACACACGCACACACACACACACACACACACACACACACACACACACACACACACACACACACACACACACACACACAGGCAAAGCTGAACAACACCAGTACACTGTACATGGACTATAGTAGAATAACAAACACACACAGAGAGAGCTGCACTGACATGAAGCAAGCGCTCACAACATACTACTTACGCATTGATCAAGTTGACAGGACAGGACAGTGGCATGCATACGTGGGAACACACCTACACTATGTAACGAGAACAGTACCCCTACTTCCACACAACCGGGGTAATGGGTGTACATGCAAGAAACTAATACCAGGAAAATTGGAGCAGTCCAGTATTAGACGACAGGCTACAGTGTATATGCAGTGCTTTCCCCATGCAGAGAATTAAATAGACACGCACGCTGGTACGACACGGTGTGTACGCGCAACTTCTGCAAGCTTTCACACCGTACCCTTACTCTACGCACAATTTCTGTGAGCTTTCACACCAAACCCTGGCTCTACATGCAATTCCTGTGAGCTTTCACACCAAACCCTGGCTCTACATGCAATTTCTGTGAGCTTTCACACCATACCCTGGCTCTACGTGCAATCTCTGTGAGCTTTCACAGCATAGCCTGGCTCTACGTGCAATCTCTGTGAGCTTTCACACCATACCCTGGCTCTACGTGCAATCTCTGTGAGCTTTCACACCATACCCTGGCTCTACATGCAATTTCTGTGAGCTTTCACACCATACCCTGGCTCTACGTGCAATTTCTGTGAGCTTTCACACCATACCCTGGCTCTACGTGCAATCTCTGTGAGCTTTCACAGCATAGCCTGGCTCTACGTGCAATCTCTGTGAGCTTTCACACCATACCCTGGCTCTACGTGCAATTCCTGTGAGCTTTCACACCATACCCTTAAAAGAGTACTCTGTGCACGCTTCTCACGCTGTACAAAAAGGCCAAGCAAGCATGCCGCCATTGCAGCCAGTTTCTATTTTTCCGCAGCTACCCTGAAAACAAACGCCACCTGCAAGTAGAGCTAGTAGAAGAGCAAGTGCTGGAGGCACACGCACTCAACTCAGCACCATTGCCAAAACCACGTGGGATTGTTTGAAGACAAGAAAAAAAGAGTAAAGTTTCACACCTGTGGTGTTTGGAAACGGCCAAATTAGCGCTGAAGACCAAACTAACACATCTAGATGCGAGCTGATAGCACTATGTGACTAAACTAGACTGTACTATGCCTGTTGCAGCCTACACACCGCACTGCTTTCAGCACAACAGTCCCACTTAGGACCAAGACAGTAAGATACTGTAAAACATGTAATTTTAGGTGCATGAAAATGTCGGCGCCAGGGACCTGCCAGGTTTCCGGTGTAATGTAGAATTAGGTGACCAGCTTGCCCATCACATACAGTGCATACTCTAGTGCCTTTTAGGTGTAATTTAAAAATTAACGTGCCTGTCCTCTCTATCGAAATCACCGAAATTAAAGTTACACCGAAAACAACATGTTTTACAGTGCATCGCACAGGAGAGACAATTGTTGTCTTTGCATACTTCGAGGTTCAAGTAATATACATGTATATGAGTGCCTTGTTTCGGCATTGGGGTTGGGACGAGGTTGGACAGCCTGATAACGAACTGTACAAACAAGTGAATAAATTCTTCTGTTGCTAACCCTGCTGCCGTCTGGAGGATTTCGCAATATCACTGCATGTTCTTCAAGGGAGTTGTCTATGTTGAGGTGGTAAGGTGAAAAGGCTACAATAAACGTCGCCAATCACGACTGCGGATATAACGACAGAATTTCGTGCCCAGAGCAAAGTCCCACCTAACTGTAATACGCATCATGAGACTTCGGGTATAAACGACACTTTGCGAATAAGGACACTTTTCTGATGCCCCGCCGAGTGTCGTTATACGCGAAGTTGACTGTACATGCACAGAGCGGATTGGTGGGGTTAACTGGAAAATTTTCCAGAAAGCACAGCACTAACATCACCATGCATTGAACCTAGCCACGAAATTTAAACCCTGCAAAAACTGGGCTCCATTGCAGCATTTTTTCTTTCCTTTCCAGAATAGACGGCAAGGAATCGACAAATTTATTACCGCGATCAAGAGAACGATTGCGCACTGTTTCTATTCGTTGACAATGTAAATAGTCACAATTAATGTCAAATCAGCTCGATACGATTGCGGTACTAAAATCCTTAGAACACTATTCCAGTCACACGGTTACTGGGATGGGGGGCGGAGTACATGTACACGCCACACCAGGCCATGCTCCAGGAAAACAACAGGATGTGCACAGTGTACTCCTGTTGTCATCTGTACACCAGACGATTGTACTGGAATGCATGGGTGCCTCAGCACACGTGCACACACACACACACACACACACACAGACATGCCCATCGCAAAAGCCATGATAGCGAACAGCTATGTTAGCCACAGCAACTTGTGCTGGGATTACACCATTCAACAGCTTGCAAGGCTGATGAATTGACTGCCACTAATGTTAGCCTGGTCTACACCACACAGCTGATTGAAGTGGCTTTTTCACACGCACACACACACACACAGACACACACACGCACACACACACTACACATACACACTACCACACCTCACACCAGACCCGGATCAGAAACTGTCATCAATAGTTGGCACCCTGACCCGGATCACAAACTGTCATCAATAGTTGGCATCCTGTAGTGTAGTGCTAAGTAGTAAGTAGTAGTTAGCCAGCAGAATGACAACCGGGGTTGGCCAGGACAATCAGGGATGGCAAGGCAATTAATGAATTATGCCACATCATGTAGCTAGTAGGCCTGCTCAGTGCTCATTGACTGGTCAATGACATCATTGCACTGTTAGGGGGGGGGGGGGGGGGGGGGGGGCTACCGGGTATGTACTGGAGCTACTCCACACAAATCCTTGAACAGAGATGCTCCTACGACCTAGTACCTGAAGGTAATTACTAATTATTTAGTAATTACGTTAGTAAAAGTCAGTCATAGGCTAGCCGCTACGGAGAAAGTCTTGTCTTTTGGTACACTGCATGCATGTGGGGGGGGGGGGGGACCTAGGGAGAGAGTCATGACTATATACCCCAATCCACGTATGGACCACGCAGTCTCTTTCCGGCCCGGCCTGCTCACTTACTGACGTCATGTTGTACCGTACTCTGCACTGTGAGGACAGTAGTCTCACCACATGAACATTGTGTGTTGCAGTACTTGACAAAAGTACTAGTATAGTACTAGTACTTAACAGGTAACTGTGTGTGTGCTGTGCTAGTGCTAGTCTACCACACGGTGCAGGGAAACCTGGCTAAGCCCGGCCACTCAAGGGACCTGCAACACCTGGTCCCTGTTACCAGGTGGTCTCCCTATCCAGGGTCATTTTGACTGGAAGTAGCATCATTGGTGCTGGTTGCAGTGGTCTTCTGGGACAGGTTGTCCCTTATCGGAGTGGTCACCCTGGCAGGTTGTATGGTATGTGTACTGTAGTCTAGATGGAGTGGGTACTACTATTAGTAGTAGTAGCATGTCTCAGATCTACATACTAGTACTCTGTTGCCCCACTGTATTTGTGCTAGTACTAGTAGTAGTAGTACACTGCATGCCATGTCTACACATTCCTCACACCTGGTGGCCACTCAACTGCATACTTCATGACCATAGCCACACAGCATGCAGCACAAAGCACGCAGCAGCAGGGAGGCATTACTTAGCAGCATACCCCCTGCAGCACAGCTCTTCAGTGTGCGGAGGCCTGACTGTGAGGTGTTTGTGTGTGTGTGAAGAGCCCTGGGCATAATGCCAGATCTTAGAAGTAGCAGTGCTCAGTACTAGTACTACTACTTGAAGTACTACTACATGTATACATACTACTACTGTACAGTCATCAGGTGCGTGCCCGTATGGGTTCCTGGGTTCCCCGGAACCCCCCCCCCCCCCCCGTTTCGCTCAAAATGCAGGATTTTTCTTCATCTTTTGAAAATTTTCCCGGGGGGGGGGGGGGAGGCCCCCGGAACCCCCCTAGAAGGGCACCGGCGCACGCGCCTGGTCATGTACATGGTCCAGTGCCAGGCACAAAAGCCTGGTGCTTACGCAGAGTCAATGACAATGGAAGCCTGCAACACGCTCAGCTGCACTGGACTGGTGTCAGTGATGAGCTATACCTAGGAGCAAGCCAACACCTTCTGGTCAAACTTGGCCAGTGTACAAACTACAAACTACAAACCCTTTGCAGCAGGTCTCCAGAAGCCATACTTCCTGCAGGTAATGTAGAGGCAGTGCTGGCAACAAGCATTCCGGGCACTTCTGGCAGAGGCTACTTTCAGACAAACCATGAAGCCGCTAAAATTAATGCTAAATCAGGCCAGGTTTAGGCGCATGAGTTCGTTCACCAGCATGCTCTGTAAGCTACTCAGCCCCACTACCTACTGCCTCCATCCCCCTTACACCTACACTGGCGCACACTGACAAAAGTAATTCCCCTTGCCGCCACAAACACATTTCCAAGAAAGAAGGTGGACAGATCGTCAGCTCCTATATCCCACAGAGCACCATCCAAAGCCAAACGTACTTCCTCCGTGCCGTATCTACAGTCCATTTCAAAAAATATAGACGCATGGTATTTTTGAAATATTTCAAATTTGGCTGGAGCTTTTCGAGAATGTTCTTCGGAATATTTACTCAGGTCCTTCGCGCAATTACTCTCATATTATAGATCTTTAAGTGATCGGATAGGAAATGCCCAATTTCGAATTTTTTATGCACAAAGTGATCACAGATTTTATGTGGTATAGATGCTGGCCTAACGGTTTTTTGAAATCACGCGTCTATATTTTTGAAACGCACTGTAATACTACACACGTGTGTGTGTGTGGTCATCGGCAATTGCTGGTACGAATTGAAAGTAAAAGTCAACACTAACTAACTACGGACGAAACTCAAGCTACACGTACGGGCCACGCTCCTGACTGGACGACGGTCACTAAAATACAAACGCTAACTAGCCGCATACGGGTCACGCTCCTGACTGGACGACGGTCACTAAAACACAAACGCTAACAAGCCGCGTATCACGCTCCTGACTGGACGACGGTCACTAAAACACAAACGCTAACAAGCCGCGATGACCCAGTGTGGCAATGCTGCTCTCATGACACAGACTCACAAACTCACAGCACACGGTGAGCCATGGTTAGCGAATGGTTTCAGTTTCGCTCGGTTACGAAATGTTCCGGTTGCGTATTATACACTTATAACTACATCCAGAACTCAATAGCACTTACTTTTGGCAGCTGTCCATGTGTGACTGAAGAAGTGTTGTGGTGTGGCTCGCACGATCGGGGGCTGCTTCTCCCCGACGTAGTAGTTCTGAAAGATGAGGAAGCGCACAGTCTTGCGCCGGCTGAGGCCAGTGAGGGCTCGTAGCATCATCTCCATCTTCGCCGTTGCCGTCGTCACGGCGACATTCCGCACTTGGAGACTGCATAACCATATTTGGTGTTTCGCACCCGCGGCCGCCCGGCAGCTGCCGATCTAACGAAGGGAGATCCTCAGACACGGGCGCAGGCTGCACGTAAGCGCTAGCCGTGCACCGATCAGAATTTGAATCTCCTGTCGCTGATTCCAACTGCGCGACGACTGGTGAGCGAGACCAATCATCACCGGGCTGCAAAACTTGTGTGTAACCAGTAGTACCAGTGGCATTACAACAGCGTTTAATAAGGTCTGTCTGCTGGCTTTTCTCTGCCACACTGCACGGGGCTTCAACACGGTTATGCACACAACTGTGCCTGGCCATACTGCTCACACTAGACCGGCTGCCTTTACTACTATCACCATCACTCACGGTCCACACGCAGACAGGAGGCACTAGTGGTACTAGTGCATTCAAGCTGCAGTCGTGATACCACCCTTCCATTGTTTTATCGTCGACTTCCACTAGGCCAGAAGACGATAGCTCATCAGCAGCTTCACCTTTTCCCTGTGGAAACTTCCAGTTACACCTGTTGAACAAATTGAGAGATATCCTCCAATGCTGCCTTGCTAACTTCCACGACAAAGAAAACTGACTTGAGCACAGCCCTACAGTGCTGTTTTGTGTACGTAATTAGTTCAAGCAAAGCTGCGAGAGAACATCCACACAGTGGCGGTCAGTTTCCAAAGACGAAGAAGGCGGACACACTTGCTTGTTGATCGTACCAATGCAGAGCCAGCCATCTACTACTTGCAGCATGCCATACGCTGTGCAATGCACAAACAAACACTGAATGCAGTGGACTACGAACTAAAACGATGGTATAATGTAACGGCGTGGTTCTACGTGACGATTGTTACCTTCCGATCCTGCTTGGGTAGCTCAAACTCAAAGCTGATGCCGGAGAAAGGCGACCCTGGCCATACACCATTACACGTCAATGACAATAGAGAGCACGTCATGGAATATTCCTAGCTAGCTGTGCACATGGTGTACAATGACATTATATTATGACTGTACTCTCTACCCACAAATACCATGAATACTGCACAGGGATTATCTACTACTCAGTAGTATCCAAAAAAAATAATACTGCACATCCACAGCATGCTAGCATTGTAATTAATATTTGTAGCAGTACAGGGCTAGGGCAGTTTGTAGTCTAGACATAGACCATATTTTGTAGACGTCTACGAGTACGAGTCTACTTATGTATGGCATGATGCGGCATGATCTGATGTAATGCATGCAGTGAGTCACCCCCAACTTACTTGCCCCAAGTACTAGTACTACCGTATGTTGCCGCGTAACGCAGGGGGGTATATCCGGTACCGGGTGCGGCGTAACGCGCGACCAGGCTAGTGCGACAAATTTTCGTTGAGTTCGTAACGCGCGTCCGGCGGGGTGCGGCGATCTTTTCATTGCAGCATGCAGTTTGCAAAAAATGATGCGGCAATAGCAAAAAAATGATGCGGCAATAGCAAAAAAGTGATGCGGCAATAGCAAAAAAAGGACTGCGGCAATATAGAAACCTGTGTAACGGCTCCTGTGCGACTTTGCATGTAACGCCCTGCGTGCGGCAAACATGTGCCAATAGAGAGGTTCCGCATAACGTAATTACGTTAGTAAAAAACGTAGTCGATCTACGGAAAGTCTTACGTAAACTGCATGCGCATCTGTGTTCCGCCATACGGAGTTTTCAAATCACGTAGCTGCCCTTGGCAACTCCGAACGCGGCAGTGTAGACCCGGGTGCTCGAATCAGAAACGATTTGACAGGTGTGCAATTTCTCATCTGTAAATCTCAACAATGTCAGGATATACTTTTGGAGAGGCGATGGAACAGGGAAGAGAGTCTGGCTTGACCCACCCAGCAGGAATTCAGAACCTGGGTGCGCAACAACACAAGCTACAGTACGCAGTAAAATTGTCGTATTTCCTTCGGATTTTTTATTTGAAAATTGGGTGCTCGAATCAGAAACAGCGAACTCGTCAGATCGTCTCCGATTCAAGCACACGGGTCTGCCATCGTCTACGCTTGGTATGGCAGTTGAGGGCAGGGAGTAGTAACTTACTACTTCATTTTTGAGAGCAAGATGGTCAGTGGAGCCGCAGATTCAGCAGGTCTTTGGCAGCACCGTACAGGAGACCCATATCCTCGAATCAAGGACCCAGCAAAAAGTGGGTCGCGAGTATTTCAAAAAGTGTTTACCGGGCAGCGCTGAAATTTGGCATACCGTTAGCAGGCCGTATGTTGATGGTATTTGTGAAAACTAAACGAAATCGGAACAAGTTTAGGTACAATTTCAGGGTGTTTCTGTTTTGGTACCTTGTGTCTCATTCGAGCACCCGGGTCTACGACCAGATCGACCTGGGGAGAGAGTCATAAATTTGTACCCCAATCCACTTACGGACCAGCTACGTTATCAGAGCCCTATCTACGTACTCTACGTAGACAACTTTCCGTAAGTGGAGTGCAAACTCGCGAATTCACGGGTTTTCCCCGCCCACTAACGTAAAGTTGCTCAACTTTACGTAGTGGCCTCACCATGCTCACTGCGGCAACATATATTGCCGGTACGGTAGTACTAGTACCAAGACTAGCAAGAGTACATAAACCCGTTTATGTACTCTTGCTAGTACAGTGAGTAGGAAAAATGACGCTCGCGAAACCCACATGCATGCTGTATAGTATGCCGATATGCATGATGGCCATGCATGCAAGACAAGAATCTCATTCATACGTAATCATGACAACTCCTTATCTCATCTGCCGCTGTCATCTAGTCGAGTCATAGCATTCAGACTACCGTGAACCCCGCGGCCCGTCAAACCGTGAATGCCGATATCGCCGTGAAGGACATTCACACTACCGATAACAAACTAATTTATTTTCATCATATTGTGAGAGCCGTGGGCCAATAGCCCCGGTGAGAAGGTAGTCTTGCCTGTTCATATGGTGAAGTAAAAAAAATAAAGAAACAACAACAACAACAACAACTAACGTTACCGTGAAGTTTTCAGCTCTCACCGCGGTACTGACAAGGGATTTTCCCTTTTTTCCCAGCGCGCATGCAGCCTGAGCACTTTTTTACTGCCGGTAAAAGTTTACTGCCGCAGCAGCCGCGGCAGTAAAACTTTCCCACCGGTAACGTGCCAGTAACGTCACGTGATCAAATCACCTTGGCTTTCCCAATCGGTCACTTTTTATCGGTAGTCTGAACATGAACGCGCCCTTAATAATTATGTACTAGTACTAGGCCATGTACAACACTACGAGTACTAGTCACTAGCTGCTGAGCTGATGAGAGCGAGATCCACGACGGGGCTGCCCACGTGCTACTTCAAGTCCAGCCGAGGTACGGCACGGTACATGGGTACGCGATGGGGATATGCTTACAGTATTTTGCTTTACTGCCTCCATTAGTTAATGGAGGCAGTAAAGCAAAATACTGTAAGCATATCCCCATCGCGTACCCATGTACCGTGCCGTACCTCGGCTGGACTTGAAGTAGCACGTGGGCAGCCCCGTCGTGGATCTCGCTCTCATCAGCTCAGCAGCTAGTGACTAGTACTCGTAGTGTTGTACATGGCCTAGTACTAGTACATAATAAAGTACATGCTGGTAACCATGGCAATCATGTGCTACCCGCGGTACCCTGGCGCAGAGCTAGAGCACCGGTATGTACATGTAGATCTAGCACTCCGACGGTATACGACTCTGTCGCTCGTAGTCGTACTCTTGACCAGGAAGTCGTCAATAATTAATACCGCGTACCGGTATTTGACGACTCTCTGCTCTGAATCTTGACAGTTGTCCTGGTTCAGTGAGTGTACTCGATCGTATGACTGGTGTGCTGATACAGTCTTTGTCAGGCTTTGACGCTACCGCTGGGACTTCTCGAGAGCTCCTGATCCTGCATGACAGCAAGCGTACTATATATGGACCTGTTTACCGCCATCTCTCACTAAGTCTTGTCACTATAACCATGATAACCTGTCTCCCCGAAATCAAACATTCCCTCTAGCATGCTATCACTTTCTCCAAGAGTACAACTCCACTATGGGTGCTGTCCCGACAGAATTTCAAGTAAGTTAGTTGACGTCATTTTGATGATCCAATGCGCACTGTACACGGATTATCAGACGAATCCGGAACCTGTGGTTGACCGAATTCGCGCGAAGCCGATCGATCCTGCACAAATATTATTGCAAAGAAGAACGTGTGATGCGTTGACACGCGTACACATGACATGTTGTAAATCACTGGTGCAAGGAGCATTGCGTCATAAATAATGACGTCTGTCGGGAGTCGGGACATCGACATGTCGACAGCAGGGTATGTGGGAGTAGTAGTAGTAGTAGTAGAATTTATTATTTTGATAGGGAAGGCCCTACACTAGTTGCACACTCTGGGGGGTTATAACCTGATAACCGGTCACCGGTATGTACTCTTGCTTTCTCCGATACAGACTGTCAGTCGTTGCGTGCAAGCCAAAGCTACAGTACGTACTGTAGTAGTACACTACATGGACATGTAGATGATATTATAATTATATTAAACCCAATACTAGTTCAAAACTTTAACTCGGATGGTGAGCCAATTAAATTATTGTGAAAAGAAGAAGGACAACATGTTACGAGTTATGATTAACTGTCGACTAACGTAACCAGATATTATACATGTATATGTCGAGTTGTAATAAGACCGGTATGTCCAATAGTCTTACTAGTTTCGTCATCATCCAGTACAGGTACTCCCTCTAATTCGAATACGGTATGATTCGAACATTCCGTGTAATTCGAACTTTTTCGTCGTACCGATCTTCTGCAAGTCACTTCAAGTCAAAATCGAATGCATAATTAGAAGTACGAAAAGTGCGCCGGTTGGATAATTCGAACCCAGTCTTCGTACAGAAGAGCTGTTTACAGTCCATTGGCTATGTCCTTTGAACGCTTATTTCGAAGTGAGATTGAGTTGCTATCCTTGTAATTCGAAGTTCATTCTTTTCTTCTTCTCTAGCCAAGAGTAGCTCAAAAATCGATCGATGGTCCGCTGCAGGATCGACTACATATAGCGTTCAAGAAACCCATCTTCTCTCGAAATTTGATTCAAGCCCGTGTGAGGCAAATTGCAAAGGTTTGATTGAAGACGACTTCTTCCAGGTGGCTGACTCTCTTCGCGGATCTCGATGGCCTTTCATTACGCGGATTAGGCAGCGCAGTTCTTTTCCGTTGAAATTGTTTCAGGAAAGCTGCAGTGCAAGTAGTGACTGACAACTTCTTCACTAGAAGATGAAGATAATGGCAAAATGATTTTTGTGTCGATCCAGTGTTTTGATCATGATCCGTTGTAGATCTACATGACCGGTACAACCACCTATGTTTCGTTGATGCAAATAACAATGTGCAAAAAATATTCAGCATGCGATTTCAAGCATTTTGACGTACATATCATATCAGTGCATGGGGCTGCATTTGGTAAGTAGAAGTTCCGGATAATTAGAAGTTAGGGCCTGGCAATTTGAGGTTCGAATTAAAGGGAGTCTACCTGTAGTAGAAGTAGTAGTAGTAGAAGAATTTATTATTTTGATAGGGAAGGCCCTACAGACGTTGCCGTCTTGTTACAGGGAACCCTAACTTGGCTGAAGTGCTCTTTACAGAGCGAAACAAAAATGGATAGATGCTCAACCTGACGACACGAGACAGGCAGAGAATTCCACCTATCAGCGCCAAGGAAAGAAATAGAGAACATGCCATATCTAGTGGTAGCAGCGGGCAAAGAAAGTGAAGAGAATGGTTGCCCTCTAGTGCGCCTCTCGGTGCAAGTAGCAGCCGACTGGAGGGTGAACATTGAGGAAAGAAGAGGACTTGTAAGCTGATGAATACAGCGGAAAACAAAAAATAAGAAGCCTCAAGTTGAGACGAGATTCGAGGGAGTATAACTTAGCGTGCCGCAAAACAAAGACAGTCGGGGTACGGCGAGGGGGACCAAAAACCTTTTTCATGC